CATTAGAAAAAATATCCACAAAGTTTGAAATCTGTACCTTTAAATAAACCAAGTGCACTTCTAAATACAATTTTTTTTGGTTTTGTAATCTGTATGAAACGAACACGAGGTACAGTCAATCCTGTCAAGACCATGTTGTGAATCACTTCAGAAGTGCAACGCAATCAGACGATCATTAGCCAGAGGATTATAATGTTTTACATGACCATAAATAAGGTTGGTGTCGAGATCTCGTTCCTTTTGAGTGCGCATTAGCTCAGGCAACCTGAAAAAATGCAGTTTTGTTTGATTTAAACGTTTAAAAGCAAAACTTATGAGACAGTTGTTGTTTAATTTTATTGGTGATTCCAAATATGTAACATAAGCTTGGCAAACTTGGAGAATTTGATGTTTCCCAATTCAGACAGAATGCCCGAGCATACTGCCAGAGAGGCCTTTCAAAGATAGTCGGCGAGTGAAATGACTTTCCTCAAAGGGACTTTGACATAACACAGGTTGGTGGAAACCCAGCTATTGTTAATCAGCATTTTTAAATTATTATTATTATTATTATTACTATTATTATTATTATTATTATAATTGTTGTTGTTAATTATTTTATTTTTTTTATTATTATTTTTTTTTGGTAGGGAAGTGTTACAGTCTGTGTCTTTTTCTTTGTGTGTCTTTCTTTCTTTGTGTCTTCTTTTTTTTTTATTAACCCTCCTTTGTTTTTCTTGGCTTTTGATACCAGTGCGCATGCCAACGAGGAGGCGAAAGGGAGACACAGCTTTAGTGGACCAGCCAGCATTTAATTTTGTGGTTGTTTTCTTGTCTTTCTTTTTTTTTGTCACTTTCTGGGGATTTATTATTTCATTCGTTTGTTGTGGGGTAAGCATTTGTTATCGTTATTATTGGTTTTCTGGTAAAAATAAATTGATTTAAAAACGATAATAATGTTTACTAAGTTTCTCTTTTTATGTTGCTTTCTCTGTTTAAAACGAGTTATTCTTTTTGAGAGAGGTTGTAACAAATCATATAAGAAACTAGCGATATAAAGTGGATGCACATCCCAAATAAACTCTCACAACAAAAAAAACATTACTATATATTGTTTTGCATTATACTGTCACTTTATCATAATTATCATGTTTACAAGCCTTTTGCTGGCTTTAAAATTCTACTTTTTAAAATATTATTATATGTTAGGCACCTAGGGTCTGAGAGTAACGTAAATTTGATTCTCCGTATGTCCTGCACATGTGGTTGAATTGACAATAAAGCTGACTTTGACTTGACTTTGATTACTCCCATGTGGTTTATCAGCTGTCTCCACTATGCTTGCCTTGTTTACTGTTGGTTACTACGTTACGAATACTTCAGCCTTCTTATTTTGCAAACTGATAAGATTTGCTTCACGTTATAGGGTGGCAACCCATCTAAAGAGTTCACTAAACTCAAATATCTCCACAATCTCTAGATCTTAATCCAATAGAGCACCTTTAAAATGTGCTGAAGTTTCAACATTTGGAAGTTAATAGAATTGGTTGAATCTATGCCGTGAAGAATTAAAGCAGTTCCGAAGGTAAAATTGGGTTTAACATGGTAATAGATGGTGTGGCTAAAATAGTGAGCATATATCAGACTGAAACCAGCTATAATAAATACAACTCTATAATGTCTTGATCGCTGATGCAAGCTGTTCAGCAAAAAAAGTGCCTAAAGTTACACATCCACATGTGACCAGTGACGTTTTGTCCATGCCCAGACTTCAGTGGCTACATTAGTGGTCAGAACAAAACTGAAACAGTGTGATGTTTTGATGTTTGCTCTCTCTGGTTTCAGTTGGTGAGGATTTCCCCACTGCCTCAGACTGTTTCTACAGCACCTGTCGTGACCCATTTGACCAGAGAACAAGTACTACTTTTGTCTTGAGTGGGAGCTTGTATGAGACAGAGCTTCTTCATGGTACACTGCTCTCTCCTTTGCTCCCTCTCTCTCTCCCTTTCTTTCTCGCTCACTCAAAATGGCTATACCTGGATGATTCAAGCTTTGCTGTTAAATTTAAAGTGTATCGGCTAAATATATGAATGTTGATTCTACAATTAAATGATGTTTTGTCCCAGACGTTCATTTAATTTTGTGGCTTCTCCTATAGAGCAGTGGTTCCCTAAGTGGGGGTCGGGATCCCCTGGGGGTTGGGAGACAATGAATGGAGCTCACTTGTTGATTTCCACAAATCTCATATATGTTATTAAACTATTAGAATTACCATATTTTATCTATAACTTATAGAAGTTAAAAAAAAATTATTTAATAGTTACACACACACACACACACACACACACACACATATATATATATATATATATATATATATATATATATATATATATATATATATATATATATATTTTTTTTTTTTTTCTTTTCATTAGATTGCGACCCCTGGGGTTATTGTGCCAGATATCGACACAGCAGTAGCGTTAGTTGCATTTTTACGGCCCAATGTTAAACTTGAACACTGTTACTGCTTCCATATACATTAAAAGTAAATGCTACATTTGAACATGGAAAATGATCTCCGAGTGCTGGTCTCCAAAATCAAACCAAGAAAAGTCTTGCGCTCTACACATTGTGCCCACCATTCTCATTAATTAAGGTTAATATTAAATTAAACAAATAAAGAATGACTATAAAGCATTATATGGTTGTTAGACTATTGCATTTTTGTTGTTGTCAATATGCTCCTGTTTATACGGTTCCTATTGGTATGTGTGCATCTTTGTGTGCAATGTTTGTATGCTTATTATCACTTACAAAGATAGTTAGGGTCGTGAGTCAATGGAATTGTTATTTTAGGGGTCGCAAGCTGAAAAGTTTGGGAACCTTGGCTATAGAGCAGGGGTCACCAATCTCGTTCCTGGAGGTCCGATGCCCTGCAGGGTTTAGCTGCAACTTGCCTCAACACACCTGCCTGGGTGTTTCAAGTATACCTAGTAAGACATTGATTAGCTTGTTCAGGTGTGTTTGATTAGGGTTGGAGCTAAAATCTGCAGGACACCGGCCCTGAACAAATTTAGTAGGCCCTGCTATAGAGGATAGACTTTGAAAACATCCACAAGCTGATCCCAATCCAAATTTAAACATTATAAACCACTATTCAACTCTCTTTAAAAAAGAATGGATGATATATGGGAAATAAATGCACAGACAAAAATACATTTATAATAAGCTTTTGTTGTTTTGCTCAACACCTTTTCTTCTTTGACGCCTATATTTATATTTTAAAAGCTGTATCTTAAAAAAATAATAGTAATTAAACTAAACATAAGTGTGTATACATAAGTACCTTAAACAACAACAGCTGTTGTAGATAATCTACATATAGACAAAAATAGCAGTTTATAACACACTTTGGTTGTTTTGCGCAACACCTTTTCTTCGACACATACTCACCAACCACTTAATTAGGTACACCTGTCCAACTGCTCGTTAACGCAAATTTCTAATCAGCCAATCACATGGCAGCAACTCAATGCATTTAGGCATGTGGACATGGTCAAGACGATCTGCTGCAATTCAAACCGAGCATCAGAATGGGGAAGAAAGGTGATTTAAGGGACTTTAAACGTGGCATGGTTGTTGGTGCCAGACCGGCTGGTCTGAGTATTTCAGAATCTGCTGATCTACTGGGATTTTTATGCACAACCCTCTCTAGGGTTTACAGAAAAAGAGAAAATATCCAGTAAGAGGCAGATCTGTGGACGCAAATGCAAGAGGTCAGAGGAGAATGTCCAGACTGGTTCAAGCTAATAGAAAGGCAACAGTAACTCAAATAAACACTCGCTACAACTGAGGTATGCAGAAGAGCATCTCTGAATGCACAACATGTCCAACCTTGAGGTGGATGGGCTGCAACAGCAGAAGACCACAACGGGTGCCACTCCTGTCAGCTAAGAGCAGGAAACTGAGGCTACAATTCACACAGGCTCACCAAAATTGGACAATAGAAAATTGGAAAAATGTTGCCTGGTCTGATGAGTCTTGATTTCTGCTGCGACATTTGGATGGTACAGTTAGAATTTTGCATCCACAACACGAAAGCAAGAATCCATCCTGCCTTGTATCAATGGTTCAGGCTGGTGGTGGTATTGGTGTAATGGTGTGGGGGATATTTTCTTGGCACACTTTGGGCCCATTAGTAGCAACTGAGCATGGTTTCAACACCACAGCACACCTGAGTATTGTTGCGGACCATGTCCATCCCTTTATGACCACAGTGTACCCATCTTCTGATGGCTACTTCCAGCAAGATAACACGCCATGTCATAAAGGGCGAATTACCTCAGATGGGTTTCTTGAACATGAAAATGAGTTCACTGTACTCAAATGACCACCACAGTCACCAGACCTCAATCGAATAGAGCACTTTTGGAATGTGGTGGAACGGGAAATTGGCATCATGAACGAGCAGCCGACCAATCTGTAGCAACTGTGATGATACTATCATGTCAATATGGACCAAAATCTATGAGGAATATTTCCAGTACCTTGTTGAATCTATTCCATGAAGGATTAAGGCAGATCTGGAGGCAAAAGGGGGTCCAACCCGATACTAGTAAGGTGTACCTAATAAAGTGGCTGGTGAGTTTATATGCTTGTATTTTAAAAGCTGTATTTTACATAATAATAATTAAACCAAACATAATTATTTATCCATAAAACACCTTAAACAACCCCAATTGCTGAAGTTAATCTAAATGCACAAGTTCATATAAAGAAAAGGGTTATTAAACAGATATTTTGGTTGTTTGTGCATAAATATAAACAGCCGTATGGCCACATCACGTCATGTAATGTCTTGACACCTTTTGGCCTTTTGTCAAAGTAAAACTCTGATCCAGACCGACCAAAACAAATCGAGTACATGACCCAACACAGGACAGCTCGGTTAATCTTTAACACATCAGTCGTCTGATGTCAGAAAAAAAGAGAGAAATAGCTCAGCACTCACCGACCTTCTTCTCTGACATGTTCATCCAAATAAGAAAGCTGAAATATAAGCTTCCAATAGATGATTCCTCCTCAAAAAATCCGACTTGATGTTCTTTCAGACCTGGAAATGTTAAGAAATGGATAGAAAATAATATAACTAATGTCATGGCCAAAGATGGGTTAAGCAAGTTAAATAAACCAAAGGGCAAACTGAGGGGGAAAAAATCAGAGGATTACTGTCACTGCTGTTGTTAATCCCTGATAATAAAAAAATATCGATATTTCTGATAAAAGTATTTTTAATACAAAATTTTTATTCCGCGTGTATATATTTCTACTCTCTGTTTGCATTAATAATTAAGATAAAATCTATCGAAGTGCAATGACCTCATTACTGTGTGTAATGTTAAACTTTGAGTTTTGAGTTTTAGATTTAGCTGAAATGTTTTTAGTGTTGAGTTGAGTAACTTGTTTATACATCTTTCTAATGGCTACAATTTTCACATGTATTTTCTGAGCACATGACTTTTTTTAATTGAACTGTTAATTTAAAAAGGTGAAAGATTTTTTAGGCTATTTGGCATGAATGAAAAATACAGTTTGACGGTGAGTTTTTTCACACGAGGAAAATGTTAGACTAGGTTGAAACTGGAAATAAAAACCAGATAGGCTATAAAACTAGATTTTAAACGATGTGGAATAGAAACAATGAAAATATGCAAATATACAAAACTATTTTTCTATTCTTCAGGATTTAGTCGTCTAATGCTGATGATAAGAGTAAAAACCAAAATTCTCACCTCCACCTCTTCACTTCAGCTTCTTGAATAAACTCGTGAATAAGTAACAAAGAGCTGAAAAAAACGTTAATCAGTTGTTTTCTTCAGATATTCGCGCTGACATTTCCGTTTCCCCGGAGTCTAAGGCTCTTTTATTTGGTGTTAAATGAAGCTTCTGTTTTCCGGCTCTTGTCTTCAGGCTGCCCGCAGTTTCTCCGCTGTTCGCTGGTGTGGAAACCGCCCTCTTCCGGTCAGTGCGGAGGCTCAGGGGAGCGCAGGTGTGCGTGCGGGCGGGTGCGCGCGTTCGCTGGACAGGTGAGTCTGTGTGCGCGCATTTCAGTTTCAGGAGCAGAGCATCAGATGATCACTAAGCAATTTTGGGTTTAACCCTCATGTACTGTTCAAATATACGACCCTTTCGTTATTTTCGTGGCAGTCTTTGCCCCATTGATTTCCAGTATAACGACATTTTTATTGAAAAGCCATTACAGTTTATAACAATGCAGTTTTTGATTGTTGGTGGTTTCCCTGTTGGGAAGAGGTAAAAGGTGTAATTTCTACTGTTGAACATTAATTTGCAGCATTAATCCTTCAGAAATAGGCATGTGCACACAAGTTTCTGACATTTATTTCTGAATTCTAGAGTAAAACAGTAGTGTATACATACATTTACTTTGTTTACTGTGTTCTAAGAGCTATTATTATTATTAAGTTATTATTATTTTTTCACAAACATATCAAGGTAAGTGTGCAAAGGTGTCACACACTTACACACTATCAGTGGTGGACAGAGTACTGAAAAATCATATTCAAATAAAAGTACCATTACTTGCCCAAAAATGTAGTGCAAGTCGAGTAAACGTATCTGTGGTAAATATTACTCAAAGTATGAAGAAAAAATAGACCTTTCAAAGGTACTCAAAGGCAGTGAGTATTGAGTATTATGCTGTGTAAACTTAACATTCTGTAGTGCATTTAGTGATTTTTTGGGCCATTTGACAAAGGTCACCTAATCTGCTCCTGCGTCATTAACTGCATGGCACAGGAGATTGGTTGCTGTCCCTCGGCAGCCAATGAGCTTGCTCCTCATCAGTTTAAATGCTCCATGTCATTTTCCGCTGTTAAGCTGCGGTGCATTTTTTGAGACCCTCCTGCACCCCAGCTCCACCTGTGTTTAGATCTTCTACGGGGGTTACATGTATATTATGTTTGCAGCTGCAGCGTGTTATATTCTGTGTTGTATATTGTTATACTGGCAGTAGCAGGTCTCGGTACTTGTTTTGCTTTGTAGATCAGCAGCAGCAGCAGATCTACCACCAAGACTAAATACATCAACATTGCCATATGCATATTCATTGCCATGCTAAATCCAGAGAGTGTTCATGACAGTAATATATTAATGATAAGAATAACGATTACAACAACAGTAAACATTTCCTAATTAGCAAATATTGTTATATTATTCATGCATAATGCTATTCATATTAGAACTTTACTTATATGCTACTCAATATTGCTGTTTAGTTCTGAATGGTCATAAATACAAAAACGTTATTCACTACATAACATTAATATAAACGTTAAAATGTTATTATTTTTCTAATGATCATACCAACTCTTGCAGCTATTAGTTCATATGTAACAAGATTAATTAAGGTTTAAAATAATTAGTAACATAATTTTTTATCAAATAACTACATGGTTAGACTAAATCAAACATTTAACCAAGCAGCTACAGTGCTCAGCATAGTGTATATAAGTACACGTCTCACAAATCTATCTTTTAAATATATATTTTTAATAGGACGCTCGACAGTATTACATTTGTGCATATACATTAGATTTGTCAGTAATGAAACCAAATCTGGAGCTTATCTAACAAAATAACTTGCGATAACGGTCCAAAAACTAGTACCAAATGTATAAGTTAGAGAAAAATATTAAAAACAAATTTGAAAAAGAGGAAAAATCATATATATATATATATATATATATATATATATATATATTAGTTGAAATTTTGTAGGTTGTAGGTAGTTTTTTTTTTTGCAATATCTTGCTTTAAATGTATTATCTTTAAATTTCAAAATATTTGTGGTGACTAAAATATTATTTTAATATCTATATCTGTTTACGAAATCTGCTTTGTTTAAATTCACCAAGATTTATTGCCTATATTCACTGAAAAATAGAGAAAAATGGGATGTACTCAATTATTCTGAGCACTGTATACTAAAATATTTAACATTTATTTAGCGTAAAACAACACAACATGATAATGATTTTAAGCAATATGCATGCAACATACATGTAAGTGAGGCATGCAGGAAATAATGACATAACGGCAAAAGGGTGGAGGAACTAAAACCAGACGAAGCTGTCAGACACTATTACTGATCTGTAAAAGCAAGTACTTGAGGCAGCAAAAATGTCTGCGAATCTCCTACCAGGTGTTTGGATCCTGACATCTCTGCTTTTCTCAGGTGAGACGCACTTCAACATTAAACATCACAAATGTACTTCTGTTGACATAAAATACATGACTGCTTAATCACAGCAGATACTCAAATTTAAGTATATGTGACCTTGGATTACAAAAACATCATAAGTGTCAGTTTTTTGAAAATTGTGATTTATTCAACATATGAATGCTGAATAAATAAACTTTCCATGGATGTATGTTTTGTTAGGATATGACAATATTTAGCAATTATTTGAAGATCTTGATTTTGAGAGTTCGAAATATCCAATCCAAAAAACTGAGAAAATTTCCTTTAAAATTGTTCAAATTGCATTCTTAGCAATGCATGTTACTCAAAAATAACAGTACATTCACTTGTTAGTCACTGTGTTTATTCTTATTAACTAATTGATTTCACACGCATGCTTCATTTGCCTGTTTCACTCTTTAAAGTGATAGTTTACACAAAACTTAAAATTCTGTCATCATTTACTGCCCCTTTACTTGTCACAAACCATTATTTGAGTTTTGTTGTTGTTGTTGTTGTTGTTGTTGTTGTTGTTTTTGTTTTTGTGTAACACTGAATAAGTTATTTTGAAAAAATGTTGGAAACCGGTATTCGTTTTCCCTACCAGTTTCTAATAGGGATGTCCAGATCCGATCACATGATCGGAAATTGAGCGTGATCACACAGTTTCAGACGCGATCAGAATCGGACATTACTTCTTAATCAGGACTCAAGTATACAGTTGGAGTCAGAATTATTAGCCCCCCCTTTGAATTTTTTTTCTTTTTAAAATATTAAATAATATATTAAATGATGTTTAACAGTGCAAATAAATTTTCACAGGATGCCCGATAATATTTTTTCTTCTGGAGAAAGTCTTATTTGTTTTATTTTAACTAAAATAAAAGCAGTTTTTTTTTTAAAAATAAAATAACATTTTAAGGTCAATATTATTTGCCCCTTTAAGCTATATATTTTTAAACCATCTTTATACGATAGCTTGCCTAAATACTCTAACCTGCCTAATTAACCTAGTTAAGGCTTTAAATGTCACTTTAAGCTATATAGAAGTGTCTTGAAAAATATCTAGTCAAATATTATTTACTGTCATCATGGCAAAGATAAAATAAATCAGTTATTAGAAATGAGTTATTGTGCAGAAATGTTGAAGAAATCTCTCTTTTAAACAGGAATTGGGGAAAAAATAAACAGGGGGCTAATAATTCTGACCTCAACTGTATATGTATATAAATGTATTTAAATACTTGTATATAAATATTTAATTCAATTCAATTCAGCTTTATTGGTAACACTTTACAATAAGGTTCATTAGTTAATGCATTTACTAACATGAACTAATCATGAACAACACTTGTACAGCATTTATTAATCATAATTGAACACTTACTAACACATTAATAACATTCAAGTCCATGCTTGTTAACATTAGTTAATGCACCATGAGTTAACATGAACTAATAATGAACTACTGTATTTTCATGAACTAACGTTAACTAACATGAACAAAAACAGTAGTAAATGTATTGTTCATTGTTTGTTCATCTTAGTAAATGCATTAATTAACATTAACTAATGAACCTTATTGTAAAGTGTGACCGCTTTATTTGTATAGCGCTTTTACAATGTAGATTGTGTCAAAGCAGCTTCACAAAAATGGTCATAGTAATTGGAACAGAGTAGTTCAGTTTTTAGTGTTTAAGTTCAGTTCAGTTTATCTCAGTTCAGTGTGGTTTAAAATCATTACTGAGAGTACAAACACTGAAGAGCAAATTCATCGATGGGTAGCTCTACCAATCCCAAACCATGCAAGGTAGTGGCGACAGCGGAGAGGGAAAAAAAACTTCACTGAAGCGAGGGAAGAAAAAAAACCTTGAGAGAAACCAGACTCGGTTGGGCACGACCATTTTATTTTCTCCGCTGGCCAAAAGTCTTGTGCACAGTTGTGTAATTACACTTAATGTGTAATTAGTAAACCCATTAAGTATCATATGGGGGAAATATATATGTTTTAGGTCTCTCTGGAGCATTTGGGATGAATGTTTAACCGCATCTAGTGAAAACGAGGATGTAATAAAATACGTTTTATACCAAGTTATCACGAGAAATTCTGTGATTTTTATATTATGAATGGTGTGCTGGGTCATCTCTCCTTTTGTGGCGAGACCACTCGACGTACAATCCCAACAGTCGAGTAAACAAATATAATGAATAAAAAAATACATAGGCCTATGCGTATACACATTGGCCTGTGTAATGCTGTTCAGTAACGTGTAATTTGTTTGCTTCGGTTGTCTCCATTTTAATCGTTTCGCAAATCGATAAGGCTTAAGTTTGCACATCTAGTTAGACCTCTTTCTTGACTTCACACAAAAACAGCAATGTGTGCGGCATGACATCCCTTTTTTGCATTTATTGGTTAATGCCGGCAAAGAAGAACACAGGAGCAGCTTAAAGCGGATAGCGCAAATATTTCTGCGATCTGGACATACTGTATTTTAAAGTTGATGAGACTTTTTAGTGCTGTTGCAAACATTCTTGATGAGAACAGAAAAGGCTGATACCTGACAACCTGACAAGGTATTAGTTTTTATTAAGAAAAAAATAATTTCCTTCTGTGATATTTATACTGTGGTGAAGGTAAAAGTTATGAGTGCAGTTTTTAAAAGCACATTACTCTCTTTGCAAAAACTGTCACACTTTTGTTTTATGTTTTTGTTTACATGCCTAAGGGGCATTTTAAGTTAAGGTGCGATTTGTTTTTTATATTAGATTTTTTTTCATATTTACTGTTGCGCTGAAGTCCAAAAGTGAAGAATTGATGGTATTTATTACTTGATTGTTTAAGCTACCTCACAGAAGTTCTCTGGTTGTTAGCAGAATTATTGAATGTTAGGATAAGGTGAATTAAATAAAAAATGAGGAACATCCTGGATCTGTCTCTTCACTCTTTTTTTTTTTAATTCTTTTTATATGTATATCTGATCAGATTTCGGTATTGGCAGATACTCAAAATCAAATCACTCTGACTCAAGGGCAAAAAAGACCTGATCTGGACATCCCTAGTTTCTAACATTATTTAAAATATCTTCTTTGTTCAACAGAAGGAAGCTCATGATTTACAGAACTAAATGCTTTCATGGAAAATGATCTTTTCTTAAAATTGTAATAATTTTGGCACAAACATTTGACTCTTATTCCCAAAAATATAGCCATGCAACATAAGATTTTGTCATGCAGGGTCACAAATAACAAACTAAAAGTTTCTAATTCATACAGTATGCTTTAATTTCAGGCATTCATGCTGCTGACTGGATAGTGGATGTTCCTAGTGATCCAGTTTACGCTCCTCTCGGCTCTTCTGTAGTCCTGCAGTGCAGGTATGACTATCCTGAAGACCCAGAGCAGGGAAAACCACACAGAGTGAAGTCAGAGATGTGGTGTTTGAATCAAAGCCATTGCATTACGCAGAGATACGTGTACCACAGTGCAGGAATATTCCCTGAGCCCTCGTACCAGGGTCGTGTCAAGTACTTTGGGCAGACGGGCAGCAAAAACTGCTCTCTGATGATCTCTGATCTGAGGTCAGCGGACAGCGGCGTGTACGTGTTTCGCTTCATCACTGACCACCAGAATGCCAAACTGCCAGGACAGAGAGGAGTGAATCTGCAGGTTACACAGCTGATGACAGGTTAAATATGATTCACGCCTGCAATATTTTGTCATCTGAGCGAAGTTTTTATTTCTGTAACACTTTATTTTAACTACAATTAACTATGTGACACAGTGGCTTAGTGGTTAGCACTGTTGCCTCACAGCAAGAAGGTTGCTGGTTCGAGTCCTGGCTTGGTCAGTTGGCATTTCTGTGTGGAGTTTGCATGTTTTCCCTGTGTTGGCGTGGGTTTTCTCTAGGTGCTCCGGTTTCCCACACAGTTCAAAGATGTGTGAATTAGATGAACTAAATTGTCCATAGTGTATGCGTGTAAACGAGTGTGTATGGATGTTTCCCAGTACTGGGTTGCAGCTAGAAGGGCATCCACTGTGTAAAACATATGCTGGATAAGTTTGCGGTTCATTCCACTGATGACTAAAGGGACTAAGCCGAAGAAAAATGAATCAATGAACTATGCAGAATTACATGCAACTAAACCTAACCCAAATTCTAACCCTAACCATATATTAAGTACATGTTATTAATTTTACACAATATATAATGAGTAGTTACACTGTAATAAGGATACCCATATAGTTACCCATATTGAAAAAATAAAATTTTTTTAGAGACTTGCCAATGGAATACAGTTGAATTCAGAATTATTAGCCCCCTGAATTATTAGCCCCTTGTTTTTTCACAAAGACGATACAAATTTTTTCTGTATTAATCCAATTTTAGTATGTGTGCCGCCTCAACATTCATTCATTAATTTTCTTGTCGGCTTGGTCCCTTTATTAATCCGGGGTCGCCACAGCGGAATAAACCGCCAACTTATCAAGCACATTTTTACACAGCGGATGCCCTTCCAGCCGCAACCCATCTCTGGGAAACATCCACACACTCATATACGGACAATTTAGCCTAACCGGAGCACCCGGAGGAAACCCACGCAAAACGCAGGGAGAACATGCAAACTCCACACAGAAACGCCAACTGAGGCGAGGATCGAACCAGCGACCCACAACCTTTTTGCTTTGAGGCGACAGCACTACCTACTGCGCCACTGCTTCGCCCCAATTTCAAACAAAAAGAATAAAATATTCTTGTAAAACAGACTTTATTTTTTTATTATTTGCAACTAAATAGTTAATACATAATGTATCAACTAACATGAACTAATAAGTGCTTATATAAATCCTACTTGGATCTGCATATTATGTTGTAGCTCTTAGAATTCTAGAAGTTTTTGGCAAATTTTAAAATGATTATTTAACATGGCAAAGACAGCCATTTTACAATAAATATTGGCGGTTAAATAATTATTTTAATGCTGTAAAAATGTCTTGCTAAGACCAATCGAGTCCCTAATGCATTTATAGGTTTTCCTTTAAATATAATAATCTTGTTTGAGATTTTTTTTTAGGTTTATTTAACATACAGTTGAATTCAGAATTATTAGCCCCCCTTTGTTTTTGTTTTTTTCTTTTTAAATATTTCCCAAATGATGTTTAACAGAGCAAGGGCATTTTCACAGTATGTCTGATAATATTTTTGTTCTTTTGGAAAAAGTCTTATTTGTTTTATTTCAGTTAGAAAAAAGCAGTTTTTAATTTTTTTTTAAACTTTCTTTATTTTTTTTTATTTTATAACACAACAACTTACATCTTTGGACAAACAAACATTCACACCACAATTGACAATAAAGCATGTAATATACAAACAATCCATATATAGACATAGTAATAATAGATGAATACGAAAAAATAATAATAATACCAAAAATAATAATAATAATAAAAATTTATTTGAATTGAAATTACAAAAAGGAAACAAATAATAAACACAATATTAAATAATAAATAAGAGTAAAGAAAAGTTAAAATAAAATAATAATACTCTTCTGTTTTTAAACTAAATTGGTCTAATCCTCTTCAATTTGACTATTTCCTGTCGAATTTATGTCTTTAAAGTGAGCCATGAAAGGTTGCCAGATTTTATAAAATTTTTCTTCTTTCTTTTTTAGGGAGAATCTGATTTTCTCTAGTTCCATATGTTTCATTACATCTCTCATAAGATGTGTATATGTAGGAGTGGCTTTCTGTTTCCAGTTTAATAATATTAATCTTCGTGCTAGTAGACAGACAAATGGAACCATATTTTGTTCAGTACTGTTTTTAGCCAGTTTTTAAATTTTTAAACACTATTTTAAGGTCAATATCTTTAGCCCCTTTAAGCTAGTTATTTTCGAAAGTCTACAGAACAAACCATCGTTATACAATAACTTGCCTAATTACCCTAACCTGCCTAGTTAACCTGAATAAAATATCATGCAAATACATGAAGCGGTCCATATATACAGTTGAAGTCAGAGTTATTAGCCCCCCTGTTTATTTGTTTCCCCAATTCCTGTTTAAAAGAGAGCAGATTTTTTTCAACACATTTCTAAACATAATAGTTTTAATTACTCATTTCTGATAACTGATTTTTTTATCTTTGCCGTGATGACAGTAAATAATATTTGACTAGATATTTTTCAAGACACTTCTATACAGCTTAAAGTGACATTTAAAGGCTTAACTAGGTTAATTAGGTTAACTGGGCTGGTTTGGGTAGTTAGGCAAGTTATTGTATAACGATGGTTTGTTCTGTAGACTATTAAAAAAAAAAGTTAGCTTAAAGAGGCTAATAATTTTGAGCTTAAAATTGTTTTAAAAAAAATTATTAACTGATTTTTTTCTAGCTGAAATAAAACAAATAAGACTTTATAATAATTCTGACTTCAAGTGTGTGTACATGTGTATATATGTGTATATTGAAAATGTCATTATAATTGAAGGTGTTGAAGTTTCTTTGTAATTAACTGCAAACTTTACTATCAATTACAATACTGTTCTCAATGTTAAGTATAGTGATATTTTTCATCATGTCAATGTATTTTCTTTCCATTTTAAATAATGAAGTATTAGGAGTTCAGTTTTTTTTAAATAAAAATTTTGATGGTTAAGATCAGGGGTCACCAATCTCGGTCCTGGAGGGCCGGTGTCCCTGCAGGATTTAGCTCCAACTTGCCTCAGCACACCTGCCTGGATGATTCAAGTATACCTAGTAAGACCTTGATTAGCTTGTTCAGGTGTGTTTGATTAGGGTTGGAGGTAAAATCTGCAGGACACCGGCCCTCCAGGAACAAGTTTGGTGACCACTGGTTAAGATGAATATGTGAGATAAAGCAGCATCAAAACACTCAACAAAACTGTAGCATTGTTCTCACACAGAAGTAAAACTGATTATTTTTTGGTCAACAGAAAATGTCTGCTCCATATAATAGCAGAAAACACATTTCCTCAAATAAGACACACTTCCTCAGAGAAATAGCTTCTTTTTTACCTCCACTGCAGGAGTTTTATTTCAAAATCTCAAAAGTGTTTAAACAATGACTGTTCAACCTTACATGGTTTACGACATTATGACATTTCAAATGTGTCAATACTGACTGACTGGCTAGTCAGCGTTAGACAGGAAGTCATGTTGTGTTGTTTGTCTGGTTTCTGAATGATACAATCTATTAAAAATAACACTGTCCTTCACAGCAAAAAGTGCATCTTCATCCACTATTGGCATTGTGTTTGGAGTTATTGTCATTGTCATAATAATAGCATGCATTTTACTATTCATCAGAAATAAATCACGGTAAGCAAAGCACTTGCACTGCCTCAGTACGTGTCTTGTTTAGTATAATTTCTTAAACAGTAATGAAATATGGTTTTGTCTTTCAGGAGCCAGAGGTCAAGATCACTTTGAACAAGGAATTGATGCTGTATTACAGTGGTTCTCAAACTGTGGTACGTGTACCACTAGTGGTACGCCGGCTTCCTTCTAGTGGTACGCGGAGGAATGAAGAATGTCATGTACATGCTACACACATTTCAAAATTTATCAAAAATTATGTATATAATATGCCACATATGATATATAGCCTATGTTTCTGAGGTAATCTGCCACGTTTTTTAACTGTGCAGAGTTTTAGCTGCTTTACTGGGCCTACTATGGTACTGTATTTCAATACTGCTCATTTTGGTGGTACTTGGAGAGACCATTTTTTTCTTCTGAGGTGGTACTTGATAAAAAAAAGTTTGAGAGCCACTGCTGTATTACATAAGTACCAGCATGGGGAAAAAACTGGTCACTGTGATAAGAAATGATGCTTCTGCTTTTCACCGTTTGCAGCAACCTTTACATCCTTTTAAGAGACTTTTTGTCTGATATTTATCTATTTATATTATTTTCTGCACATCAAGCTGCACAATGTTGTTGTCTACTGTATATCACATTGTATTTTAATTTTAGCATGACCTCTGCCAATGGATCAACATTAGTGGTCTTCAGAGAGTCTGTGAAAAACAGAATTTAATACTGCTACAAAGTTTAATTCGATATTGTGGATGCCTAATGTACATTGTAATCAAATGTGCTGTCATGTATGAACTATTATTTAAATATAAAAGCAATTCGTATTATTAAAGAAACAATTCACCGCAAAATTGTGGTAAATCTTTGTTTTTTAATGGTTGGTTTATTTACAAATCAGCATTAAATAAGAAATCCTTGATTTCCAATTACCCAAACCCCCCACCTACCCATTTATGTTAAAGGGCACCTATTTTCCCCTTTTTCAAGGGGTAAGACAAGTCTTTTGTGTCTCCAGAATGTGACTGCAAAGTTTCAGCCTAAAACACCCATCAGATTATTTGTTATATCTTTCTGAATATGGGAAATTTCAGCTGTTAAGACATTGTAACTGTTTTGCCTGTGCCTTTAATCCAATATAGGCTGGTTCTTCCGGCCCAACGTTCCCACTGATGCGTGTAGTAGCCTTCCTAAACAGCCCAGATTTGTTGTGGAGTTAATTCAAGCCTTTCTGCAACGATGAGTCGCACGCAATGTTATAAAGTTAACACACACACGTTTAGCTTTACTTAACTTAATCTGTCAATCAATTCGGTGAGTGGGGAAACTGCACTCCTACACCACACTGAAAACAAATGTCCAAAATTTTCACAACATTTTACTTAAATTATTCACAATAAATTACATTAGTATCTCTTTACAGGACTTAACAGCAAAAATTCACAATAATGTGTTGTATTCATAATTTTATTGTGAAATTAGGGCAGGTTGCATGATTACAGCAAATTACTGTAAAAAGGGCTATATCTTTTGCATTTTAGTTTCAAACTCTTTTTATTTAATTTAACATAGACATTAATACAAACGAACTTTTACAAACGAAGTATTGGCACTTTTTTGATATTTAGAAGTAACAATGTAATTGCAGCCCCAAAAACAATTTGGTTACATCTTCAAAAATAAATAAAGAAAAAATCCTCCTGTTTTGAAACGACATGTATGTCATAGCAAAGTTTTATTTTTCATGCACTGCCCCTTTATTTAGTTTTAAAAGATTAACATGGAAATATGATTTCAAAGTAAGGGTAAATGTCAAAATTAATAGCACATGAATGCCTACTTCACAGTAAATATAGTTAATTCTACAAAGTAGTACTGTAAAATCACAGTAATAGGCTATTATCTACTGTGAAGTTACTGCAACAAAATCACACTAAATTACTGTGAACTACCTCACTGTAATTTGCTGTGAATTTACACACAGTATTTTACTGTGAAAGCAATGCAATTATTAGCCAGTAATTTACTGTGAATTTAAAGTCAAATCTTTTATAGTGCACGTTGCAGTGGGCCTCAAAATTGCAGGGATTTAGATATTATTTTAATGTCAGGAAGTAAAAAAAAGAGACTTACTGTGTTTCTATCACTCCAATATGACTGTGGACACACGATACCTACACACAGTTTTGTCAACACCGCTTACAAAAGTTGATTTTTATCATAGGTGCCCTTTAAGTTATGCAATGTTGTAAAAGAGATGGTCTACTTTCTATCAATACAAATACTTGCACACATACCTTTAGAATTGCCATTTGGAGCCACATTTGCCTTATAAAAACTCCTTTAGTTTATTATTGCATAAATTCACCATGGTGCTAGAAAACGTCTTTTTTCTGAGATGTTGATCTATATTAACAAGAGAGCATCACAGAGTTGCTGCAGATATATCTATTTAATTAGTTTTGCTATACACCAATCATACATATTAAAAGTGCCTTGTAAACGCTTACAGGGTCTCTGAACTGAGAGATTTGGCTGTAAATCTGCCAGTTTCACACTGCTGAATGAATATTTATTTCTGCATAAACTGCTTTAAGTGATTATCCATTCACAATGGTATGAACCATGATGGGGGTGGTTTTGACTATTAATTGGGCTGAGCTGAAGATTAGTTATTTCTGTATGTAATAAATTGACTGTTAAGTAAAGGTCTAACACTCAGCATCTTAAAATAGTTTTCAATCATAGCAAGAAAACGTGTATTATTGCCAATCAGTAAAGAAAACAGACTCGGTGTTGGCATTGTTAGAAATGACTGTTTATAGAGTCCCAGTTACCCTGGGTCTTGTGTTTTGCTTTGTTCCCCATTGCTGTACTCTGTTCTCTTCCTGTGTTCAGTTCCTTATTACCCTGCATCAGTTGTTAGTCACTGTTTCCTCAGTAAATAGTTCTTCACATGTGTTACTTCATTTGCCATTTTGCTCCATTTGCCCAATTTACTCTTTAAAGGGATATTTCATTCAAAACTGAACATTCTGTCATCATTTACTCGCCCTTTGTTTGTCAGAAACCTAAGTTTTTTCATTCTGTTCAACACTGGAGACGTTATTTTAAAATATGTGGCAAACTGGAAACCATTGGCTTCCATAGTATTTGTTTTTCCTGCTATGGACGTCAAGGTTAACCAGTTTCTAACATTATTCAAAATACTGTATCTTATTTTGCTTTCAACGTATATATATATATATATATATATATATATATATATATATATATATATATATACATATATTTATATATAAGTATAACGATGTATAACGATGGTTTGTTCTGTAGACTATCGAAAAAATATATAGCTTGAAGGGGCTAATAATTTTGACCGTAAAATGTTTTTTTTTTTTTTATTATTAAAAACTTATTTTATTCTAGCCGAAATAAAACAAATAAGACTTTTTTTCCGGAGAAAAAATATTATCAGACATACTGTGAAAATTTCCTTGCTCTGTTAAACATAATTTGGGAAATATTTAAAAAAGAAAAAGAAAGTCAACGGGGGCGAATAATTCTGACTTCAACTGTGTATAATGCCCGTGTTCCAGGTGTTTAAGTGGGGTGTTTGTTTAAAGTTTTATAAAATGACAGCTGTCACTGAAATCACTGATAAATTTGTTTAAAATTCCGGGTTTAGTAAGATTTCAAGGTAATTAATACTTTTTTCTTCAGCAAAGATCCATTCAATTAAGTGATTAAATCAAGTGAAGTAAATGCATTTATAATGTACCAAAAGATTATTGTTTCAAGTAAATGCTGTTCTTTTGAACTTTGTTAAACAAAGAATCCTGAAAAAAACGTATCCCTATTCTACAAAACCACTTTAAACATCAATAGCAATAATAAATGTTTCATTATGTAACACTGAAGATACACTACATGACAAGCCTTGTTGCCTATTCAAGTTTTAGGAACAAAAAATAATAACTCAACTTCTAGTTGATTATTTGGTATCAGAAGTGGCTTATAAGAAAGGCAAATGCCTCTAGATCACGCTTATTTTACCAAAATAAAATATGAAAAAATATACAGTATATAGAATATAATGTCATGCTGCAGTGGGAAAACAATGAATATTGTGTATGACTTCCATGAGCTTGGAGGACTACATTCATACATCTCTGCACTGACTCAAATACCTTATTATTAAAGTCATCTGGAACGGCAAAGAAAGCGTTCTTGCAGGACTCCCAGAGTTCATCAAGATTCTTGGGATTCATCTTCAATGCCTCCTCCTCCATCTTACCCCAGACATGTTCAATAATGTTCATGTCTGTTGACTGGGCTGGCCAATCCTGAAGCACTGTGATCTTTGCTTTTAGGAATTTTGATGTGGAGGCTGAAGTATGAGGAGCGCTATCCTGCTGAAGAATTTGCCCTCTCCTGTGGTTTGTAATGTAATGGGCATGTCTTGATACCTCAGGCTGTTGATGTTGCCATCCTCTTTAAAGATTTCTTGCAAGCCCCCATACTGAATGTAACCCCACACCATGATTTTTCCTTCACCAAACTTGACTGATTTCTGTAAGAATCTCGGGTTCATGTGGGTTCCAATAGGGTTTTTTGCAGTATTTGTGAAGATTGAGATGCAGTTGAACAGATGATTCATCAGAAAAATCTACCTTCTGGCACTTTTTCAAATGATCAATTACAAGTCAAGTTATTATTTGTTGCTCTTACAACTGGGATTAATGTCAAGACTTTTGTTTTAAATTGGAATAACATCTCAGAATTGTGTTTTTTACAGCCTTAAAAGACTCCAAAAACAAACAAAAAAATCTTACTGACTAATCTTTTGACCAAACACAATCAAACAGGCCACCAAATTTCTTTTATTTGTGTGGTTCTCAAGTCTCTTACATCCATGCTCTAGTAGTAAACAAAAATCCCTGTGTACAGTATTTTCACAATTTTGATTGGTTTCACTAATCGACCTTCAGATTCCAGACTCCTCCATTCCCTCTCTTGACTGCATGGCAAGAACAGAATAAACTACATTAGCGCCATCTTTGAGCTTCTTCCCTCCATCTAGCGGTATGTTTGTGACCTCCACTTGGTCCCGACTGTGAACAAACATGACACACACAACATCTCTTGGATTTAATATGACTGAGAACTGCTGTGGACCAGCACACATGACTGTGTAGTTGTGTTTAACCTGGGCATGCGAGAATAATGCACCGTAATGTAGTTGATTTTTCCCTGTTCCTCAGAGCTCGGAGCTGCATCTTTCAAGGGCACGATGGATGGATGGCTACTTTCATACACCTCCTCTGGCTCCTCCTGAAACAGACCCAAAATAAATGCAAGTCACGTGAGTTTGTGCTATCCGACTAATGACAGACTATGACTAAATTTTCAAATTGCAAATTGCTAATCGGCTGATTGTGCAGACCAAATCGTACAACCCAGGCTCTTGCTGTAAAACGTACCCCTGTATACATTTCTGAAGTGCGCCAAATATGTCCCAGGAGCTACGTTTTTTGCAGTTTTTGTTTTCGCAAATCCACCAAAGGTCGCTGTATATGCTTTTTGAGATCTCAAATTTCGCTTGCAAGTGCCATTCATGCCTGTTGTTCTCGCGAAAAATCTACCAGAGACCCCTGTCGACTGACTGACCGACTGACCCAGTGACAATAGGCAATATGGGTGATTGCCCATGGCAGCATCTTCCTAGGGGTGACATGGAGACCACGCTCGATCTTCATTTTTTTCTGCGACCCCTCTCCCCTCCCCTCCCTTTCGACCGTAACCCCCCCACCCCTTAGTTAGTCTGTGACACTTCCACCCCCCCTTCACTTTAGTCCGCAACATGACCCCCCCCTCACCGCTTCCAATTTCGTCCGTAAGAGGACGGCACAAACACCATGAGGGCGGCATGACCGTCGATTGCCTAGAGCGCCAGTTAAGCTTGTGCCATCAGAGCATTTAAAAAAAAATGTTTGAGAGGTTTTTTTAAAAAATGGTGTATCTTGTGGCTTCATGTTTGGTTTCATTTAAAATGTCTCTGTGTGATTGGTAAAATGGGCTTAATTTCACTGTAATATTTAACAATTTCACTTTTATATGTTCAGTTGGTTTTCAGCTTTGATCAAGTCTTTGCCAGATGAATTTGCTCCCCCCGACCCAGAGCAAATAGTTGACACCTCAGACTTCCTGCTACAAGGGTCTTCTTTTTGACGCTTTTGTTGTCTTGAGTTTATAGCTGTTTGTTCTGAGTTAGTATTTAAGGGAAAGGTGCAGTGACGTCATTTGGGATCTTGTAGCCAGGATGCCCCGTTGCAGTGTATGAGCCTCTAAGCTTTTGCATCAGAGACTTACAGTTGAAGTCAGAATTATTAGAATTAATGTGGGTGTTTCCTAGTACTGGGTTGTGGCTGAAAGGGCACCCGCTGTGTAAAACAAATCCTGGAATAGTTGGCGGTTCATTCTACTGTGGTGACCCCTGATAAATAAGGGATTAAATCGAAGGAAAATAAATGAATGTATTAACAACAAAAGCATGCTCTTACACCTTTTCTTTCTGTGTTTATTGTACATTAGAATAACCTTATTGCCATTGGCTTTGCTTGTTTGTGACCAAATTTGTGTTGGGTTCTACACTACATTATGAAATGCTGTTGTGTTTGTGTTCTTTATTTGACCATCTTTTTACTGCTACTGGTGCTTTTATGGGATTATTTGCCCTGTTCAGAAAGTCTGTGTCCTCACTACACACAACAAGATTCCAGTGAAAATCAATTTGTCTGCCTGGACTAACCACTACACAACATAACATAAACATTTAAATACCAGCCATTTATTTAAATATCAGCCACTGCACTCTCAATGAAATGGTAGGGTTATAATCTAATCAATACACCATGGAGTTACCATTCTGACTATAATTTTCAGACCATTTGCTATTTATTTTATTTTAAACATCAAAGGTGAACCTTTTTTGTTACTTTCAGTAGTATGGTAATAAATGTCACGTTTAATGATATGTAAACTAGAGCTGTAATCGGGCCATAAAAGTTAGGCCTGACAGGGCCTGAGCCAGACAGAATCTGGCCGAGCCCGAAGAGTACATTTTGATTGACAGCATTTTAAAAGCCTGAACCCGTTTATAGCCGACATTTTTCAAATGTGCACATGCACACAGCTCTTTTAAAGTCATTTATGTGTTTTAACATAATTTATTCATAACAAACATAAGCTATAGGCCACTTGGAAGTTAGAACAAAGAAATAAAATAAGTCCTCTGTAACATCATAACATCTCAGCACTCTAAATAGGCCTAGGTACATACACTTAGCCTTTAAATTTTCCAACACATCAATAAAAATAAGTCTTTCTTAACTAATTAAATTAAAATTATAAATTATAACGGGTATTTGGAGAATAACAAAATTCGGATAAAGGCTCTGCGGGATTTGTTTCTTCTCACTTCTCTTCATAGTCTGGCATTATTGCGACGGTGAAGCTGAATAATAAAAGAATAATGCCAACATTAGTTTATATACTCTGTCTACATTTATGGTTAATTAGTATTTAGTTATAATTTATTAGAAAATCCTTCACTCACCAAGACTAGGCTACGTGTTTTTGTGGAGGAACATCCACAAATCCACTGTGAATGGTTTTAGTCATTTCTGCACTCACTGAGCAGCACTGAACACTCTCTCTGCTGCTGCTACTGGCCGAGATGTATAGTACTGTACTGGCTAATTTAGCATGTTTTGGGTAGGATTGTTTGTTCATCCTTCACCATTCATCCATTTCATTTTCCATGACAGCGGTTTCAATGTAGCGAGTGACCTCGTCATCTTCCCCGTCAGCTTGCACATTGCCGGAATACCTTGGTGGCTAGAATGACCGTTCTTTTTGAACTGGTGGCTGGCCTGACCGCAGTCAAAATTTGCTCCTTTTGACTTGTCCATCATCATTTGTTTCACCTTTGCAGGGAAGGATTTTAATGTTGTAACAAATTATTTGCTTACTTTCTCGCGCTAATCCAAATGCATCACATGACTGTTTATTTACTGTACAAGCCCGGCCCGACCCCGTCTAAAATTATAGAAATTAAGCCCGAACACGTCGGGTCCCGTTGGGTCCCATCGGGTTCAGGCAAAAATCTTCAGCTCTAATTCAAACTCACATCAGCATTTAACACTGAATAAAGCACATCATCTCTACCTGAGGTAAAAATTTTCATAGTAGTTTATGCTGTTGTGTATTGCAGAGTTGTAGCAGAAATAGAAACTAGAAATTTTGCACGCCGCTGTTGCAGATGGTTAGGATAAACCATTTTTTAACATGAAAAAGATACTATCGAGATACCATTAGATACAATATCCAACCTCTACAAAATCTGAATGGTTGAACATTCTATCTAAAGTTCAAAATATGGAGAGGCTTATGTTAAATTAAAACAACAAATGGACAAATACCTGCAATATTGGGAAAATGATTTGGGCTTATTCCTTTACATTGTGTAAACTTATTTGTATATGAATTTGTTCATGTGAATTGTAGGGACATAATGTGACCAGTCAACAGTTCCTTTAAGTTTCAATGGTATTGTTTTTTGTTTTTTCTTCAACTTAATTCCTTAAAAAAAAAAAAATAAATAAAATAAAAAAATTATCTTGGATTATCTTGGCTTTGTTTTAATCCATCTATTTATGTATTACAGAAACTGATAATAGTTTATAAAAAATTTAGCAAAAAAACTTACCGGGATGTCAGACATTTTTGTGCCCTTGAGGAGAAACGTCTGTGAAGTCGATTCACTAAATGAAGTGTGATCCACTGGTAAATCAACCACTGGTGAACACTGTTTTTAAAGAGGCCACAAAGACATTCGATTAACATGACCATATTTGGTTGTATTCAGATAATATGATGACAGAATCAAATGTATGACCTGTTTTTCTTCCTCAAGATTTTCAGTGTCCACACGATGCATGTTTTTACTACGAAAAAAGTGAAAGTTTGTGTTCGATCAAACGAGAACATCCGATATTTACCATTTGAGCCAATAAACATGCAATCACCTGATCATGACGACCACAGTCAGTGAGATCAATCCAATAGAAACCCCTACTGCAGATGCCAGCGCGATCACTTTCAGTCGGCCTGCACATATAAACCACAGCAGCTCAAACTGGGACATACAGTAAATGCACAACAGTCATGTCAAAACTACATATAAATCCACTACTTTTTAAATGACTACATGTAATACAGCTTTGGTTTATCCGCATATCCATCAGAATGGGTCCTGTTTTATTTGATTAAGTACATTTTATCATGATTCACCAAAGACATCCACTACAATGACATTCAGTGTATACAATATAGTCAGGCATATTTACAACAAGAATAATTTGATTGCATATTAAAAGATATAAGGATCACAGTGGTGCTTCGAACTATATTGTTATTTTTATTATTATTATTATTATTATTACTATTATTTTTAATCATGCAAAAATTATTTTGCCTTAATGGCATTTTTTTCCAAAACAGTTTAGAACAAAACAAACAAACAAACAAACAATCAAACAAACAAAAAACTATTTCAAAATGTCAAAGGTCAGCGAATAGAATCTTGTTTTACATTCGTCTTTATGGTTGATAAAATGTCGCTATATAAACTTTTGTTTAGGGTTACGTATCAAAGATCAACAGGTTCCAGATATATATAAATAAAAGCACCACAATAAAATTAAAACCTTGCATTTCTTCTCAACCATTTACCCCACTATGCAGAAATTTTAAAGGCTTGTTTTCGCAAGGAAATTGTCAGTATTTCCATGTCATACACCTCTTTTACAGTATAATGCCATTCACCTACAGATGGAGGATCTTCCTTGAGATATTCATTCATTCATTCATTTTATTTTCGGCTTAGTCCCTTTATTAATCTGAGGTCGCCACTGCGGAATCAACCGTTAACTTATCCGGCACATATTTTACACAGCAGATGCCCTTCCAGCTGCAACAAATCACTGGGAAATTCCTCAAGCCATTTCTTTGTAATGACCTTTTTGCTAGTTGTCAGTAGTGTATTAAGAAGATATGCATAATTATTTGGTATTTTTGAACAGTAAATTCCCTGGTACATAGTTTTAAAATTACATTCCAGATTCAATCCCATCATTCCATTCATCTCTTTATTCACATCTTGCCAATAGGTGTGTATAATATTACAATCCCCAAATATTTCTCCAGCATTCACTATTTTCTTTTATCTCTATTTTGAAAGTATTTTATTTTAGGTGTCATAAAGAGCCTGATTACATTTTTTCAAACAAATTCCTTTTATGAATCTATATTGTGATCATCTGTGTTTCCCAAATAGTTAACCATTCCTTAAATTGTCATTTGAAATGTTTATGTTTTCTGCTGGCGAGGGAGTGGCGCAGTAGGTAGTGCTGTCGCCTGATAGCAAAAAGGTCACTGGGTCGCTGGTTCGAGCCTCGGCTCAGTTGGCGTTTCTGTGACGAGTTTGCATGTTCTCCCTGCGTTCGCGTAGGTTTCCTCTGGGTGCTCCGGTTTCCCCCACAGTCCAAAGACATGTGGTACAGGTGAATTGGGTAGGCTAAATTATCAGTAGTGTTTGAGTGTGTGTGTGAATGTGTGTGGGATTGTTTCCCAAAGATGGGTTGCGGCTGGAAGGGCATCCGCTGAGTAAAAACTTGCTGGATAAGTTGGCGGTTCATTCTGCTGTGGCGACCCCAGATTAATAAAGCGACTAAGCCGACAAGAAAATGAATGAATGAATGCTTACTGCTATTCCTCAAACCAATAGGTTTTCAGCAAGAAGGTTTTTGTAATTTAAAATACTCTTTAGCGCTTTTATTATATTAATGGTACATTACTAATAGGTTTAAATAATGCTAATCCATCTTTCATTTTGTATTAAATAAATGTTTTGGTTCCATATCACACATCATCCTCATTTTTTGCTTAAAGATGCCATATACTGAATTGGTTTAATAAGATAAATTGTTCACTAATATCTACATTGTAGGTGGCTTGGGTAAGTCAAAAAAATCTTCAGAAACAGTTGTATATATGCTCATTCATTCATTCATTTTCTTGTCGGCTTAGTCCCTTTATTAATCTGGGGTCACCACAGCAGGATGAACCGCCAACTTATACAGCACGTTTTTTCGCAGCGGATGCCCTTCCAGCCGCAACCCATCTCTGGGAAATGCTCATTTGTTACTCCATAAAATACCCCTAGGATCAGAAGGTCCATTATTGATCATATTTGGATCGTGTCTTGAATATTAATGAGCTCCGCTCTGAGGTTCAGCTCTCACAGACACACACAAACACACCATGATGTATGCTGAACATGGACAAATATAAACCCATCAGAGTAAAGTTAACCTATTTTGCCCATAAGATCTGCTGTGGATAAAGGCTAAATTATAATTAAACTTGACAAATAAGACTAATAGATTGTGTTTTATTTTTAAGCTATAATGTTAAAGGAAACACACCCAGGAATTAATATCAACCTCTTCATGAACATATGACAGTGAGCTGAGTGGTTTGACACGATTCAGCAGTCTACACGTGTTTGTTGAAACAGACAATTCACAATAAACACTATAATATAATGAATATAAATAATCTGTAAATCTTGTATTTTGCATCCTGATGCGAGTTTGAACATGTGTCAGTCATTGATCAGTGACAGAAAAAAATCTGAGCCTCTCGTTTTCAAAATAAAAGTCTCACATACATAGGTATATATAAGCTTAAAAATAACTAAGGGAGAAAAATTATCATTATTGTCTCTCTAGGATACATTGTGGCTTATCAAACGCAGCCTGAGGTGTGCATATTAATAATCTCAGAGCTATATGAGTCTGTGTTCTCCTGATGACGCGACAGCTTGTCAGTTCCGGATAAATAACCTAAAGTACATGCAAATGATGAGGGCGTGGTCTTTGAGTTACGTAACTGTCTGCTTCATGTTCTGATTGGCCTTTTGTTCACCGGGGTTTACACTCATGGAATTTACATGAAAACAAGGAAACAATAGTGTTTGAGGCTCATGGTATGGCCATTTCCATATACTGATTTTTTACAATTCTACTATGCCTAGATATACCCCAGGCACCTTTAAGAAACATTTTTTTTAATCAATATTAAAAACAGTTGTGGAGTTTCATTTTTTTTGCAGAAATTTTGGTCACTTTATTTTGAGGGTTCGTTTGTTGAACTTAAGTTACATTGCGTCTACATGCCAACTAATTCTCATTAGATTATAAGTAGACTACAAGGTTGGGGTTGGGTTAAGGGTTAGTGTAAGTTGACTTGTCTTGCAAAGTTTTTTATAATCAGTTAAATGTCTGTTGATTGTGTGTATTATTAGACATTAAGCACACAATCTACTAATACTCAAATGGACCATCAAAATAAAGTGCTACTGAAATTTTAACGATTTATTTTCAGGAAATTTGTCAAAATGAACATTTATTTCTACATTTATTTAAAATACAAATTTACATCATAACATTATAAATAAACAAAAAAAATCGATATAATGTTTACAAAATCCCATTTAAATTATAATAATAATAATAATAATAATAATCATCATCTAAACTAGGATGAGGGTTTTATTTTATATTTTACAGACAAACAAACACATTGATGATGTAATTGTGTAACTGACCTCGAACCTTGACGGTGAGTATGGGGGAGCTGTGTGCACCGATGCGGTTGCGGGCCTCGCAGTAGTACTGTCCGCTGGCTCCAGAACTGACCTCAGCAATGGTGTAGCTGGGGCCCGATCGAGTTTCCCAGGCGTCAGCCGTATTGATCCGGTGCCAGGTGTAGTTCTCCACCGCCGGATTGGCCTGACTGATGCAGGTCAGTGTCAGCGAGCTGCCCGCTTCGATCACAGTGGAGGGCTGAGCCAAAACAGAGGTGTTTTTAGGGGCATCTGAAATAGAGAGAAAGAGGGGAAAAAACTCATTTACTAAGGGCCAGCTAATTTCACAAGACATGATTTGTGAGTTGCATATAGACATTCTGGACAACATATTTAATAACATTAATCAATATATATCACAAAAATCTAACAATATTAGCTATTGCAGGTATTTAGGCAGCATAAACGTTATAATGTTATTTGTAATAAAAGGTCATACATGTCGAATAAAACTCATTTCAGAAACTGCCATAGCTCAAAGTTCGAATTTTCTTAATTTTTTACTGAATGAGCAAAAACTTACTGCAGAGAAAATAAATATTGAACACATCATGCTTTTTTTTTCCTGGGAATAATATTTCTAAAGGAGCTGTTGATATTGAATTGAACCAGATTTTGGTAACAACCCAAACAATACAAACATAAAATAAAACAAAACAAAAAAATCTGATAAATGGGTTATGTGTTTTAACAATGAAATGACACAAGGAGTAGGTACTGAACTACTGAAACATATTTAATACTTGATATAAAGGCTTTTTGGCAGCTTAAAGATGCCTCTCATATGGAGAATCAAGTCACATGACTTGCTCAGGTGTGAGTTTTTCACAGACTTCAACCAAGTGTAAAAATATTAATGGTTCCGTGGGTCTCGTCTATCAAATCTGATCTTTATTTTGTATTTTATATCGGATTCAAGTCAGGCGATTGGCTGGGCCATTCTACAGCTTGATTTTCTTTCTCTGAAAACATTTGAGAGTTTCCTTGGCTGTGAATTGGATGATTGTCTTGCTAAAATGTCCACCCTGGTTTAATCTTCTTCATCCTGATAGGATGAATGTAACATGAATGTAGATGTTGGTTGATTTTAGCTGCTGTCTGGGCTTTCACTGCCTTTATACACCTGCCCTTCATGTGTGCAATGCTTTTTTCCTGCGTCATTTCATTTTATTACGCATAACTTTAATTTGTAAACTAATTAGATTTATTTTTCTTTCACAAATAACTATGAAAGCCAAAATACTAATTAATTAGTTCACTGTCATTAATGTGCATATTTACTAATTAATCCACATTTTTTTTAAAAGCAGGGTTAAAATGACCATTTTCAGACTTATTAAATAAGAGTTTGGTAAAATGTCTTCAAAACAATGGGGGTATCAATATTTTGTTTTTATACATAGACTGGTGATTTATTAATCAAATCTATTGACCTAAGCAATTTTTGTTGCATTACATGCCAGTGGCACCAAAAAATATTGGGGAAAAAATATTTTTCCTTAAATGCATCATTCATTCATTCATTGTCTTGTCGGCTTAGTCCCTTTATTAATCCGGGGGTCGCCACAGCGGAATGAACCGCCAACTTATCCAGCAAGTTTTTTACACAGCGGATGCCCTTCCAGCCACAACACATCCCTGGGAAAAAAATGTATCATAATATTTAATAATACTCTATTACTTTTTTTAGCAAAGCTTCTTTTGCTATTCTTATTTTTAAAGGGATAGTTCGCCCAAAAATAAAAATATTGTTATCATTTACTCACCCCTCACTCCTCATCAAAAAGATATTTTGAAGAATACCAATAACCATTGATTTCCATAGTATTTTTTTTTTCTTACTATGGATGTCAATGGTTACAATTTCCCAGCATTCTTCAAAGTATTTTTCTTTTGTATTCAAACTCATAAGGGTTTGGAATACCTTCAAAAAATGGTGAGTAAATGTTCAGTTTTGGGTGAATTATCTCTTTAAGGCCTTATAGGATTCATGTTCAAACACAGGGGTTTCAACTTGGCTCTGAGTACAAGTCACACACTGTTAGTCTAAAACATATCGAGATCTCAATGTCAATGAGTGTCTAAATTATTGTTAAATATACATCCATGGCCTTCTCCTTCTATCACTATTTATGTTTGTCTTATACTAATAAATAAAAATTAAAGAACAGAAACGACTCCAAAAGCTGCGCTCTACACAGCAAATTCATCAGAGTTAAATTCTCGGTGTTGAAGCATTTGAGAGTAAAGTGTTGACGTTAAAGAGTTAGATTTTGATAAATTAATATAATAAGAGTTAGAATTGATTTTATTCAGTGCGAAATCAAGGAGTTATCTTTTCTACACTTGGTGGTGTTATTTCCAACATCCGGGAATTCATGCAGCCCCAGTCACTGAAGAATTTTCCAGACGCCATTTTCCATCTGAGGTTTAGAACAGCAACTGGTGAGTCAAACTACCTAAATGTTGGTATTGTACTGACTTTCTTTAAGGAAATACAGTTGTAAACATGTTGTTAAGTTAATAACTTTAGAATGGAGTGACAATTTTAAACTTCTGCGGTTCATTCATGGTCGTTTGTGTATCTAGCTTAACTGCATTACTATTCACTTCTTTTCAAGAATGTTTTTATATATGCTCACGCATACATAGTGCATAAAAACATCAAATGTACATGTTCAACACATTTCTGTCACGCTTAATGCCATTTTGTGCGTTGTTACCCATCTGTAAAATAAAATGGACACTTCTCCCTTAATTCCAAGCAAACTAGCGAGGGAATCCCCGGAGCCGCCTATCGTTAGCCTACTCTGCCCGGATGCTAACGGCAACACAGGAGAGTTTTAAAACATATCTGGTGAGTAAATGAACATATGCTTAATTGTAAAAGGCTTCCTGACTGAAACTAATGATTGTTTGTTATTCGTGTACGTAATTTGGTTATTTTAAACACCGCGGCCCTTTTAAACTGGTTCATTCGTGGTCGTCCATATACCGTTAAGTTAGTCCATAACTTAGACTCGTGTGATAACGTACGCTTAAATTAAATTAAGTGTTGACAACCATTAAAGTCGGAATGTTAACATTAATGTCTTTAAATGACCGCGTTTGCACTTTATCAGACATTTAACGTTACAGAAGTCTCCCGGAAGTTGCCGGACTAACGTTAACGTTATCCCGCAAATGCACAGAGACTCCCAGATGCCCAAGTAGATGCCCGCAAATGAATGATAATCTCCCGGAAATCGCGCGTCTCCCGCCCGGTCATTAAACACTTTGCACGCCCCTCTCCACCGCATCCCTCCCAGCTCTTCAGGTACGTCGCGCGCAAGTCACCCCCACCGCTCTTCAGGTACGTCGCGCTCAACTCACGGTACTCATCTCTCCCGCTACCTCCCGCAAATCAACTCTGTATCCCCCGAAAATGACTTTTCCCAACTCGGGATATCTGACGTTAGTAAGTTAGGCTATTTCTGTAGTCAGGAACATCTTAGTCAAGCTTTTTCTCCCGTATGATATTGTGCTTAAAACTATAGGCTAAACTTAGCATGTACTGTACACAACATTTCCGTTTTATTAGTGCGTTGTAAACAGCCACCTGTCTGTAAAATTAATCAACTGATTCATATTTGAGCAGCCTAATGATGATACAGGTTTGATTTGAATATTTATTATCAATAATCAACATGTGAATCAAAAGATATCTGAAAAAGTGTGAGGCATACTTTGTGATGTTCATCTCTCTTTTTTATTTGAAGGTTATGCATATGTGTTAGATACTAATGTGTTGTTGTTTTTTAACAGCCACAGTTCTCTGTACAATAACACAAGACCCTGTGACAGTGGCTGATTAGAGACGGATGGTGTATTTCCAGAGTTGGTGAAATGACCAAGCACACCTTCTTGGTCATATGTGGTGATAATAATGAAGGTATGTTTGATAAAGTTCTGTATTTGTTTTACAATAAGCTGAGAGGGTATTAGAGCATTAGAGAATAACAAATGACATGAAGGTGATAAGTTTTGTATTGTGGGTGAACTGTTACTTAAATAATGTTTTGCTCTTTGCTTTGTGCTTTTTCTCTTCTGCTTATCCTAATATTTTAGATTATATTTGGACCTGAAACATCTGCTAGACTCCAGGAAAGGTGGCATCAATACTGGACCTGAAAGGGCCTAACAAGTTGAATCTGGTAAAGAAACACGCACACACACACACACACACACACACACACACACACACACACACACACACACACACACACGCACGCACACGCTTACAGAAAACTGTAAGTTTATGAATATTTTTTACACTGTGGCCAATATTTTGGGTAAGTCAGCATCACTAAATGATATAAAAGATTTTAAGCTCCTCTAAATTTAGCTCCAAGTGTTGTGTTAAATTCTGGATTCTGGACAGACAGCTGCCTGTTTTTCCAGTTCTAGTCATAGTGGTTAACCTAATTGTTTTTGGAGATCCAACAGTGATGTATGTGTTTTTTCTACTTTTCCATATCCTGTCACCTCAACCAGCTGGGAGAGTCAAGTTGTGGATCATCATGAAGATTTTCAAAAGGTGAGTTTAGATTTCTTGAATGTTTTATTTACTTTAAATGTTCTTTTAAATATATCATAGAATTTGATTGAAATTTGTTTTCAAACATTTTTCTTAGTCATGCTGGAGTCTTGAAGAGTTCTTAGATGAGCATCACCCTATATCCGTGCATCAGGAACCACCAGACGAGCGATCAGCAGCTACTACATCGTCATGGATAAAAAGGTCATCCTGTGGCTGGGAAGCACTTCATTCACAGGACATGCTTGATGAGATTTCCTAGCTCCAGTTTGTTTTCACACATTTTTACAGCATTTATACCTTCATTTAAACTGCTGTGTTTGATATGGAGGACCAAGGAAACACCAGAAGTGAAAGATTTGCACGCCAAGTTGTTTAAAATGTAATTTCAGAAGAAAACTATGCGTTCAGAAGAAAACTATGAGTGACGATATATTGAACTTTCAAATTGCTCTGATAACACATCAAGTTTGGACCAAAGGACTGAAACAGCCTTTTGAGCACTGATCATACATATTTTGTTGATACTGTCTGTACTAATAAAACATTTAAAGCATATTTGACATTGTTGTATTTTAAAAAACTGAATGAATTGTTGAAGTTGTGAATGTTTTCAAATAAAATGTTTTTTATTTTGTAATTTACAGTCTATTTGACCTTTTTACCATATTTACACTCAAGAAAGTTGAATAAAATAACAATATATTACACCAGGTGGTGTTAAATATAGTTACATTTTTTAACTCTGCCCAGAGTTAAAATTAACCCTTACTTTGGTGTCAATGTGCCAACCCTTTTGAAAGTGTTGATTTAAGTCTGTTTTGAGTGGACCCCATGAGACACTTTCAAAGTGTTGAAATTAACACCCATAGAGTTGTTTTGGGTCCCCATATTTTGCTGTGTACACTCAAACTTGCTGCTTTATGGACAACTTAATTGTTTTATGTTCAATCCACTTATTTGTAAAATATTTTGTAAAAATTTTTTAAGTTAACTTAATCTATTTGTGATGAGACAACATGAAGGAACGGTGTGGAACCCTGCATTTTTTACAGTGTAGTTTGAGCTAATTTGTGATCCCTAATAGGTGTAAACTTACAAAGCACTGGAAGGGAAATAGTAGGCGACGTCCCCATGCCAAATGCGTTCCAAGCAGTGCAGTAGTACTGTCCGGCATGATGGGAACGCACACTGAAGAAAGTGAGATTTTGCGCCGTGCCTTTAGTCCAGGGTTGCCCACCGTTCACTTTATACCAGGCGTATTTCAGCACAGGAGGGTTAGCGTTGCTGCTGCAGGTCAGATTGACTGAAAAGCCTTCCATGATGTCTCCTTTAGGACTGATGAGGATCCTTGTGTTTTTGGGCGGGTCTGAAATTAAAGATGCATATATTTTACAATACCTGAAAAGATGATGTAATGTTCATGAATACCAGTATTTGTTGAGTTCTTGTATATCATTGCCAGACTATGCTGCCAAATAGGCAGGGCATTGCTGTTTGATTGGAAATGCGGTTGGTTTTGTTTGGTTGGTTTTACAGTTCTTTGGACAGTGTTAAAACATTAGAACAACATAACAATCCTTGGCTTTTTAGCCAATAATAAAAAATAAAAAAACATTTGTGCCTCTCAAAGTAACATTGCTTCATTACTGAAAAACCTCATTGTGAATCAGGCATTTTGAATGGATTATTTGAATGATTGATTAAAAGATGCACTCATTAGCATTAGGACAGGAACCTAGAACCTACTGTCAGTTTTAGTTAAAGATGCACCGATAACCGATAACAGCACGAGAACTTACATCCTACTGTACATTTTGGTTAGATATGCTCTGAGATGGAATTTTTGACCTTTACCAATAACTCATAACAAGACGAGAACTTACATCCTTCTGTACGTGTTAGTTAGGGATGCAGATATGGAATTTTTGACCTTTACCAATAACCGATAACCGGACAAGAGCTTGCATCCTACCGTCAGTTTTAGTTAGAGATGCACAGATATTAATTTTTTTTACTTTTGCTGATGAGCAATAAAAGGACAAGAATTTACAACCTACTGTCACTTTTAGTTAGATATGCACCCATATAGTTTTTTTTTTTTCTTATACCTATAATAATAACAGGACAAGAACTTACAATACTGTGAGTTTTAGTTAGGGATGCACTGATATGGAATTTTTGACCTTAATCGATAACTGATAACAAGACTAGAACTTACATCCTACTGTCAGTTTCATTAAGAAATGCACTGATATGGAATTTTTGATCTTTACTGATAACCGAAAACAGGACAGGAACTTACAACATACCTTCAGTTTTAGTTAGAGATGCACTGAGATGGAATTTTTGATCTTTACCAATAACCGATGACAGGACAAGAACTAACAACCTACTGTCCATTTTATTTAGAGATGCACTGATATGGAACTTTTGACCTTTACCGATAACCGAGAACAGGACAAGAACTTACAACCTACCGTCAGTTTTAGTTAGAGATGCATGGATTTGAAATTTTTAATCTTTACCGATAACCTATAACAGTACAAGAAGTTGCATCCTACCATCAGTTTTAGTTGGAGATGCACCGATATGGAATTTATTATCTTTACTGATAACCGATAATAGGACAAGAACTTACTGTCAGATTTAGTTGGAGATGCACAGATATGAAATTTTTGACTTTTACCAATAACAGGACAAGAACTTACAACCTACTCTCTGTTTTAGTTAGAGATGCACTAATATAGAATGTTTTACTTTTATCAATAACCGATAACTCTTTGGATTTGGAGGTCAATAGCCGATATACAGGCCTATAAAGTTTTTTTGTTTGTTTTTAAAAGTTTCTGCATGGTTGCAAAAACAAAAGGCAAACACATACAGTGAACGAATGTTATAATTTTATCAAAACTTCAAAAAAGTTTGAACTTATCTCTAAACTTTATTAATGAACTATATGGTCAATTTTCTTTTATAAAAAAAAAAAATCTACATTTTTCTTTAAAAACTATGCATAAGTAAAGCAGCTAAGTCACTGCACATTAACCAAAATCAAAATACCAGTAAAATAATAAAAACTGGCATGCAGCAAGCATGTAAAGTAATTAAAAAAGCTAAACTAATACAGAATGTATTAGTTTTAAAAAGAAATGTACCAAATTTTGTTATCTGATATTGATAATAATAAAAATAGCATTTATATTCCATTACCAATATGTTACCAATATGTTGTTCATTCTTAGTTTTAGTGTCATATTTATTTACTTTTATTTTAGCCCTAAACCAGCACAAAAACACATTCAGCAAAATATCATTTAATTTACAGTTATTTTAAGTTTTCAAAAGCTATCAGTCATAAACAAAGTAGCACAAACCACTTGCCAAAGTTTCATACAGATGGATTTAACAAACCTTAACCTTAAGTATGACCAATGATAGTGAAAGCGGGAAGTAAATATTCCTTTAACAGCTGAGCATCATGTGGTTTCCCGATTTGCTCTAAATTTGTTCACTTGATCTGAACTTTGATCTATTCGAGATTGGCAGACAATGTGACATAATGTCCTGCCAAAATTAATGTTATTACACAAGAACCAGTGAGTGAGAAAGAGGCTCCCGCTCACAAAGACATCAGCTCAGCAACACTGGAAAGAATAAATCTAATTAGGGAAAGTGACAAGTTCATATGTCTGGTGGCCTTTTCAAAACTAGTCTCATTTTGACCTGTTCACCAAAAAACAAAAAAATCTGCTGTTAGTTTTTTCCCACTCTCAGGTCATCCAAGATGTAAGTAACTTTTTTTCCTTCAGTGGAAAATTAAAAAGGTTTTAGCTAAAATTGTTGTCTTTGGTGATTCATATAATGCAAGCAAATGGCTGCCAAGACTTTAAGAGTGAAAGAAATACATACAGGCAAAACTAAACTAATACAAGCTGAGCTTATTTTAGTTTTGCCTGATTTTTTGTGTGTAAAAAATAAAACATTAATGAATTTAGTTTTTGTATTTAATTTTTCTTTAAATATTAATTATTCAAATGTATTTTAGAGACCATGTATATGCAATTTTTATAAATGTTTTATCAAATTATACATTTCATAATTTTAAATAATGTGGTATACCACACAGACTTTTCATTTCAGTCAGTCAGCCCCAGGGCTTCCAGTTAATTGTCATCCGATACAAAATATTTATTTCTTTAAAAAAAAACAGTGATCTTCATCGCCTGGCTGAGACACGATGTAAAGTGGGTCTCAGACCAAACAAGAAGCGATGCATTAAATGATATTTTTCTACGCCATGTCTTTAAAATATGGAAATTAATTTTACCCCAGTATTTTTAATAAACAGTCTTTTGTCACTTTTTACGCTTTAACAATGAAATGGATGTCTATTTAACTGATTGTATTTTAATGATATTGTAACATCAAAAGAACCTTAATTAAAAGAACCTTATGAAATTAAAAATAGTCACATAAAGCTTTCATCGGAAGTTCATCATTGGCTGAACAACACTGTGCATGTAGCTCATTACATTTTATAACTAAGATGTAAATCTAATACCATTAAAGTATGATAATAGAAAAAATAATGATAAAACTAAATTTGCAAAAAATAAAAATAAAAATGTGTGGGGGATGCGATTTAAAAGTTCTTTACGTTAAGAATTAGATTTCATATGGCCTTATGCTTATGAAGTTTGCAGTCATTTTATCAAAAATACAGTAAACTTTTCAAAAACACAGGCTATTGCGACTTCCTGATGCCTCCTTAAGTCGCTAGAGAGGCAGTGAGGGTCCTTTGAATTTGTGACGCGCTGGTGGCTTTAGACAGACACACTGAGCCCAAGATTTTATAAGGAAAACTTTATGGAAACTTGAAGCATGACAAACAATACCCCAATTTGTGTCGTTGAATACCTGTTTTGTATGGAGCCGATTATTGCGTTGTAGTGACGTTTGTTGCGTGTGCCGTTGCGATGCCGTTTGCGATGCCATTTTGCGGTCAACAAAAAATACGACTACCCCACTCTCCTTCTCTCCTCCTCACCTGTTTGATTGTGCACGTGCTTTATATGTTCTAGCAGGTGCCAGCTATGCCCACGTGACCAAAACATAAAAGGTTACTTTGAAACCCAAACTAATCAGTACACAAATAAACATTATAATCAAATGAAAAGTAATATGGCCCCTATACAGGCACTCTACAATTTGACAAATATTGCTGCAGTTGGAAAACATAATGTACTTTTGGGCCTTTTTAGGTGATAATATGGTTGTTTAGATCGCAACTTTGCAGTTTATTTAGGATAGTGCTTATAAATATTTATAGTTTCTGAGAGACAGACCAAAGATGGTTGATGGTTGTCCAACCACAAGATTTCAACAGAGACCATATAATAAGCTGTTAGAAAAGAAAAAAAACAGCCTATTTTCTAACTACAGCTGATTAAATCATTATAAAACTGGTGAGTGACATTTTAAGTTAATCTGTCTCTCTTTTGTATGTAGACTGTATATATACAGTACCATAGTAATTGTAGTGAATTGAGTGTGAGATCTCACATATCAGGAATGTGTGTATTTTGTGCTGGCCACTTTTTGTACAACCCTGACTTTTTGATTGAGAGAGGTCTGGATGCAGTGCAATCTGAGCTGCATTCAATACTTTTTTATAGGCTCACCCCTAACCCTACCCCTCACAGTGATGTCACTCGCTCCATTTGAGTGCATTGTGTCTGATATTGCATCGCTCAGTGATGCAATCTCAGCTTGCATCATAAAGGCTGCATCCATATACTTATGTTTTGATTGGTCATCTGTTAGTTTCTAATGTGTCTCCTGTTTTTGTAAATGCAGACTAATTCAGCAAAAAGAAAGACAGAAGAAATTCCTGCATGTGTTTTGTGTTTTTCTATATCACAAACAGAACGGTAATCTGGTAGTGTTTGTGCTGTTTAGGCTTTTGCTGGGTTAATTATTATGATATCTTGATTGCAACAGAGAAATACTGGGAAAATCTCTGTAGATTGATGGTATTTCATGTCGTTCAGCCTTATAATCCTAAAATGTGAGCAAAATCACCTGTTTTATTATCACTTTAGACATTACGCTAGAGAATCATTCAAATACTAGCACTAAAGTAATGTTTGTGAAGTAGCAATGGTTTCTGCTGTTCAGCTGCAGATGCAAATGAAGGTGGAAGAAAGTAGTTCCTCAATCAAAGGGTTTTGAGACTCTCCGTGTTTGATTTTCTTTTTTATATAGATGATTATGCTGTCGAACTGTTGTATAAATGCAATATTACCCTCATACCAGTGCGATATGGCTATATATTATCACTGGTGGGACACTGACGCATGCCTCCCATCAGAGTGATACACAGCCATATCGCACTGCTACTCGTGTGATTTTACTCAGATATTTTTGTGCATCTATGTTATATTTTACCTTAATATTCATATACGTATTTAGTGTATAATTATATTTTCCTAATAATTTCTTGTTTGGTGAATTTTTATGACGTTTTTTATATCTATGTTATATATATTTTATCTATAGTGTTCTTTTCTGTTTGACCTAAAACGAACCTAATAACCTAATGTTTTTTGGCCTACAGGATTTCCCCCCTAAAAGCCATTACATTGTATGAATCACCAAGGACAACAGTCTTACCGATCTTATTTAATGTTCTACAGAAGATGAAAATTGCTTAGGTTTTTCAATGAACTAAGAGTATAAAAGCACATTTATTATTGGTTGAACTGTCGCTTTATGATCGCTTATGACTACATAAAAAAACAAACAAAGCTAACTTACAGGTGAGGTTCAGCAGAACAGGTCTGGACCGGTCTGTGCCGAGCGGGTTTCGGGCCACACAGAAATACTCCCCATAGTCCCTGTAGTCCAAACTCCACAGCCTCAGCTCAGGTTTAAAGCTGTCTGGCAGACTGCCACTCTCTCCTTCTTTAAACCAGGCAAAGCTTTCTGCTGGCGGAGCTCCATCACTGCTGCAGGTCAGAGTCACCGAATCGCCCTCTCGGACGGCCTCTCGAGGGCTGATCTGAATCGCGGTGTAGCGAGGAGGATCTGAAACACAGAAAAAGATAAAGGTGAGATACAAACACCAGTAGGAGAGGCCATTTGACAGAAGAGTTCAATTGCACACACTTTGGATTCTGCTTTAATTACTGCATTAACTGATTGTATTTACAGTTGAAGTCAGAATTATTAGTCCTCCAGAATTATTAAGCCCCCTCTATATTTTTTCCCAGTTTCTCTTTAAAGGAAAAAAAAAAGTTCAACATGTTTCTAAACATGATAGGTTTAATAACTAATTTCTATTAACTGATTTCTTTGCAATGATGACAGTACATAATATTTTCCTAATTTTTACATTTTGTTTTAAGATACTAGTATTCAGCTGAACGTGGAATTTGAGGCTTTACTAAATGTAAGTCATTGTATAACCATTGTTTATTTTGTAGACAATTGAAAAAAAAATTACCTAAAGGGGCTAATAATATTGACCCTAATGTAGTTTTTAAAGAATTAAAGAGTGCTTTTATTTTAGCTGAAATGAAATAAGACTTTCTCTAGAAGAAAAAATAATAATAGAGTATACTGTGAAAAGTTCCGTTCCGTTAAACATCATTTATAAAAATATTTGAAAAAGAAAAAAAAATCACAGGAGGGCGAATCATTTTGACTTCAACTGTATATTAATCATGAGAATAGTTTTGAGGACCTGAAATAAAATGATGCATGCATAAAATCAGTTAATTTAGATACTTTTAACAGTAAATGTTATTTAGATAACATTTGACAGTATATCAAGATAACAACTGTAAACTGTAACATTGCGATTTGTGATTTCAATTTAATCTAAATGTTTTGCTGTCTAAATGTATTTCCTGTTATCCAAAACTGAATTTTCAGCAAGATTATTATAATGTCACATAAAGCTTTCCAAATTATTCTACTAAGTTGATTTGAGAACCAAATCTTAAGAAACATTTCCTATTATTATTAGAGTTGAAAACAGCTGTGCTGCTTAATATTTTTGAAACTCTGATTATTTGTTTCAGAGTTCTAAAAAAGTAAAAAAAAATTGTAAAATGTAAAAAAAAAAATAAATAAATATATATATATATATATATATATATATATATATATATATATATATATATATATATATATATATATATATATATATATATATATTTGTAACATTATAAATGTCCCTACTGTGCCTTTTGATCGATTTATGTGTAGAATAAAATAATAACTGCTATTATTGACTATTAATACTAGCTATTATTATTCCATTGTAAAATATGACAAAAAGCAAAGACTTTTATGTTAAGTTAATTGGGTTTCAACTATTTTTTTTAAAGTTTTACAAAGTTTAACTTAATCTTTTGTCAGTTTGACTGATCAAATGATTGAACTAAAAAAGTAACTAAAAATTTTTATATATATATATATATATATATATATATGATTTTTTTACTTGACTTTATAATCATGTTTTTATAATCATGCACAGTTCTTTTATTTAACTTTTTTTAAGACAATGTGTTTACTTTAGGTAAGGTCAACAATAAACCTATTAAAAGCAACTGTTTTAATTACTTACTTTAAGTTGCCAAATTTTTTTTTTTTTACAATGTACTACTCTTCAAATTTGAGAAATTTTCATTGGCAATTTATAAAACACAGATATTAATTGAAAGAATGAACCAAAATTGTAATCACTAAATGCAAATAAGTAATTACCAGATCTATACAATACAATTAAATACTAAAAATGAGGAAAAACTAAGCGAAATTATAAAATTTAAACTAAAACAAACATAAACAAGACTTGAAAGTAAAAACGAAATCAAGCTCGCACTAAAAACTACAATGGTTAGAGAACCAGAGTCCATGATCAATAATAATTGTGAAAAGTGTTTTACAAATAAACTTGAATCAAACAAAACTAAATTGATCCTAGAAAATATTGGATACTCACATCCCAGAGCCAGAGTGAGCCCCGGGGACTGGACGTTTTGAATGGGTAAAGGGCGACAGGTGTAGGTTCCAGCATGCTGACTGTTGAAGTTATAGATGGCGGACAGTTTGCTGGACTGACCCAAGTTTACTCCATTTCGATAAAGGGCAAAACTCTTTCCAGGAGCAGCACAACCTCGTGCCACACAACTCAGGAAAACCGTCTCACCGGCAGCAAACATGTTACCAATTCTGGGCGGATGTACGTTAACCTGAAGCTCTGGAATCAACATGACAAAATATTAGGTTAAAGGGTTTCCTTCAACATAAATGTACAAAAAACAACAAATTACTCCACCGTAATAGGGCAACCCAGGTTCATTCTGAAAGCGCACCCATATATTCATTTCTGAAGAGTGACAAATATGTCCCAGGAGGTACGTTTTTTTGTTTTTGTGAATCCATCAGAGGCTGATCTCAAATTTCTCTTGCGAGTGCTATTCGTGCCTGTTCTTGCCGTGTAAATCCACCCGACTGACTGACTGACCGATCAACTGACCCACCCTCCTGCTTTCATAAACCAAACCGACAGTGTTTTTAAAAGCAATCCAGAAAAAGAAAAGCCCTCACCTGATTTTTACCACATTTTCAGATTATACCACATTTTTACCCTGTTACTTACTTGTTTATTTTACTTTTTGGCTCCTGTTTTTTGTCTAACCTGCTTTCTGGAACTGTTCTTAGCCAGACCCGAACCCTGTTGTCACTGGACAAACTGGTAACAGCAAAAACCCCCTCCACACAGAGGTAAGCAGTCAGCTGGTAAGCGTGAAAAGGAACGGCCTCATACCGCCTTGTAGCATATGTTTTAAAGACGCAATGCAGTCATATGTATTTCTGGCTACATAATTTGTGATCACCAGAAATATATATAGGGCTCATTTTCAGAATAAGCCTATGTTGCAGCCGGGTGTTGCTAGGTTGTTGCATGTTAACTCTGCCCACTGACAGCCATTGGCTAATTAAACAGGTAGTCCCACCCTAAAAATAATAATATTTAACCGGCATTTAAAATATTGAGATAACGATGAATGGAGATTAAGACAGAAGTATTTTGTTTCAGGCCCTTTGATTTCCTCAATGTGAACATTTTAGTATTTTATGGGAAAAATCTGTCAAAAAACAGAAGATGTTTAGTTTAACAAGAGGAAATTACATCAAATATATTACTATGGCACGTTATAATGTATATCTCAATGTAATAATAATGCTAACACTAATAGAACACCACTACCACTGCTAATAATATTATTACTAACCAATTATTACTAACTAATTACAAACTACTAATAATTCACAAATAATAATTCATTAAAAAACTTTCAATTATGAATAAATAATAAAATAAAAGAGTATATTGAAAAATATGGACTTGCTGCACTTTGTTTCCCAAAAAGAAGTTAGTTGTCTATTGAATAAAAGACTTGCATTTTGATTATTAAGTGTTCAGAATAAAATATAATGGAACTCATGGGGCCCTAAAGTATTTTTTTAAATTTAGGTTTTACATTAAAAAAAATGTTCAAATTGTACTCTATACAATTAATGATTTTAGTTATGTTGACTTGCTTTTGATTGCAATTAATATGACCTCTAAAATAGCAATAAATAAAATAAAAATAGAGTGAATTATTATGCTGAATATTTCATAAATACAGACAAAATAGATGCAATGCAAATTAATTTGGGGCAAAATTTATAGTTCCCTAACTTACACCATGGGTGAAATCATTTGCTAAAATTAGATAAAACATTTTAAAATGTTTGTATATTCAAAAGTATAATTTTAAGGATATTTTATACAGCATGCAACACATATGTTTGAATAAATGTGTGCTTGTAAGTTACAGTTTCTGCATACTCCTGCCTTCAGTGTCACATGATCCTTCAGAAATCTGTCTTATATTTTATGATTATCACACTGAAAATAATTAAGCGCCTAATTCTTATGCAAACTATAATAGCCCCACACATCTCACTCTTTACCAATTAAATGCATCCTTGCTAAATAAACCGAAAATCACACAGACTTCTAAATGTTTACAGTAGTGTATGATTTATCAGTGTTTAACCTAACAGACTCACTCTAATAAACCCTAAAAGGGGACCTATTATGCAAAAAAATACTTTAATTAGGTGATTAAACAGAGTAGTGTTGCAACAGTGTGAGAATATAACCAGCTTATGATAAAAATTAATTAATTCTATTGATTTATAATCACACTTCATAAAAACAGTCTGCAGAAACACTTTGATCGACAATCTCCCAGAGGATGCATTAGAGGGGGGAAGCCCCGCCCATTAGTGACGATCTGTCCCTCATTAGCATAAACAGCCCTGAGTGTGAAGCAGATGTTTTTTTAATCAGCCACTATGCTGACACATAGGCATTTTAGCTCCACCCTCTTTTCAAAATAGAGCTAGGAGCACAATCTCTTTTGAATTTAAAGCAACAATCACCAAAATACCACAGTTTGGATCAAGGGGGGCAGTTTCAAAGAGTTATAAAACATTATTTGTGGGTATTTTGATCTGACACATCGCATCAACACACTAGGGACATCAAAGAATTATTTTACATCTTGTTAATAGAGATATAATTGGTCACACTTAAGTCGTTCCCTCACCTGTGACGGACAACGTAATAGCATCAGGAGACGTCCATCTTCCCTGCTGGTTGTCGGTTTCGAATCTGAAATGGTACATTCCCGCATCGCTCAGCTTCACATTAGTGATCTGCAGGCTGCATCTTTTGTAGCCTCCAATGTATTTGATCCTGTCCCGGTATGAAGGGCTCAACAGACCCGCGTCAGTGTGGAAAGCGATTTCCCGTCGACCATCATCAGATATGTGAAACCACATGACCCGCGTGGAACTGAAGGGTGACGGATAATCATAGCGGCACGGCAGCGTTACTGTTGTCCCAGCCCAAACACAGATGTCCGTCCTGGAGAAATACACCAGCCATTTACTAGCCCCGACTCCTGGAAATCAACAAAAGAGTAACATGAGGCCGATGGTGACCTTAAAGTACAAATGAAATCAAAACTAACCATAAGATTGTTTTAGCTCACATTGCTAGTTTTGGGGTGAACAATTCATCTGTGCATGTCATTAAGAAAAAACAAACAAACATTGTTTGCCGTTGTAATCTTTAATTGAAATCTGAAATTGCACCTGTGCACCTGTATTCCACCTGTTGGTTTTCAGTTAAATTCTCAGATTACTTCTGTCTGAGATATTGGGCGTGGCTAACATACTTAACCACACCCTCATCAACAGAAATGGTGACCAGGAGGAGTCTGTTAGATTGTAATAACTCTCCCCAAACCCTTTTACCAATTTTTCTGAATGAAATGTCTACTTTACTACATCCAATCAGCTCGCAGCAGAAAAAACAAGCCACGCCTACTGTTTTGTCATTTCTAATTCTGTTTCTCTAGGAATTGCGTCAAAATATGAAAAAAAAAAAAAAAACAGTCGCAGCTTCCGGTTGATGTGGACTTTAAGGTATGCCTTTACAAAAATTATCTGATTTGTTGGACAAAATGTCTGTACAACATAACTTTACCTCACAATAAACCGAATGCTTTCTCTTCTACAGTATTGGAATTTACCATTGGATGCTGTATGTGACTTTTCAATACCAAAACATTTGACCAAATATGATAGGATTACCAAAGTATTTTCTGTTGTGAAGTATCACAAGATTTTAGGTTTTCTGTTGTTGATTTTGTTGTCGTAATACTAACACATTACCACAGGGAATTTACAGGAATGCAGCTACATTTAACCTAAAACAAAATTCTATGTAGAAATTTAAAAGCAATACCAAAAATTAGGGAACAATATTAAAGGAATATGTAGGGCGACATGGTGGCTCAGTGGTTAGCACTGTTGCCTCACAGCAAGACGGTTGCTGGTTCGAGCCTCAGCTAGGTCAGTGTAGATGGCGTGGAATGTGGCATTTCTGTGTGGAGTTTGCATGTTTTCCCCATGTTCTCTCCAGGTTTCCCCTCAGAGTCCAAAGACATGCGGTATAGGTGAATTGAATAAATTAAATTGGTCAGTGTATGTGTGTGCATGCAAGAGTGTATGGGTGTTTCTAAGTTGCGAATTATACATTGGTGATGGAGGGGGGTGGGGGGGTGGTTGGAGGGTTATGTTTTCAGTGAATTAATTAATTTATTAAAATGACATCAAAATTATTAAGACGTATTTAAGTTTTTAATGTTTTGAGGGATATTAAAAGCATTCTGACATACAGTAACCCAATTTCAGAGGTTATTAGCTCAAACTATTTAAACAATGCGTCTAATTTTACTTTACTTTTAGGCTATATGTAAATATAACCACTTACGATATCTATCCCTGCTCTAAATCTGCAGGTTTAGACACTGTTGAATGATTCTCGCAAGGACTGATTGGCGAGATTATGCATGAACCCCAATAATGGAATGAACCATTATAGAGGTGGTCAAATATATGTTTGTATTATCAGCCTGATTTTACGAAGAAAAGTAAGTATTTTACGTTTTGTCAGCTTAGTGGCTAATGCGTACGAAATGTATGATTTTAAAAAGGAGGCGTGGCAACCAACCCCGCCCCTAAACCCAACCGTCACTGGGTGATGTGTAAAATGTACTAAATTGTACGAATTAGATCGTATGAATTTATACGAGTTAGCCACTATAATGCAAATAGTTACGAATTGCCATAAGATTGCGTTTGTACACAGCAAAATATGGGGACCCAAAACAACTCTATGGGTGTTAATTTCAACACTTTGAAAGTGTCTCATGGGGTCCACTCAAAACAGACTTAAATCAACACTTTCAAAAGGGTTGGCACATTGACACCGAAGTAAGGGTTAATTTTAACTCAGGGCAGAGTTAAAAAATTTAACTATATTGAACACCACCTGGTGTAATATATTGTTAATTTATTCAACTCTCTTGAGTGTAAATATGGTAAAAAGGTCAAATAGACTGTAAATTACAAAATAAAAAACATTTTATTTGAAAACATTCACAACTTCAACAATTCATTCAATTTTTAAAATGCAACAATGTCAAATATGCTTTAAATGTTTTATTAGTACAGACAGTATCAACAAAATATGATGTCCAAACTTGATGTTTCATCAGAGCAATTTAAAAGTTCAATATATCGTCACTCATAGTTTTCTTCTGAATGCATAGTTTTCTTCTGAAATTACATTTTAAACAACCTGGCGTGCAAATCTTTCACTTCTGGTGTTTCCTTGGTCCTCCATATCAAACACAGCAGTTTAAATGAAGGTATAAATGCTGTAAACTTGTGTGAAAACAAACTGGAGCTAGGAAATCTCATCAAGCATGTGCTGTGAATGAAGTGCTTCCCAGCCACAGGTTGACATTTTTATCCATGACGATGTAGCAGCTGCTGATCGCTCGTCTGGTGGTTCCTGATGCACGGATATAGGGTGATGCTCATCTAAGAACTCTTCAAGACTCCAGCATGATTAAGAAAAATGTTTGAAAACAAATTGCAATCAAATTCTATGATATATTTAAAAGAACATTTAAAGTAAATAAAACATTCAAGAAATCTAAACTCACCTTTTGAAAATCTACATGATGATCCACAACTTGACTCTCCCAGCTGGTTGAGGTGACAGGATATGGAAAAGTAGAAAAAACACATACATCACTGTTGGATCTCCAAAAACAATTAGGTTAACCACTATGACTAGAACTGGAAAAACAGGCAGCTGTCTGTCCAGAATCCTGAATTTAACACAACACTTGGAGCAAAATTTAGAGGAGCTTAAAATCTTTTATATCATTTAGTGATGCTGACTTCCACCAAAATATTGGCCACAGTGTAAAAAATATTCATAAACTTACAGTTTTCTGTAAGCGTGTGCGTGGGTGTGTGTGTGTGTGTGTGTGTGCGTGTTTCTTTACCAGATTCAACTTGTTAGGCCCTTTCAGGTCCAGTATTGACGCCACCTTTACTGGAGTCTAGCAGATGTTTCAGGTCCAAATATAATCTAAAATATTAGGATAAGCAGAAGAGGAAAAGGTGCAAAGCAAAGAGCAAAACATTATTTAAGTAACAGTTCACCCACAATACAAAACTTATCACCTTCATGTCATTTGTTATTCTCTAATGCTCTAATACCCTCTCAGCTTATTGTGAAACAAATACAGAACTTTATTAAACATACCTTCATTATTATCACCACATTTGACCAAGAAGGTGTGCTTGGTCATTTCTCCAACTCTGGAAATACACCATCCGTCTCTAATCAGCCACCGTCACAGGGTCTTGTGTTATTGTACAGAGAACTGTGGCTGTTAAAAAACAACAACACATTAGTATCTAACACATATGCATAACTTTCAGATAAAAAAGAGAGATGAACATCACAAAGTATGCCTCACACTTTTTCAGATATCTTTTGATTCAGATGTTGATTATTGATAATAAATCTACAAATCAAACCTGTATCATCATTAGGCTGCTCAAATATGAATCAGTTGATTAATTTTACAGACAGGTGGCTGTTTACAACGCACTAATAAAACGGAAATGTTGTGTACAGTACATGCTAAGTTTAGCCTATAGTTTTAAGCACAATATCATGCGGGAGAAAAAGCTTGACTAAGATGTTCCTGACAACAGAAATAGCCTAACTTACTAACGTCAGACATCCCGAGTTGGGAAAAGTCATTTTCGGGGGATACAGAGTTGATTTGCGGGAGGTAGCGGGAGAGATGAGTACCTGAAGAGCAATGGGATGAGTTGCGCGCGACGTACCTAAAGAGCGGTGGGGGTGACTTGCGCGCGACGTACCTGAAGAGCTGGGAGGGATGCGGTGGAGAGGGGCGTGCAAAGTGTTTAATGACCGGGCGGGAGACGCGCGATTTCCGGGAGATTATCATTCATTTGCGGGCATCTACTTGGGCATCTGGGAGTCTCTGTGCATTTACGGGATAACGTTAACGTTAGTCCCGCAACTTCCGGGAGACTTCTGTAACGTTAAATGTCTGATAAAGTGCAAACGCGGTCATTTAAAGACATTAATGTTAACATTCCGACTTTAATGGTTGTCAACACTTAATATAATTCAAGCGTACGTTATCACACAAGTCTAAGTTATGGACTAACGGTATATGGACGGCCACGAATGAACCAGTTTAAAAGGGCCGCGGTGTTTAAAATAACCAAATTAACGTACACGAATAACAAACAATCATTTGTTTCAGTCAGGAAGCCTTTTACAAGTAAGCATGTTCATTTACTCACCAGATATGTTTTAGAAACTCTCCAGAGCTTATGGAAACCGTCCTGTGTTGCCGTTAGCATCCGGGCAGAGTAGGCTAACGTTAGGCGGCTCCGGGGATTCCCTCGCTAGTTTGCTTGGAATTAAAGGAGAATTGTCCATTTTAATTTATAGATGGGTAACAACGCACACAATGGCATTAAGCGTGACAGAAATGTATTGAACATGTACATTTGATGTTTTTATGCACTATGTATGCGTGAGCATATATAAAAACATTCTTGAAAAGAAGTCAATAGTAATGCAGTTAAGCTAGATACACAAACGACCATGAATGAACCTTAGAAGATTAAAATTGTCACTCCATTCTAAAGTTATTAACTTAACAAAATGTTTACAACTGTATTTCCTTAAAGAAAGTCAGTAAAATACCAACATTTAGGTAGTTTGACTCACCAGTTGCTGTTCTAAACCTCAGATGGAAAATGGCGTCTGGAAAATTCTTCAGTGACTGGGGCTGCATGAATTCCCGGATGTTGGAAATAACACCACCAAGTGTTGAAAAGATAACTCCTTGATTTCGCACTGAATAAAATCAATTCTAACTCTTATTATATTCATTTATCAAAATCTAACTCTTTAACGTCAACACTTTACTCTCAAATGCTTCAACACCGAGAATTTAACTCTGATGAATTTGCTGTGTATTATGTATTATTTTATTTCTCACTATTAAAGGGATGCAAGATTCATTACCCCCTCATGATTCTTGTTTTGATATCCTACAGGGGGGATTAAGTATTAATTAGGGGGCGCAATCCCCCCCCCCCCCTAATTTGCACCCTGGGTGTTTCCCAGTACGTCATATGCATAAAATATATTCTGGATAAGTTAACGGCCCATTCCACTGTGGTGACCCCTGATTAACAAAGGGACTAAGCTAAAGGAAAATGAATGAATTACAAAAATGTGAAAGTATAACTTTACCAACGATCACCACAAGAATTTTACAGAAAAACCACGCACCGAAACAAAATCCTGTGGTAAAAACTACCGAATTGTGAAACTGATACTTACCACATTATTACCTCAAGAATATTAAAGGAATGTTAGAGTATTACAAAATCCTGGGAAGTACTAAATATACCTACCACACATCACCACAAGAATATAGCAGGAATACATTCAATGCAACAACATATTGTGGTAAATACTACAGAAATATGAAAGTACCACAAATTACTGCAAGAATATTACAATCTTACAAAGAGTACAACAAAAGCAAGTGGTCAATACTACAGAGTTGTCAATGCCACACAATACCACAAGAATTTTGCAGGAATATTACAACAAAGTTCTGTGGTAAATACTAAAGAATTGTGAAAGTAAAAGCTGTAACACACAAGAAAATCACTGTACTATAAATTCCTGTGTTAAAATTAATACCCCTTCCCCCCAAAAATAACACTATTACCACACAAATTTTATGTTGTGCTGTATTTTTGACGTTTTATCATATGACATACCACCGGAGATTTTTGTAAGGGTGCGCTGTTGACGCCAGGGATTAAAAAAACACTGATCAATACAATATAAATAACCTGTGCACCAAGGGCACTCAGGTAATAAGACTCTGCAGTGAGCTATCACACGCGTTCATGTGTATAATAAACACCTATTCAAAATTACCTGACAGAAGAAGAGCAGAATAAATGAAGGTCAGAACTATGCGTATCCACATCTCAGCCCTGTGTGGGAAAGCAGGAACAAACACTAAGTAACTTTAAGAAGAAACACAAAATGCGTGATTATAGTCGTACAAAAGTCTACCTGATTCTGATGTTTTTCAGCAAACTCTCACGGCTGTCTGGGGACGCATGGATGTGCACATTTGTTGAAGAGGAATCTGAATGGCATCAGAAAGCAGAAGTTGAAGGGTGGTGATGATAGACTGTCCATCCTCCTGTCTCTCCTCCCGTCTCTCTGAACTCGCTCTCTGTCTCTGCATGGTGAAACTCTACTCCACCTTCAGCAAGGTGTGTGGGGCAAAACCACAAGTTGCTGACATGCACATCCCTCACCAAAAACATGTTTAAGAGATCTGAGGCAGCAGGGGACGATTTCATTTTCAGGATTCTGTGTAGAGGTACAGTTGAAATTATTAGCACTCCTGTAAAACTTTTATTGTATTTTATATATTTCCTAATTGATATTTAACACATTTTAAAACATAATTGTTTAATAACTAATTTCTAATAACTCTTTTTTTGTCTTTGCCATGATGACAGTAACATAATATTTTACTAAGATACTGGCATTAAGATTAAAGTACAATTTAAAGGATTAACTAATTAGCTTAATTAGTCAAGTCATTATACTGCTGTGCTTTGTTCTGTAACCAACTGAAAAAAAATCTTAAGAGGGTTAATAGCATTGATTTTTAAATTTATTATTTTTTATTTATTTAATGATTTGATTATATGCATTTAAAATAAAAAAATTATTAATTCTAGCCAAAAAAAAAAAAAAAGACTTTATCTGGATGAAAATATATAATACAGTAAATGCTGTGAAAATTTCCTTGCACTGTTAGTAACTTCTACAGTTACTTGGGAATTTTTTGAAAAAGAATTAAAGTATCATAGGAGAGCTAATAATTTTGACCTTAACTGTAAAAGAACCAATGCAACAGAATGAGAATCGGTGCACGTTGTATTGTTTTCTTCTTAAATAGCCATTGAGAAAATGCCATACAGAAATGCGGGGGAGAGTCTTTAAAACACCTTGTTAAAGATTACAGAATTGCTTTACTCTATATACAATTAAAGGCAGAATTATTAGCCCCCCTGTTTGTTTTTTTTCCCAATTTCTGTTTGACAGAGAGAAGATTTTTTTTTCAACACATTTCTAATCATAATAGTTTTAATAACTCATCTCTAATAACTAAATTATTTTATCTTTGCCATGATGACAGTAAATAATATTTGACTAGATATTTTTAAGACACTTCTATACAGTTTAAAGTGACATTTAAAGGCTTAACTAGGTTAATTAGGTAAACTGGGCAGGTTAGGGTAATTAGGCAAGTTATTGGATAATGATGGTTTGTTCTGTAGACTATCGAAAAACAATAAAGCTTAAAGGGGCTAATTGTATAGTCCCTAAAATGGTGTTTAAAAAATTAAAAACTGCTTTTATTCTAGCCGAAATAAAACAAATAAGACTTTCTCTAGAAGAAAAAAATATTATCAGACATACTGTGAAAATGTCTTTGTTCATTTGGGGAATATTTAAAAAAGATTTAAAAAAATAAATAAAGGGGGGGCTAAAAATTATGACTTCAACTGTAAGTGAAAACATTTACAGTTATCCCAGTTTTACATCAAACAAATATAATAAATCTACCATATTCATTATTTCATTTCTGTTTTGTCTTTACACCATTTCTAGTGAACTGTTAAGAAAATTCAAATGAATCTTCTTTGCCATTGGTCAGTTTTTTCATGAGGCAAATTCACAGGATTTACAGTAGCAACAGTATTGTTCCCATTATTATTTAAACTATACAATATTTATTCATTAATTTTCCTTATATATTCCCTTTTTTATTTATTCCATAGTGGAATGAACCGCCAACTTATCCAGCATATGTTTTACGCAGCAGATGCCCTTCCAGCTGCAACCCAGTACTGGAAAAACATCCATCATCCACACACATACAGCCAATTTAGTTTATTCAGTTACTATAGCGCATCACTTTGGACTGTGGGGGAAACCGGAGCACCCGGAGCAAACCCACAGAAAACATGCAAACTCCACACAGAAATGCCAACTGACCCATCTGGGACTTGAACCAGTGGCCTTCTTGCTGTGAGGCGACAGTGTTAACCACTGAGCCACCATGCCGCCCATTATATAATATAAAAAAGTAATAATATATTAAACAGTTTAAAAAATTTACTTGTTGGAAGGGTAGTGGAAAAGAATAAAGATTTAAAATGACAGTTCAGAAATATTATCATTGTGATTTTTAAAGGGATAGTTCACCCAAAAATGTTTATTCTGCCATTTATCCTTCAAATTACCCTTTACTTGTTTCTTTCTTCTGTTGAACACAAAAATAATATATTCATATATCAATAGTTTAAGTAAGCATATTTGTAAACAATTACATCGTTTAACATAGTTTTTTTTTTATCTGTGTTTGAGATTTTCAGTTTGGTTGAATTACTAACTCTTTGAGGAAACAAGTGTAGATTACCACTTTTTACAGCGAACTTTTAATTTTCCTTCAAAGGTTACAGTACGGTAACTGTATAATTGATGGTTGTGGATCTGTCAATGAAATTACGTCTAGGAAAATTATTTTAGGTCTAGAAACTTTAAATGAATTGAATTCTTGAATTCTATGAAAAAGCTTATCAGTCTGGTTGTTTTTTTTTTAAATAGATCTCAGCGACCTCTTGTGGTAGTAAGGTGTGCAGTCATTCATATTTTCACTTGAATTCAGATTTTAAAGCCCTCTATTTATTTTTTTATCATATCAATACCAGACATTCACAACAAAACATTTTCGATATCTTATTTAAACAAAAAAAATCATCTGAGATTTAGGCCTACTATGACGCTCTAACTACAAAAGACAAAAACTTATAAAGACAAATTTAGGCGAATGCTTTAAAAACAAAGAGTAAAAGAGTTTGTTTTTTTCCTCAGAGATGTTGGAAATGATGGTGATTCTTCCTAATCTTGATACTAAGTTAGATTTTATGTTTTTCTAAGTACAAAAAAAAAAAAAAAAAAACAGAACTGTCAAAGGGAAATGAAGAAATGAACAGTTTATTCTTAGATAGTTGTTCTTTGAATCTGTTCTAAAATGCAGTATTTTCAAGTTTTGGTTAAGATGCAAGGAAACGAGGCATTATAAGAGGATATTTATGGAACTTTACTTCAACGTTGTTTCAACATTTGTTTAATATGTGTTTTTTTTAAAGTATGAAATGAATCTATTAGATCAACTAGACAATTATTCAGTTAAACAAGTACATGAAAACAAAATCATAAAATTGATTCAATTATTCAATTAAATAAATAGGTACATTTATATGAAAAAATAAATTCAAAATAAAATAAATAAAATAAATAGAATTATTCAATTAGATTAAAATGTGAATTCATCATAATTAATAGTCATAAGGCGTTTTCAAGCAGTTTTGACGAAATGATTTCCGGTGTTTGATTCGGTTGTCGGATGTTTATGTTTTCGTTATATTTAAGTTAATAGCACAGAAATAGTCATACTTCAGGAGGCGCTCTGAGGCTCATATCACCTATTACTCCGTTAAACACAATTCATATTCAAGTATAGTTTTTGACTTGGTTATAGACATTTCTGCAGTAAAACGTTATTATATTTTAAATACATTGATTTGAAGAATATGCTTCTGTCATTAATAATGTAATTCCCCTCCACAGTTGATATAAATATATTATTTTTAATTGTATCATGTCACCCTGTTCGACTGTGATTGGTTCTTCCTAAACAACAATGATAAAAGTAACATATACCACGTGACAAATCTTACTAGTTGGGTTTTTTAGCAGCGCTATCGACGATATTAAACACTGATTAAACTGTAATAGACTTTGAATTAACTACGCAAGGCGGATAGTTCAAGTAATAATTAAATATAAGAATAATAAATAAAATAACGTCTACCAAACCCCACCCATTTTGAATATATAAGAGTGCCGCTCCATTCATTTTTACTTCTACCTTTAAAACCAATGAACCTGCTTCATGTGACAACATGAGGGTTTTAAAGTTTCAGTCCGGATGAACTGATATTATTCCTTACAGTTTAGGCTCAGCAGAGTTCCTGCCCCTCGAAGGTAAACTTAAGATTTCTGTTAATACGTAAATAGCGACCGTCATTATCATCAGCTATGTTAAGTTACAGATTTAGACCATAAGTAAATATAACGCGTTACAGTAAACATTTACTGACATAATATAGTTAAAAGACTGTTACCGTGCAGCTTAACACTGTAAACTTGCTTAAAGATTGTCTTTAAACATTGAGTAACTCTTGAGTGACAGAAGAAACTGTTGTAGTGTTTCAGGTTTTCGCGGATTTCCATCATGTTTCTTCATGTTCTGCTCCTCCTCCATGCCTCAAGAGGAGCCTTTTCCTCCATCTCATGTTATAATGATCAAGGGAAACCTGTTGACTGGTTTGTATATATTTAAATGCATATAAAAATACACAATATTGTACATGCATGATCTTGAAGGCACTCCAACTTTGTTCAATCAGTGTAGTATGTTTTATTTTTAATTCTTTCTTTATTTTTTTCATACCTTACATGTCATATCTTATTTGAAGTCATAATACTGCATATCCTAAAAGGACAATGTGAGCCTTTTATATTAAAAAGTAGATTAGAGACAAATATTTTTGCACTTCATTTCTTAACAACATTTTTCAACAATTGTGCAAAAAAAAACAAAAAAACACTATAAACATTTGAAACGTCGACAATGTTAATGAGCATAAAATTAGCATATTAACATAATTTCTGAAGAATCATGTGGCACTGAAGACTGGAGTAATGATGCTGAAAATTCGGCTTATAAATGTTAAAATGTAAAAAAAAAAAAAAAAAAAAGGAATACTAATCTTCCTCTTGTTTACCGTGGTTTTGGTTTGCTGAGCATATACTATTTCAGAACATTTTCAATTCTTACTGACTCTGAACTTTTGAATGGTTTACAGTGATTATTATTATTGCAAAAACTACATGAAAGTAAAAACACCACTGGAAAATGCTCAAAGTGGTTGCCCGTTTAAAAGTAAATTGAAACAACAATAACATAACAAACAAAAAAAGCCCACAAAGTTAGCACAAGGCTCCAAAATCATTACAATCGTTTAAGCCATTTCATGACCTCATATAATTTGACCTAATAATATAAAAGTCTAATTTTTGTTTTCAAATAGTCAAACAACGTAGGATATGGAGTGAAATGCTTATACATCCACCTGTCATGACCTTTAAAAAGGAATGTATATATATATATACATATGTATATGTATGTATATGTATATACATATATATATGTATATATATATATATATGTATATATATATATATATATATATATATATATATATATATATATATATATATATATATATATATATATATATATATAAGTATTATAATATTAATATATAATATTAATATAGTAATAAGAATCTAAAATATGGGGTATAATAAGATGTAAAAGCACAGACCGTTTTAGATATAGAAATATGAGTTATAGCTAAATGTTTCTGTGATGACTCACAGAAAGTGAATGAGTTAAATTACTTTTTCTTAAGATTTGAGAATTGTGAATATACTCCAGAGAACAGTTCTGATGCAATGTCTTTTAAAGGTGTTTCTTATGATAGGCCACTGTGTGATCCTAAGCAGATTAATTTTTATTTTAAACATACTGGCTCTAATAAATCTGCAGGTCCAGATGGAATTTTTCCATATACTATTAAATGTTGCGCTGATGAACTGACTCGGGTTCCCATATTTTAATAAAATCGTTAGTCTTAGGCATTGTTCCCAGTTTGTGGAAAAAAATCATTAATTAATTGTACCTGTTCCCAAGATGGCGAGGCCCTCAGAGTATAATGATTTTAGACCTGTGGCATTAACATCTGTAATTATGAAATGTTTGGTCCCGCCAGGCCGGTAGGCGTTTCTGTGTGGGTTTTCCCTGGGTTCTCTGGTTTCCTCCCACCATCCAAAGATATATATTGTGCATAACAATCAAGCACTTGTCTAGCCCCTTTCCTCACGTGTTCCCTTAGCTACCGCAGCCAGGGAGTTCTGAGATCCACCGAGCTCAAGCTCCCCTCTCGCTCTGCGAACGGGAGGAAGCCCCGGGCTCGAGGATCCCTTGAGCTCAGGGCTCACTCCCGGGACAGCATGCCAAACAAACTTTTAATAAATTATCAGCTAAGTGTGAAGTCTTGAATTGATTTTAGTTCTGATTTTAATACGATTCAACCTCATTTGTTAATTGAAAAGATGGAACTGCTAAATATAATCCCATTCATATGTAAAAGGTATTTCTCATTTTTAGCATATAGAACTCTGGTTGTAAAGGTTAAAAATATCCGTTCAGATGAAAAGAACCATAGTACTGGGGTTCCACAAGGCTGTGTCAGCTCACCTACTCTTTTCACACTTTTTACAAATGAATGTTCAAGTAAGCTTTCACAGAATTTTTTTTATATTCACAGCCATACCAAGTTTACTTTTTGAGAATGATGATATTAGTGTTATCTACCAGTCAGAAATTAGCCGGTTTGTTGATTAGCATGATAAAAATAAGCTAAAGATAAATTCTAAGAAAACTGAAGAGATAGTATTTGACTCAAAGTGTATAGATGACCATCGTCAAGTGGTTGTACACGACCATCCTGTTACTCAGTCAGAGACCTATAAGTTCATGGGCATTTACATTGATAGTTCTTTTACATGGAAAACACACATAGAGTGGGTTTGTTCTTGTTTACACCAGAGATTGTATTTTTTACGAAGGTTACGTCTTTTTGGAGTTAACAAGAAGCTCATGATGTTGTTTTATAAAGCTGTTCTGGAAAGCATTGTTAAATATGGCATCACTGTGTGGTTTGCCAACCTATCTGTACAGTGTAAATCTAAGTTTATGCATCTCTTACAGACAGCATGGGAAATTGTTGGGCATGATGAATATTTTAATCCTCAAGTTTTATTTGAGAATTGTGTCCTCAATCAGGTGGAAAGGATTCTGAATGATCCAACTCATTTTTGTGTCCAAATTATGAACTGATTTCCTCTGGTAAGAGATATAGAGTCCCAAAGTGTAGGTTGAACTGATATAAGAGATCCTTTGTACCTGTTTTAGTGGGTTTACTTAACAAGATTTTATCTTAATTATCATTATAATTATTGTAACTATTTTGTATTGTTTTTATTGTTTGTTTTCATGGAATGTCTGCAGCAATATGGTGATGCCCATAACAAATTTCCTGTCAAGGACAATAAAGTTTACTACTACTACTACTACTACTACTATTAGTACTACTAAGGAAACTAAGACAAATATAAAATATTTAAAACTTTAGATATGTATAATATAACTATAAAAAAAGAAATATTTAAAAAAAAATCTAATTCACAGCACACATAGCATAGTAGCATACTGTATGTGTACACTGCTTAAAACCATAGCATCATTAAATACAATCAATCTATCTGTAAGGCGGTTATTTGAATAGTTAGTTTAAACATGCACAGATAGACATTTGTTGTAATTAAAACAAGTATACATAAAAAGTATGTAATCATTAAAGCAAAGCATATTCTGTTGTCTGTGTTTTTCCAGGTATTACTTGTACAAACTCCCACACGAGCATCATACACCTCTGGAGGAGGGACTGAAGTATCTTTTCATGGATGTAGAGAGCGAAGGATGGACAGATGGGACGACTTTAGTTAATGATACCCAAAGTGCTGTTGGCAGAACAGTAGGGCCTTTATATGAGGTACACTTCACCCTCGCGCAACATAACTGTCATTATATAAAGCTGTATGCTGAAGCACATCATGATTTTGCATATGATTATGCAATGCCGGATTAACATCTATGTCGATCCTTCAAATTTTTGTTTGAAAATGTAATGCAAACCTATTTCCTACCCCTACACTCAACCATGACTGTAAATTATTCCCAAAACCAGAGGGGAAAAATAGTTGGGTAACAATCATGTAGACGTGCATAAATCTAACCGTAAGCCTAAACTTAGTCCATAAATGGTAAACATATCCTTTAGTTTTGATTGGCTGATTGGAATGCTGTTGCTGGATCAACATAGATGATAATCTAGCACTTGGTGAAATCAGGCTGACCTCTGCTAAATTAATGGTATGTTCATATGTACTGTCAAACAAAAAAGCTTCTTCATTTGCATTATTGACAATTTTCGTGTACAGATGGCACACTAATGATCTCTCTTCACACAGACCTGTGAAGATGAATGAAAACACTGTATTATTCATGGCATGACAGAAACTGGTGATGCTACTTTGTAAAGAAACTCTACGCCAGGGCTATTCAATTAGTTTGTCATGGGGGACAGTTTATGAAAAGCAATCCAAATGAGGGGCAGGAGAGATATGACTTGCAATGAGTAATGACACAACAGCATATAAGAGCTCATATGTTGTATTTTTGCTCTTTAAAGACCCCCACATTGTTTTTTTTTCTACATTTAAATGATCATATATTGTATATATTGAAACTATATCAGTGCATTGTACAATGTGGCAAATGTTGTATTTCAAAGCACAACAAAAGCAGTGCGTTGCTTAAGTAGGCTTTTTCTTCATTCAGACACATTCATATGTTGTATTACGGAACACCGGAAGGGACGTAGTGAAGGAGAAAAAAATTGCCTGGGTGAAAAAAAATAATAATGGGTGAAAGAAAAAAAATGGGTGGGAGGAAAATATATATTTCAAAGTTTTTGCGTTCTCTCGCAAAGATGTTTCTCCACAAACTCTTTCTGTTCACTTCACTCATGTAAACAATCCCATTTTTGCCAAAATTCTCCCATATTTTACCATTCTACCCCACTTTCTTTACATTAAATCTGTGTGTCGATCGTTGCCTTTCACTTTGCAACCTCTGAACCAGCGAATGCATGTATAAGCGCTGACTGACAGACGCGCTCTGTACAATAAACTGATCCCAGATCAGCGTCTGTACGCGCCATTTAAAGGGACACTTCTGATATCAAACAAGTGAGCAGCAATGAATCTCATGTTTTGTTTAGTTTGATAACAGAGGTGTCTCTGTAAGAATGCACAGATCAATAATGAAAGCAGTCCATACTTTAGAAAGGGTTTGTGCTCATTTAAGAGAAAATAAGCTGTTTACAATAAAACATTCTGGACGGAGATGTTTACAAATTCAGTGTATTTGTTTAAACAAACACCCGCTCCTCTGTGCTCCTTTGTAAATGGCGCGTACAGAAACTGATCTGGGATCAGTTTATTGTATGGAGCTCGTCTGTCAGTCAGCGCTTATACATGCATTACTGGTTCAGGGGTAGCATATGAAAGGCGACGATCGACGCACAGTAATGTAAAGAAAGTGGGATAGAATGGTAAAATACGGGAGAATTTCGGCAAAAACGGGAGGGTTAACGTGAGTGAAGTGAACAGGAAGTGTTTGTGGAGAAACTTTGCGAGAGCACGCAAAAACTTAGAAATATATATTTTCCTCCCTCCCCATTTTTTTTTCTTTCACCCATTATTTTTTTTTCACCTAGCCAATTTTTTTCTCCTCCACTACGTCCCTTTCGGGGTTCCGTATGTTTTGAACTGCATAACAATTATGAATGCAACAATTATAGATTTTGGTTGTACGATTATATAGTCTGAAGAATAATTATGGTTTCACAGTTATCACTTCTAATGTAAATTTAAGGTTTATATTAGCTAAGTATATAAATGAACTCTTGTTATCATGTGCGTTCATATATACTTAATCATTTTAATAATTTATAATAATTTTTCTTACATATCTTTTGTTTACATGCCACTGAAAGCCACACACAACTCTCACCGCTACGGTGTGAGATGTTTTCTACTCAATATGTGAATGGCTGTAGTTAATCCAGTGAGCATGCGTGTTAGCCCTGGTGTATAAGCTCTGAATTTTAAGCTAGCGCACAGATGGCACAACTTTGTTTAGTTGCAGCAGTTTAGTTTAATGCAACAGAAATGTGCCGTTAATAAGCCTTTAAGTTTAAGTATCCCAAACGTTTTCGGCTGCTGGTACCACTCGCTTAATGTCAGGTGACTCACGCTCTGCGCAGCCTTCACCTACAGCTTGTGCTGTATTGAACAGACACATGTCACTTCATAACTATAGCAGCCGTTTTTCGACTTATTGTTGACTTTATTTTTGATGTCTTGGTCACACTATTTAGAGGGCCCGGACAAATTGAATAGCCCTGCTCTACGCCATTCTCGTAAAATGAACATGTAAAACACATGAGCACGACATCAATGTTTTCATTACATTATTATAGTTTAAGTAGGGCTAATAATAATAATAATTATTGTTTTGAAAAATTCATATCATTTTAAAAATGTATTTATTACGTTAAAAGTTATTTTTTGCCATTTCTAGTTAAGGATATTATGATGTAGGCTAGACATACCCTAAAAATCAAATGCCCAGCTTAGTCTAAACAAGCCTTAGTTCTTCTTTCCGCAACATATTTTTTTCATTATCAGTAATTTTCTAGCTTGTTTAAGAGAAGCTTACTCAGCTTGATTCGTTCTGTAGTTTGCATATTTTTGCAGAAGTATTACAACTGCTGCGATTTGCATTTACATCACAAGGTTTAATCATACGTCTTTTAAAAATCAATTTCAATTTATAGTCGCATCTAAAAGTGTCAGACCCCTAATAAATTGACTAATCTAATTACGTGCCTTTGAAATGTACACACATATACAGCAAGATTCACTCTCAAACTGAAACTCAAAAGTGTATTTATGGCTTAATATCCACACACTTATTTCATAATAAAAGAGGAACTCGTGCCTTAGATCACATGCTCCTCATAGGGTGTATCATCTTCTATGTCACGCAGTGTTTTTTATGAAGCTCTAAACTTTAACTTTTCTTCCAGGGAGGTGATGTTGGATACATCTTATATAATGACCAGCCACCAAAACAAAAGCAGGTTGAAGGTGCAAGCAGGAGTTGTGGCCACACTAAAGGTGCGATTGAACTATTAGCGAAGTGTTATTAAAGCGATTACGTTTTTTCTCTGTGGCTTTGGTACATTTCTCACATTCTCAGATCAGAATTCTCAAAACTACCTGTTCAATCTTTAGGGCACGGTTTTTCAAACGGTTTAATCTGGATAAAATTGATCCGGATTTAGTAATCCTTTTTTTGTGATCCGTGATCATGTAGTCCAGCTTACTTTTTGAGCCAGTTTTTCATAGCAACAACTGATTGGATCAATCTGTTCCAGATAGGAACTTTTCAGGATCACTAAAAATCACTATGTAGAACTATAGATATGTAAAGAGCAACAAGTAGAATAGACAGTGCGGGGTCAATATAACTTTTATTTTGATTTGAACATTTCAAAATACATTTAAAAACAAAACTAAAAACAAGAAAAACCCCACCCCAACCTCTTCCAGCAGTTCGCTCATCTGAGACCATCAACACAAACACTGTACATTGAGGATATTTATAACAAGTTTCAAATATTGATGTATTGAATTAAAAAAAAGACTTCATGTCAAAAACTCCACAACAATTTCAGACTTCCTCATCTGATTTGGAGAGACCAGCTTGACTGAGCAAAGTCTTTAGGAGGCGAATCTCGAGTCTGGCCTTGGTTCGCTGCAGTTTGGTCAGAGTCAGTTGTTTCTCTGCCAGATGAAGCTGTGCTTCTGCCCTTTCAGTCTCTTTGCAATTGTTGAAAGTGATTTCAAATATAAGTGATTGCCATTCTTTGCTTTTTTTTGTGATAATTCTGTAATCATTACATGCATCACTAATAAATATTCTAAAAACAAAAATATTTTCTATTGTGATGAATATATATATATATATATATCAATTAATGAAAGAATAAAATTTTTTGTTTTTGGTCAATTTTGACAGCTGATTGGGGGATTATTTTATGAGGCCAAACTCTTTCTACTTTGCTGTAGGCCTATACTGAAAGGCTGAATATGTTAAAGCCTACCTAATCACTGTAGCCTGATGGATGAACAAATACAATTAAAACCTTAGGAATAAATAGGATATCTTGTAAGATACTGCATTATCCAAATATAGTTTTACATGATACATTTTTAAAGTTTTCAATACATTTTGGGCATGAAATCCACTCTGAATCCACCCCTCTGATGGGATCAGTTTAATCCATATTTTTTTAATCAAAGTGATCCAAATCCTACAAAAAAGGTCTGAAAAACCCAAACTAAAGGTTTGATCCGGATCAAAACACAGATTGGATTACGTGATCTAATCCGATTATGGAATCTGTCTTTTCTTTTGAAAAACACATTTTTAAGATTTGATCCAATCCATTATCCAAAATCCTAGTGGATTACTTTTGAAAAACCGGGCCCGGATCATTGTGTCACTTTTGCGCATAAAACAGCAGATTCTAATTCCTTTCCTCAAGTTGCAAATGATTTTTGTACATCCTTGCAAATGATTATGTGCAATTCTCTATTGTTTTGGTCATTCTGAAATCCCTCAGCCAAAGTCTGTAATTAAAGTGGATCAGTATTATTACCTTTAGAACTTTAAGTGTCTGCACTCCTAAAAAGCTTCTATAAGCCACCGTTCATTCATTGTATTTTGCTTTCATCTTCTGAGTCAAAGTTAATTTTTTATATAAGAAAAAGACCCACATTTCTTTCTCCGACCACAGCAAATTCCATTTTTTCTTTTGTTATTTGGTGCTAGTTTATCAGGAAGGAATGATTTTGTTCTCTTTGACTCGTTGGATGGAAACTGTGCTTTATTTGCAAATGTATCGTGCCATATTGCAGTTTTGCGCAAACGCATATTTGAATGGAAACCTAGCTAATGAAACACAAAACACATTTCATTTATGAGATTCAAATGTACATATTATTTTTCTGTGTTCCAGGAGTTGTCGTCTTTGATAAAGAGCAGGGCTTCTGGTTGGTCCACAGCACTCCTCATTTCCCTCCTCCTAAATCTGAGGGCCAGTTTTCTTACCCCACTTCAGGCATAAGTAATGGCCAGAACTTCATCTGTGTCACATATCCGTTCGAGCGCTTTCAGACCATAGGTATGATTCAGTGCTTTTAATAATAAGGTTTTCAATAACATGGGGAAATATTGCACATGCATTAATACAAAATGTTATGCATGCCATGTTTTATGCAATATTAATGTATGCCTCTATTTGTCAGTTTAAAAATGATTTTTACAACTGGTCCAGCCTTCTCATTGCCTACCACAGTTTTCACTAAAATAAAGGAGCAAAATTAAAATATTGGTCCCATTTTATATTTGGTGGCTTTAACTACTCCTGTATTTACTTTCATAAAAAAAATCTTTTCCCGATCTTTCTGAATGAAATGCCTACTTTACTACATCCAATCAGCTCACAGCATAAAAAACAAGCCACACCCACTGTTTTCTAATTTAATACTCCATTTCTCTAAGAACTGCTCCACAATATGGAAAAAAAAGGTTGCAGCTTCCGGTTCATACGGACTTTACTTCCAGTTAATTTAATTAATGTTTATTTGTAAAGTGATTTTACAGTGTAGATTGTGTCAAAGCAGTGTAACAGAAGTTCTACTAAATTGAAACTGTGGTAGTCCAGTTTTCAGAGTTGAAGTTCATTTTAGTTCAGTTAAGTCTAGGGTTTGGGTCGATAGATGATGTCATCGTCCATCGCCAATGGCCGATAGACATCACGATGCTAAGCCGGCATCGCAATCCTCTGCCCCACCCCCGTCGCAGCAGCAACCAGCTCGTGAAAAATACAGACTTAAGGGGGTTGCACACCTGAAGCGCTGCTCGGCGACGCCCTGTGTGCCCCATCTGGTGTGTTTACACTAATACATCTTACTGTACATTCACACCGAAAGTGGCAAAAGCGTCAAAGTAGTTGGAAGTCATTTTTTCAATGGGAGCCGCCGAGGCGTCGAGGAGAGTTGAAACTAACTTTATGGTAATGAGCTATGATGCTGTTCGGCAGCAAGCAATCGGAATGTAGAAGTCCAGCGCTTGAGAGGAGTTCAGAGAACACAGTTGTTCCGACCACAGTTGTTCCCAAAGGCTTCCACAGGGGTTCCCAAGTGTTTCATCTAGCATTTCTAAAAAAAACCCTCTTTCTATACTATACCACTGAAAATGCACATCACGTGACACACACTCAGTCATACGCGTACGTACACGTCTGAGCTCCAGCTGTCAGCCCAGCAAGGGGTTTGACCACAAAACCCCAGAGGGCAGTGCACGTCAGACAGTTTATCAAGGTTGTACCGCTGGTTCGTGCCTCACTATAGTTGTTAAATGTCATATTTAATTAACCTTGTCTCTTTTTAGCGACTCTTCGGTCTTGAATCTATCAGGTAACATGTCATAGCGTCAGTACACTGCTTCAAACTTTCGCTTTCATGCTTGTACTTAGTCATTTTAGTGAAAACCTCATATATTGTTGGTTGCTGTTGGTTGTTCTCCTTTTCTTACCAACCAAGTTTGTGGACGCCATTATAACAACACGGATTGGTCGACATCGACCAACCCTAGTTTAGTGTGATTTATATTTCACTGCTGAAAGTCCAAACACAAGCAAGCCAGTGGCGAGGAACAAACTTCACCAAATGACAACAGTGAAGGAGAAAAAACCTAGACAGAAACAATTTACATGCAACTAACTTTTTAGAGACTTGGGTAGAGAAGGCTGAGACACACAAACAGTGCACCAGTGTTGTGCACTCTGCTAAAGTTTGTGCGTGATTTTTGAACTGATGAAACCTGAAACGTGCATCAATTCTGCGGAAATACGAAATCACATTGTTTAAAATATTTAATTATCGATACATTTGATATTGGAAAGTTTGCTTGATATGCATTCAACTAACCTTTTCATGTGTCATTTCTAAAGACAAAATATGTATGGGATGCAGTTGCCATAGAGACTTTTAGAGTAACCATAGTGACAACACCTCTCACTGTGCTGCTCTTCAGGTCCATTCAGTGTTGTGCTCTAAACCACAGAATTATTATCAGCACTCTTTGATAACATTAAGCAGTGTGCCATTTAACAAATCCTGTTCCTGAAGGCACATCAACAAGACATACATTCCTATAATGCCGATTATACTTAATTTATATTTTATAATAATTTCATACATTTTCAAATAATATAATTTGAGTTATTTGTAAGAAATTTAGCATAAGTATTACTATTATTTAAAAATATACATTTTATCAATAAAAAAAATGTTAATGTCATTCATTCATTCATTTTCTTGTCGGCTTAGTCCCTTTATTAATCTGAGGTCGCCACAGCGGAATGAACTGCCAACTTATCCAGCAAGTTTTTACGCAGTGGATGCCCTTCCAGCCGCAACCCATCACTGGGAAACATCCACGCACACATTCACACACACACTCATACACTACAGACAATTTAGCCTTCCCAATTCACCTGTACCGCATGTCTTTGGACTGTGGGGGAAACCGGAGCACCCGGAGGAAACCCACGCGAAGGCAGGGAGAACATGCAAACTCCACACAGAAACGCCAACTGAGCCGAGGCTCGAACCAGTGACCTTCTTGCTGTGAGGCAACAGCACTACCTACTGCGCCATTATAAAAATAATTGTATTTTTGTGTAATAAATTCTGTATTAAAATAATAATAATAATAATAATAATAATAATAATGAAGTTATAATAGTATCAATGAAAACAACAAAAGATTAACAACAACAATGCAATGAATTTTATTAACCTGTGTAAGAATATTTAGATGATAAAACATTTTTATTGAATGTATATTTCTATATATGTGCATATATAATGTATAATTTTAAATGATATTAGAGAATGTTTCAATTCAGGAAATATTTTATAGGACATATAGGATATATTTTTTTTGTACACTGCATGATTATTAAGAAACAGTTATGATTGTAAATTATATATTGAATAGTAATACAAGTGTTGCCATGTACAGTTGAAGTCAGAATTATTAGCCCCCTTTAAATTTTTAAATATTTCCCAAATGATGTTTAACTGAGCAAGGACATTTTCACAGTATGTCTGAAAATATTTTTTCTTCTGGAGAAAGTCTTATTTGTTTATTTTGAGTAGAATAAAGCAGTTTTTTACTTTTTTTTAAAAGCCAATTTTAGGATCAAAATTATTATCCCCTTTAAGCTATATATTTTTCTCGATAGTCTACAGAACAAACCATCGTTATTCAATAACTTGACTAATTATCCTAACCTGACTAGTTATCATAATTAACCTATTTAAGCCTTTAAATGCTACTTTAAGCTATATAGAAGTGTCTTGAAAATATCTAGTCAAATATTATTTACTGTCATCATGGCAAAGATAGAATAAATCAGTCATTAGAAATCAGTTATTAAAACTAATATGTTTAGAAATGTGTTGAAAAAAATCTTCTCTCCGTTACTCAGAAATTATACTAGGGGCTAATAATTCTGACATCAACTGTATCTTCTGCAGGTGAGCAGCTGAAAATCAATCAGCCTCACATCTTCGACTGCAGCATCCCTGGTTCACTGGCCACTGCTGTTCCTGCCATGGCTCAGCTCTGTAAACACACACTGGACAGATGGGACAACACTTCCTCCTCCCCGTCCAATCGCAGCATCTCACTCCTCTCACTGGCTAAAACGGAGTTCATCAGCTTTGCAAAAGGTGCATCGTTTGCAAATGGTAAGAATCCTTTTTAACACTGAAATAATGGTGTAAGAGATGCTTTAATAATACAAGCTAGTCAAATGTAAATTGATCTAGAGTTGAGTATTTAGCTTATTTGTTAAGCAAATCTGTTAGGTCATGTCATTTAAAAAAAAAAAAAAACTTTTTCTATTCAAATATGTTCTAGATTCACATATTTGACTACTGGGACTCTTTTTTTTTTTTTTTTTTTCTCTCTCCATGAAACCTATGCCAAGTTAAAAGCTATACTATACTATACTATACTATACTATACTATACTATACTATACTTTTCAATTTAATTCATCTTTATTTATATATCACTTTTACAATCTAGGTTGTGTCAGTCCAGCTTAACATAGAGGTTCTAGTAAACTGAAACTCTGTCAGTCCAGCTATCAGTGTTAAAGTTCACTTCAGTGTGGTTACTATACTTTACTATATATACTTATACACACAGCTTTACTTAAAAATGAAAATGTGTCTTTAATTTATTCTTCTTCTGGTTGTTGATGATTTAGGTGACTTTTTTTCTTGGTACAACATTAACTTTTAGCAAAAACTGTATTCGTTGGTGATTCATATAATGCAAGTTAATTGTAACCATGACTATGTCAGTAAAAACAAGTCAGAATTGCACACTTAAAGGGATAGTTCACCCCAAACTGAAAAAATCTGTCATCATTTACTCATCTTCTCCTTGTATTAGTCCTTTTTGACATTATTTCTAATGTTGAACATAGAAAAATGTTGATACCTGTATAACCATTGACTTCCTTAGTATTTGTTTTTCCTACTATGAAAGTCAATAGTTAATGGTTTCCAACATTCTACAAATTTCTTCTTTAGTGTTCAGCAGAAGAAAGAAACTCATAAAGGTTTGGACCCACTTAAAGGAGAGCAAATAGGGAGTGCATTTTTATTTTTAGGTGAACTATCCCTTTAAGACTTGTGAATCTTGATGATACACTGAGGTCTTTTAAAGTGAAATGATCAGTCTGTGCAAGAAACAGGAACTCAAACAGTGGCCAAAGTGAGGAAACAGCTCTGTATTCGAACTGATGAGCGGGTGAGAAGTGCATTTGTGAGCAATGCGCTTGAATAAATGTTTTTATATTCATAGTCTTATTGTAATGTGTGAAAAGGTGAGTTTATGAAAACTAGTTTATTATTATATGCTTTAGAGATCTCTGAAATATTCATGTTTCTTATCATTATCGGGAGCTTTCATTAGATGAAACACTGTGACAGCAGTTTCATTTTTTTTAATGCATTATTGATGAAAATGTTGGATGACCTGAGGTAAATAAATTATCAACATGTTTAAATTTTTAGGCTCAACTATTAGTTTAACAAAGTCTCTTTAAGGCAAGCCATTTCACTCGGCGGCCATCTTTGAAACACCTCTCAGGCAATATGCTCTGGTGTTTTGTTTGAAAAAGGAAACCATCAAATTCTCCAAAATTGCTTGCCAAGCTTACGAATAAATTATTATAATAGAAATCGCCAATGAAATTAAACAACATGTCTCTTTAGTTTCATTTCTAAACATTCAAATCACATAAAATCTGCAGAAACTCACGTATGCACCAAGCCCCTCCCCCCCATAGAATCCTCAGTCTATAGCGATCACTGATTGGCTTCTCTAGTAGAAGGTGGGGCTTCATTCGCCATATTGACCGTTGCACCTTTTCCCCATTCTAAACTATACGAGTGAGACGTCAGCTGCACTTAAAACAATGTATAGGATAATTTGGTGTTTTAAGCAAATTTGCATACAAACTATTTCATGCAAATTTGTTTAGCTATTAACATCTGCTTTATTCCTTAAACACTTGTTGTACTTGATGCCTGAAACATTTTGGCTCATTTTGACAGGAAAGCAAAGAAATTCCCTCTTAAGTTTGTTTACAAGTGTTAAAAATGAGCTGAAATTTAGATTTCGTAACAGGTGTTTGGTTAACAACATGCAAGCAGTCAACCAATCACAACACACTGGGCCTATCATCTGACCAGTAGAGTGGAGAAGGCGGGGTTTAGAGATACTGGATCCTTGAACTGTTTCAGACACTGTGAGAATAGAGCTGATGGTGGTATGAATATTATGAGAAAGCTTAAGTGTTTTTTTCACCATGGATTTACATTTATTCATTTAGCAGATGCTTTTAGTACTTTAGGAAGTAATAATAGAAGCTCTTCAAATCATCTGAGTGCAGCAGTATATACAGTTGGGGGAACGGGTCACCATTTTTCTCAAAAAGAATAAAAAATGAAAAGCATATTTCTAAAGGTGATGTTGACTTGAAATTTTCACCAGATGTTGAGAACAACCAAAGAAATCCATATATAAAGTTACACAAAGTTATGTGTATAAAAATGGAATGACACAGGAAAAAACACACGAAGAAAGGGAGTGAAAGCCCAGACAGCAGCTAAGATCTCTCAGTAGTTCTTCAGCAATCCTCTGCCCTTCATCAGTGTAAATGAATATCAGCTGCTTTAGTCCAACACCTGCGTTAGCAGGATGATGAAGAAGAATCCAGGGTGCACACTTCAGCAAGACAATGATCCAAAACACAGCCAAGGAAACTCTCAAATGCTTTCAGAGAAAGAAAATCAAGCTGTATAATTGCCCAGCCAATCTCATTAAAACCCAATTGAAAATACAAAATAAAGATCAGATTTGATAGACGAGACCCAAAGAACCATCAAGATTTTTACACTCGCATAAATACTCACACCTGAGCATGAAGGTGACTTCATTCTCCATATGAGAGGCATCTTTAAGCTGCCATTACCAAAAAAGTCTTTAAAGTATTAAATGCATTTCAGTAGTTCAGTACTTTCTCCTTGTGTCATTTCATTAGGGACCGAGCACCGGAACAGTGCGTAGGCCGTATTGGAATTGCTCCATTTCTACTTCCTCTTCTTCTTGCGATTTTGAGGGTCTAAACATGCTTGAAAACTCACAAAACTTTGCAAACACCACAGAAGTGGCGAAAATTTACGTTTATTTTAGGTTTCAGAAGTGGGTGTTGCAAAATGACTTGACAGCGCCACCTATGCACATTTGACGGACTGGCCCCCGAGCCACGTTTGTTTCACACACATGCATGAAAATTGGCACACACCTCAAACACGCCAATACCTACAAAAAAGTCTCTTGGAGCAAAATCTCAAAAACCCAACAGGAAGTTGGAAAAGTGCCGGAAAAGTGCTGTTTTTGCAATTTACAGGCGTTGTATTTTAAAGAATTTCTCCTAGGGATTTAATCAGATCAAATTAAAATTAGATTTTGTTATCTAAAGGCCTTGGCGATGTTAAATTGCGAAGATCTAAAGTTTTTGTCGAAGGGTGTGTCTGTGGCGGCCTCTCAAACTTTGACGATTCGCTACAAAACAGTATGTTCTTATAACTCAGGCATGCATTGCATTGCCCAATCTGCCTCAAAATTCACACGTAGTCCTGACCTGAACACGTTTACATGCCAATATCCAGTTAGTTATAGCGCCACCTACTGGCAACAAGAAATTACATACTTTACAGTGTAACAAACTCCTCCCACAAATTTTATCACAACAAATCCATGTTCCATTAGTTTAGTTCAAAGGCCTTTGTTATGCTAATTGGTGAAGATCTAGAGTTTTCCTCAAAGGGTGTGTTTGTAGCCGACTGAAAAAGTTCAGTGCTTCGCCACGGAACAGGACATACTTATAACTCAGCCAGACAATGTCTGATGTGCCTGAAAATTAAAGTTCAATAAGATTCCTCTCCTGAAGACATCTACTGTACATGCCAATACTGAGTCACAGTCATGGCGTCACCTGCTGACAGAAGGCAGTTTGCCTTATAACTCAGCCAAACAGTATCAAATCTGCCTGAAAATTCAATGGTTCGATGATTTTGCTCTCCTGAAGACATCTATATGCCAATATTGAGTCACAGTCATAGCGCCACCTCCTGATAGGAGAATGTTTGGCATAAATTTGTGATTTTTCTCAGGTTTTAAATGGAATCGAACCAGATTTTGGTAAAAACCCAAACAGTACAAACATAAAAATAAAACCCAACAAAAAAAACCTGAAACATGAGTTACAATAACAAAGCTGCAAGCAGCGATGAAAGGGACCTCGCACCCGGTGGCCTCAGGATGACAGAAAACATCCTGAAAACATTTTTGTTGGGTTTTATTTTTATGTTTGTAATGTTTGGGTTTTTACCAAAATCTGGTTCAATTCCATGTCAACAGCTCTTATAGAAATATTATTCCCAGGAAAAAAACATGACTCATTTCGCCCACTGTACATGGTATGAAAAGTCTGTAAGATTAATTATTATTATTTTTGATTTTGCTGAAATTTTATCCATGTAAACATATTGAAAAACCCCTCTGAAACCAAACTAGGAAGCGCATTGTAAAGTGTGAACATATTTTCTGTAATGTCTTTGCTCATATCCAGACTTGTATCACTCCTGGGTGGCTCCTACACTTCAGTCTAACCTGCTGGTTCAGTTCTGGCGTCGCTCCACCGGCATCCTGCCCTCGGACTGCTCTCCAAACTGGGAAGTCCTCAACATAGACCTCATTTCCCCAGGGCAGAAGGTCACATTTAAGGCCACAGAGGATCATTCGAAGTGGGCCGTCAGCTCCAGCTCTGGGACGTCTGGCGGCTGGGTCTGCGTTGGAGACATCAACAGGGACGAGGCAGAGGAGAAGAGAGGTGGAGGTACGGTGTGCCGTCGGGATGCTGTGGTGTGGAAGGCCTATCGTTCTGCCGCCCTGCAGTGTGAGAGCTGCAGTGGAGAAGTGCAGACGTGCGAACAAGCCCAGCGCTTTCGCTGAACAAGCTGGACTCAGCAGAAAGAACAACACAATCTCAGCAGTGCAGGTGTAGGTGTCAAACAGGTACGATTATGAGGTCAAACGCTTCTGCTAATATGTGAAGGAGTATACAGGGTAAATCCTTTTAAAGAACGCTCCAATTCAGAATATCAGAATATCTTCTTTAGTGTTTAACTTCTTTAGTGGAGCCTTCTTATAAAGGAATACAGCACAGAACAAATGAAAATCCTTTAAAAACTCTCCACTTTTGTTTTTGGACATTTTACAACTCCCCTAGAGTTTTTGAATCAATTCAGCTGATCTCCGGTTCTGATGGGGTAAAGTATAGATTAGATATGCAGCCGTCTGGAAGTGCGATATGCACATTAATATAGCAGCATTTTTTATTGACCCTATATAATATTAATTAATATTTTTACAGCACTGTGACTGTAGGGTTTAGGGTTAAGGTGGGAGTAGGCATTAAAAAAATACAATTAATTGGATAATTTAATAGGTAATATATATTTACAAGTCTTTATGATTGAATTACACTTCAAAATGTAGTGTCATTAATAACTATCATGAACTAATAGTAATTACTATAGTATATGTATATATATACTATGGTAATTTCTATTAGTTCATGATATTTATTAATATATAGCTCATTAACATATAGCTTTAGCATCATGCTCATAAATGACTAAAGAGTTTTGATAATTTTATTTTAAGCTTCATCCTTCTGTAGTTACAATGTCTACCAAGAAGATTAACAGAAATTAAAAAGTTCCCATTGTGATAATCAAGTTATAATCGAGTAACTTTGCTTCCATATTGTTCCTGCAGCAGGCGCAAATATATTATCTACAGTAGTTTACCTACACTATGAAAAAGCTGGGTTCCACACAATTCCTTCATGTTGTCCCAACACAGATTGTTAACTTAATAGTTTTAACAAATGTTGGTTGCACATAAAACACAGAAGAATTGTGTTGTTTCAACCCATTTTTAAATAAGTAGTTTAAACAAGCAGCAAAAGTCATTTTTTTTGAGTGTATTACCTAGTTACCTAGCTAGGAGACTGCTAGGTGCTGCATAATATATCAAAATGATCAATTCTTTTTTGAAAGCCATTTTGAAGCAGGATGCTAATGGTCTAATCCGATTTAATAGATTATGTTATGATTTAATAGATTTATGCTAAGCTAAGCTAAAAATCGAGATTGGCTAAATTGATTAAAAAATGGGATTAACTCACTTGTTTTACTCTAGAGGCACTTCACTTCGCGATCAAGCACCCCTACCCCCACCCTCCCTCTCTTTGTATTTCGCGATCATACCCCCCACACCTCCCGACCCCCGGCTCTACATTGAGCACCTCCCCTTGAAGGGTCTCTGCATGGCACTGTCTATGGGAGTAAATTCATGATTAATGATTTCAGTTTATTTTATGTCTAATAACTTCAGGTACATTTGATGTTAATACAGCTCTGTTGCGTTTTTAAAAGAGGGTTTACTGAACTGTGCATTTTGTTCAACCTCAGGCTATTTAAGATACACTGTAGGTTTTATTTTTTTGTATTAAAATCAATAAGAATATTTTCAGCTGAAAGCGTGGTCCTTGGGGATTTCATAAAATGTGAGTCAAGTCACTTTTGTACTCCAAAAAAAAATAAATAAATAAAATAAAAAGAATACAGGAAAAACTACAATTATACATGTGACTCCTGACAATTTTATGAAGCATAATTATCGGTCTGTGCAAGAAACTGAAGATTATTAGCTTTAATTATACAAGATGTTCACTCTCCAGAGTATCATGAAGAGGACTGTTTACTGAGTCTGTGGTAATAATGTTATAATTTAATGTTCAGTATCTTACACAGCTAATCATTTTTCTTCATAAGATCTTAATGTATATTCTGGAGGCCTGGGTATTCATTTAGTTCTGCCTATATATATTTTTTGTTTTTTTTCTCTCATAGTGATGATTATGTTGATTTGATGAATGAATGCATTGATTTAAGTTCAAGATGAATCTTCAAGATGAAGGACTACAGCTTCAGCTAAAAATCTACTTTAATGTTCTTCTGAAGAACTGCTTTAGAAATGTGTATATATACGGTACACTTTTTTTCTTGCACTGATTAATTTTTTATCAACATGTCAATTGTGGAGTGTAACAAGGTGAAATGTGTAATTGCTGCAGCAATAAAACAAAAATGCAAAAATTAGTGTCTTTTTCACGCTAATTTTGATCTTTTATTGTTTAATTGACAGTGCTGTCTATACTCATGTGAGCTCTACTGGTGCTCCTATTGGCAGTCATTTAAGAAAGTCGCTCTTTATTTGCATAAAGTTGAAGGATTCTCAACTTTGCCAAATTGCTCGACATGCCCACTTGGGCAATAAAGGTTGCTGTCGCTCGGTAAAGTAGATAGGATACAGCTGCAGATATGCACATCAATACAGCATAACAATAACTGATATTACAGTACTGTGATGGTTGGGTTTAGATTTGGGGTAGGGGTAGACGTTAATAAAATACAATTAATGGGAATTTTAATAAATATTATAAATAATTCTTGTTAACTTCCAGCCACAATCGTATCCGATCTAGCAAAACAATCCTGACACTCGCGTAGGCAGTAAAGTCTAGATAGGATATGCAGCCGTCTGGAAGTGCGATATACACATCAATATAGCAGCATTTTTTATGACACTGTATAACAATAATTCATAATTTTACAGTACTGTGACGGTTGGGTTTAGGGTTGGGGTAGGGGTAGATGCTAAAAAATACAATTTATAGAGTAATTTAATAAATAATACTAGGTACAACTTTGATTTTTACAGTACTGTGATGGTTGGGTTTAGGGTTGGCTTAGGGGTAGATGTTAAAAAAACTACAATTTATTGGGTAGTTTAATAAATAAAATTAATAATATTCCGTATAACACCTGTTTTTCGTTATTGTGACGGCTGGGTTTAGGGTTGGGGTAGGGGTAAATGTTAATAAAATAGAAATAAATGGGAAATTTAATAAATAATAAATCAGTTTCATTAACTTCCGTAGCTGTATCTGATCTAGCAACAACCCGCGTAGGCTACTGGACGTCGTTCACTCTCCGTTGAAATGAACAGTCGCTCGTCATTTTGCTGCTGCGACTTGTGAAAATAAGGCTTTTATTCCTTCCATGTTGTTGCCAATATTTTTAAAAGTGTATTAAAACTTAAAATTTAGGGTTTTAATTACTTTTTAGAAGTTTTAATATTATTAAAGATTACTTAAAATGTGTAATCTCTAATTAATTTGTTTATTTAATTCTAATAATTAAAGCTATTTCAAAATGTTTTAATTTTATTCCTGCAAAAATAATACAAAAAACACAATAAATAATAATGAGATTAATCATTTCTGACTATTTATATACTCAACTGATTAAGATTTACAGTAACATCCAAAACGGCTTTGCATAAAACATCATTTTAAGACTAAGATTTTTGTAAAGTTTTGAGATCATGAAATGTTTTAAAGTCAGTATAAAGCTGCCTATTTGTTCCTTTCTTGAGTGCAGTCTCTGTAAACTTTACCAATCCTTATCCAGAAATCATGAATGTGACATAAATGTAAGGTAATAAAATCATGAATAAAGTCTAACAGCTGTCAGTTGTATCAAAATTAAAGTTTATTACAAGAACTGGAGGTATGTAGTGCATAAACGTGTCAGAATACAGATCTGACGGAACAGGACAGAAGCTGCAACATGCTTTTCACAACACACCAGAACAACAATCACACAAGAGCACCTGATAATAAGGCACAAGTGACCAAAAAAACAAAAAAATAAAGCTATGATCGGAACAGGACACTAGCTTACTACAGTCCTTACTCGCTGCACACATCCCATACTGTTCCTTTTAAAGTCGAATTACCATTTTTTTTCACATTAGTATGCTACATTTTTCCAGTTTTCCTGCGTCCAGTTATCATTTTGAAAAATACATATGGCCAGATAATATATGCAGCATTAGCGAGTGTAGTTTGAGCCCAGCTAACCGGGAACATTCTCAGAACGTTATGGCAATGCAGTCTTAAAGGTATGAACAAACTTTAATTGAATGTTCAGTTTTTTTTCCAATAGGAATTTTAAAAAAGGCGTTATTATAAGACAACCAAACCAACCAGCTATGTCAACTACAACAATATAAACCTTGATTTGAAGCAAATAAGTGTATATATAAAGCAAAAATACTGTGAATTCTGTGGCTTTAGTTAATTAATAATTAAACAACTACTATGCAAATAAAATAATTGAATTAAAAATGTAGGAATTTTCTGGTATTTTACGTTTTGTTAGTTTAGTGGTGAATTCGTACAAGTACAGTCGATTTTAAAAAGGAGGCGTGGCACCCAACGCCACCCCGAATCCCAACCGTCATTGGATGAGATTAGGTTGGTTTTTCCGATTCATAAATCGTCTTCATTAAGGCATTATTATAAGGCAACCAAACCAGCTATCAGAACTACAACAGTATAAACTTTCATTTGAAGCAAGAAGTGTATATATTACGCAAAAATACTGTGAATGTACTGGCTTTAGAAAATTATTAATTAAACAACGACTATTCGAATGAAATAATTTAATTAAAAATGTAGGAATATGCCGGTGACATGTTATTTAAAGTTTGCTGGATCTATAGAAACTATATATTGTAATGGTAATGCAAAATATGCATGGTGGATGGAGAACATTTCCTTTTGATTGGTGTGTTTTTTTCTGTATAGCATTATGGGTAATGTAGTTTTTTTTTCTCCAGTACAATAAGATTATTTATTGTGAAGCGGTAATGCTCGCCTAAAGTTATGAACAAACATTCCCTCCAGTAATTGAATGTTAAGTGTCTTTTCAGCCTGATCTCAAAAGAAAACGTAAGTATTTTACGTTTTGTCAGTTAATTCACACAAGTTCAGTCGTACGAAAATGTACAATTGTAAAAAGGAGGTGTTGCACCCAACCCCACCCCTAAATCCATCATTGGATGATGAGCAAATCGTAATTAATTATATGAAATAAATTGTACGAATTTGTACGAATTGGCCACTAAATCACAAAGTTACGAATTGCCATGAGATTGCTTTTGTTTTGGTTTTGCTATAGATTTAAAAAGGACTTCATCAAGGTCTTATTACAGATGACTGTATCTATACGAACTATAAATTGCGATGACAATGCAAAATATACATGGTGGACAGAGATAAAGTTTTTTTTTTCTGAACAGCATTATGGGTAATGTAGTTTTTCTTCAGCTATGATATAAGATCATTTAAAGTAAAGTGACGGCTTCAACAAAAGCAGACACAATCACTTAACAACCTCAGAGCTCACGCCAGTACTGACACTAGTTAAAAAAATGTATTAAATAATTAAATTAACTATGGAGAAAATGAATTGAGTTTTTACTTTTCAAACCTGACTTTTGCACCCCATAATGTTCTCAGAATATTCATGGAATGGTTCCTGGAAATATTTTAGATGTTCATTTTTAAAACATTTGCTTGGAAAATGTTCAAAAACAATATTGCCATAATAGTTGCAAAATGATAAAATAGATCCCTAAAATCAAAGTTCTGCCATTATTTGCTCGTCTCAGAGCCAAATCTCTCCAAATCAAGGTTTTCTGTTGAACATAAAGAAGATATTTTGAAGGATGTTGGAAGCCTGTTTGCATTTGCACTCTATAGCATTTTAAAAATTATGTCTACCGGTTTCCAACATTCCTCAAAATTTAAGAAGATCCTCAAAAGAAAGAAACTTAAATGCAAGTAAACTTCATTTTTGGTTGAAATGAATGTTAAAACTGGATGTATACACAAATAATAATTTTATGACAAAGGGATAGTTACAAAACTAAAAATTCTGTCATCATTTGCTGACCTTTTACCTCCAAACCTTCCTTTCTTTCTTTCTTTCTTTCTTTCTCGTCTATCAAATCTGATCTTTAATTGGCATTTCACATTGGATTCAAGTCAGGTGATTGGCTGGGCTATTTTACAGCTGGATTTTCTTTCTCTGAAAGCATTAGATAGTTTCCTTGGCTGTGTTTTAGATTATTGTCTTGCTGAAACAACCACCCAGGTTTCATCTTCATTCTGCTAATGGTAGATGTTGGACTGAAGCAGCTAATATTCAGAGGGTTGCTGAATAATAGTGAGACTTCAGCTGCTGTCTGGGCTTTCACTGCCTTTCCTAACCTCCCTTCCTTCATGTGTTCAATACTTTTGAACTGAGTGGTTCATTTTATAACGCATAACTAAGTTTGTAAACAAAATAGATTTATTTTTTGCCTATATGGATTTTTTTGGTTGTTACCAACATCCAGGGAAAGTTTCAAGTCACTGTCACCTTAAGAAATACGTTTTCTGAAAATGGTGACGTAATCAATACTTATTTTCCCTGCTCTAGCTTCTTTAACGTTCAATAGAACAAAGGAACCACTTAAGGATGAGTAAATAGTGAGTAAATTAACATTTTGGAGTGAACTATCCCTTTAAGGTCAAGGTTAGCAAAGCATTCAGCAACCTGTTTTGCTAGCTGGGGTAGTGTGCTATTCCGAACACGCTGAAATGAACAGTAAACCCCTCTTCCTTGCTGTGAGCTCTGGTGTGCCTCTGTTCTCCCAGAGACATCAACGGCACACCAGAGCGCAAGGTTCATCAGGGTACCAGCTTGACCATTCAAGCATTACTAGCTTTTATCAGTACAAAAATAATGTTACAGGCACAGCTTTGTTGCAGTTTTTTTTAAAGGAGTCTATTTGGTTTTGAAAAATTGCCAGTAGACCTGCAGTTCAACACACTGTTGGCTCTGTCCCAAAACCTAGTAAAGCTACCTACATAGAAAGCACTTTAAGGCATTATAGGTGCTCCCCACACAGAAACTGCTTGGAATTTTAGGTTGTATGATTATCTCGCCCTCTCATGTCTGCTTTTTTTAGCCTAATTGGCTGATTAAATGGTGAGCTGATTTTTTTTGTTATTGTTATTTTTGGGTCTAATTTAAGAGTTGACCGTGTTGGAGGGTCTGTTTCAATTAGTATGCTTAATTAGGTTTTAGAAAAGAGCCTCAGACGTTAGCATGAGCATAATTAATCCTGTTTATAAGTTTAAAGAGAAAGCGCATGAGTTTGCATACTTGGTGAGGACACTGGCGAGCGGCAGTGTTTTTCAGTATCTTTCTGCCCACTCAGAGCAGCTCAGTGTTTGAAATGTTCCACAGGTGTAAGAGTACCTTCTGTGAGTGTTGAGTGTAGCTGCTCTGTCTCTGTTTGGTGCTCATTAAGGCCAGACACTGCAGGCAAATACACTGTTAAAGTCCTGTGAACCAGAAGAGTTGCTGCAGACTTTTATCATGTAAGTATTTATGACATATTTTCAATTGATTAGCATTATGATGCATTTCCAACTGAAATTGAATATTAAGTATATATAGTCGAAGTGAATTAATAGCCCCCCTAAGAAATGTTTGCAAATCAGCCCATATTTAAAGAGCCCATATTAAACATTGAAATAGGGTCATATCCTGGTTGTAAGGGTCTCCAACAACAGTCTAATATGCATGCAAGGTCAAAAAACACTTTCATGGTCTTATAATCTGCATTTATTATTACCTAATTATCCCAGCGACTCCCGTATGAATCGTCCAGTGATTCAATTGTTCCCAAACCCCTCCTTAGCGCGAAGCTAATCTGCACTGATTGGACCGATGACAGTCTGTTGCGATTGGTCGACTCCCTTCAGTGAGAGAGTGAAATGCACAACAGCTAATCAGCAATATAAAAGTAATCACAGTTCATACTCGCTCGATAGTGTAGGCGTGGATTTTAGCTGCCAGTGGGTCAATGTAAATACAGACGATGGACTTGAAAATACCGACAACTAACTATTTTATTGAGCAAAAACTCCAAAAACAGTTGAGATCTTCTAGCTTGTCTCACTCTGCTCTTTTCACAGACACACACACACATATTGCCCTCGTCCTTGCGCGCACACACACACACACACACTTAACCCTCCGCCGGACGACAACGCGCGCGCATACACACACACACACCTCCGGACGACAGCGCGCGCACACACACGCACACACACACTACCCTCCTCCATCGAGCTCCGTAAACAAAGCAGCACGCGTCGCGTTTTTAACGTGGCTTTGCACGCGATATGAGAATAAAGCCAGTTAACCTGATACAGTACACACGGTTACAAGTAACAAATCACAACTAAATACATTTGCAAGCTAGAGTAAACGAAGCAACTTTAATCGCACGTACTTACACTTGAGAAATGGAGGAAGAAACCCATACTGACATGTTACTCTTTACTGATCCTTCCTTTAACAAACGCCGATGAAGTATTCTTTTTAGCATGTAGTTTCCAGTAGTTTCCAACTGCTTGGCTATAATGCTGAGGTTTCATCTTTGGGTAGAGACTCAATAATATCGATCTGCAGTGTGACTTCAATCGACCGGCATGTTTGTGTGTGTGTGTTTGTGGGTGTGTGTGTCTGGGTTTCTGTGTTAGAGGGCGGGGACGCAGGTTTCAAATCTCCTGGGTTTGCTCGTGCACGTGAATAACTTGGTTTCGTTAGTACGTCATGGCGAAACACCTAATGACTCGGTATCAAGGCGACTCGTTTGAAGCACTATGAGTCGGCTCTTTTATAGATGAATCAACCGTTTTAAACACTGTACACTAACAGATTTAAGCCTTAGCTGGATACTTCACTTCACTTAGAGCTGTGTTATAAACTACATGGAAGGGCATTTTCCAAAACCCATAATATGGGCTCTTTAATGAATTTAAATGTTAATTTTTTGACCCTATTCACCTGCAGTGTCTTGCCTTATTAATGCAGTTCTGTGACCAATAATCTGTAACCAATGGACTTCAGCTTTAGAGGTAGACGGGGGAGTCCTGGAAATGCTGACATCAGCTAAAAGGTACTTGAAATTCATTATGGATTTATGAAATGCAAAAATAGTGCAACATTTAGCAGTAACTAACATCTTAGAGCCATTAAAACCAAGCTTTCACTCAAATTACTAATGTTGGGACTATATTTGGGTCAATTGTACACCGTTTTTGTCTCAGGGCTCTGAATGACATATTTGATGTCTTTTCTGTGGCCTTGAATGTCCTGTTTTTGTGTTAAAACAGCGTGCGCACTAGTCTCCTGCCCTTGGCTTTGATTCGAGGGAAGGTCGCGCTGGTTTCATTGCCGAGATTTGGAGAACCTGTCGGTGTGTTTCCTCCTCGTCTCCGCAACAGGAAGTCCACACTGGCTGAAGACATGGCGTAGAAGACGTTTCCTGTTGGAGGTATTATTAACTCTGCAGAGGAAGAAATGAAACCCAACAGAAAAGGTCACACAAGTGTTAACAATTTTGTTTAAGCAGTTAAAAGATTGTTAAAATGTATATATTTCTTAAAATATATATTTTAGATACATGAACTTATATTAAATAAGCAATGCATTTAAACATAATTAATGCAAAAAAATCTATATTTATATTATAATTTGTATAAAAATAATCAGAAAACATTTTTGGTATTTTTTTTTGTTTTTGTATTTTTTCTTATGCTTACTAAGGCTGCAGTTATTTGATTAAAAACTGTAAAAAAATAATATTTTAATTTATATATGAGGTCCCACTTTATATTAAGTGTCCTTAACATCTATGTGCTTGCATCAAAAAATAAATACATCGTACTTACTGTGTTCATAATGTATTTGAGAACACTTGTGATGCTCGTGAGTTGGGATAGGGGGTAGGGTTATGGACATGTTTGGTGGTATGGGTAGGTTTAAGGGTGTGTTAAGGTGTAAGGGAGGGTCAACAGTGTATTTACTTACAGAAGTTAATTACAGATGTAATTACATACAGGTATTTAATTAAGCATAAGTACACAGTAAATACATGTATTTACACAATTAATACACTGTAACAAATTATTAATTTCTGTGTAAGTACATATTAGTTAAGGACACTTAATATAAAGTGGGACCATATGTTATATTAAAATATTATATAGTAGAATAATTAAATAACATGAAATTAAAACTGAATAACTTAATTCAAACAAAATTATAACACAATGCTATATTGTAAATAAAACTATATAGTTACTATGTATTAAATGTACCCAAATTAAATTAAATATAAATATATCAGTAAGATTTATTTGAAATATTAAGTCTTATGCTCATTAATGCTCCCAAAATGGTCATAAACACAAGTCGAGTTAAATTTTAAAATATTAAATTGGTGAGTAAGTAAATAACATTAAAATAAATTATAATTAATATTAATTATATACAAATTATAGTTACACTTAACAACTATAGATGTAAGTAACTGTAACTATAATTTGTGTACATTTTATACATAGTTACTATACAGTTATAGTTACAATATAGTGTTATAATTTTGTTATGAAGAATTAAGTTGTTTAATTATAATTTAATGTTATTTAATTATTTAACTATATTTTGAACAATTTGAGGTTATTAAGGCTGCAATTATTTGATTAAAAATAAAGTAATATTGTGTTTTATATATTATATTAAAATATTATAGTTGAATAAATAAATGACATTAAATTATAATTAAATAACTTTTAATTAAGTACAATTAAAATATAACAATTAAAACTATATTGTAACTAAAATTTTATAGTAACTTGATATTAAATGTATACAAATTAAATTAAATATAAATATATCGGTATTTGTTTATATATATATATATATATATATATATATATATATATATATATATATATGTATATATATATATTAGTCTTATGCTCATTTAGTTTAGTTAAATATTAAAATATTATATAGTTGAATCATTAAATAACTTAAAATTAATAATTAAATTACTTATTATTAAATTATTATTATTATTATCCTAGCGAGCTAGCTCTCTGCAATTCTTACATGGTCACCCACTGAAAATAAGCAGGGCTGCGCACAGTCAGTATGTGAATAGGAGACCACATGGGAACGCTAGGTTGCTGCTAGAAGTTGTGCTAGTTAGCGCAGCAGGGGGCACTTAACCGGCAGTCTGTGTGGGCCCAAATGCCCCAGTATAGTGACGAGGACTCTTTGCTGCTCAGTGAGTGCTGTCTTTTGGATGAGATGTTAAACCGAGGTGCTGACTTTCTGTGGTCGTTAAAAATCTCACAAAGTCCTTCGAAAAATAGTAGCGGTCTAACCCCTGGCCAAATTTGCCCACTGGACTCTGTCCATCAAGGCCTCCTAATCACCTTCAAATTATAATTGGCTTCATCACTTGGTCTCTTCTCCACCAATCAGCTGGTGTGTGGTGTGTAGTCTGGCACATTATGGCTGCCATTGTGACATCCAGGAGAATGCTGCACACTAGTGGTGGATGAGGAGATTCCCCCCTCAAAAAATGTATAAAGCGCTTTGAAAGGCCAGAAAAGCGCTGTATAAATGTAAGGTGCCATTATTGTTATTATTATTATTATTAATATTAATATATGAGTAATATATGAGTTAAAATGTGGTTATAGTTACATTTTACTATTAGTTTTAAATCATTTAGTTTTAATTATTTTTGAATTATAGTTTAATTTGAACAATTTGGGAGCTTTATTGAGCATCAGACTTAATATGTCAAAACAATCGTACTGATATATCTATATTTAATGTAACTTGGACACATTTAATAAACATTTTTTATATAGTTTAATTAAATATAAATATATCAGCAAGATTCGATTGAAATATTATTATTGAAATAAATATTGCAGAGTTCTACACGATTCATTCATGTTGTCCCAACACAAATCGATTAAGTTAACGTAACACATTTAAGTGGATTGAACATAAAATAATTAAGTAAAAAAAGTCCAGATTTGTGTTGTTTTAGCTCATTTTAAATACGTAGATTAAAAAAGCAGCAAAGGATTTTTTAATGCGTGTTTAAATAGTTTTAAATGTAATTTATTTGCAGTGTATTTTATGATATTAAATTTTAATTTTAATATCTTTTAAAAATTAAACTTAAATATCGTTAACTTATCAATTCTGATTTTTGACGTACTCTTCGATTAATAGTTTAAAAGAAAATTAGCTTGAACTTTATTTTTAAAAACATTTTCTAACATTATAATTGTATTTACTGTCACTTTTTATCAATTCAATGTATCCTTGCTGAATAACAGCCAGCATTTCTTCACCAATATACTCTAATATACTCAAATTTGATTGAAATTCTCTATGTGATTGATATTGACTATTAAGTTAATAATGTCACAATGCCCACTCATCACTTTCAGATGATCATTTCTCATTTTAGAAAGTGATTCAAAAAAAAAAGAAATCACTGTATGGCATGAAAAATGTGTCCTCATCACCTTTCCCCTCAGGCAGCAGCTGGATCAGCTCATATTTGGAGGCTTCTTGAGCGTTCTGGTTGTGCTTCTCTAATGCAGAACTGATTACAGTGGGTGTTTTATCATTACTGGTAACCTGAGGCAGCACAAAATAATAAAAAAACATTAGAACAAAGAGAGACAGCATCCATATTGAACAAGGGCGGACATGAAACTGTCTGATGTAACCCTGGACTGCTGCTGTGAAATACAGCAGATTTAAAGCCCTAAAGTGCTGCAGTTTTTGCTCTCTTTAATGGATGTTGTTTGTTGGTTTACCAGAATGCTGCGGTATAAGTTGCCGTCGTGCAAATCCATCCGTATCCTGACGATTCTCATATCAGGCCCCGCCTCTGGTTTGCTATTGGTCGGGTTGTTGCCACAGGAGACAGAGCGGCGATGTGATTTGACAGCTGTAGTGGGTGTGGTCAGGATTGAGGGCGTGGAATCATTGGATGGCGGTGACGAATCAACGTCCAGACAGGAAACGGATGGGGATTTCACATGCTGAAGTAGAGTTATTATGAAAATGAAGACCGTATTAGTTCACTCGCAAATGAATATTATATAAACATATTTTTAATAAAAGAATAAGACCTTTACTGTAGTTTATATGTAGTAGATAACCAGTCCACCAACCTGATATATGAGCCATCTCACACGTGTAGCAGTGGCTGTATATCGGCACTGGTGGGAGGTGTACATTGGCTTCAGGCTGCAGGCCGAGTGCCTTAGGGTGTACTCACACTATGTACATTTGCCTTGAACCAGGCCGAAGCACGATTGTCCCTCCTCCCTTCTCCCCCGACGGCCTGCACTCACATTGCATTCGCGCCTGAGCACGCTTATGTCATAGATGATGCGCTGTTCAGTTTAGCGCCCCTCCTCAGCACCGTCATTAGTCATTTGGAATGCAGCGACACGTAGTCAAAATATTTCAGCCAATAGATCAGCCACTTTTGACGCACATAAACAATTAGGAGGTTTGCTAAAGGTGCATCTGACGTGCAGTGAAGGGTTTGCGTCTTTAATAATCCATGACAGTTTGTGTTCATTGAACAGTAAGTATGATTAATAAATACATATAAAGCAGTCCCTTAAAAGTCACAACTCGTCTTCAGTTTCGGGCTGAGCCCAAGTGAACTGCACTCTGGCACACCTCTTCCAACCGGGCCAGGGCCGGCCAACTGAACCGCGCCTGAGCCCATTTCAGAGCACTCAAACGATCCGGGAAACGGGCCTGGGCACGGTTTGGATAGCATAGTGTGAGTGCGCCCTGAGTGTCCCACCAGTGATGATAACAGCCGTATCGCACTGCTACGAGTGTGATATTGCATTTATACAACAGTTTCTTGGCATAAACGTGTATAAAAACAGAAATCAAACACGAAGAGTCTCAAAAATCCTTTTGTAAGAGGAACTACTTTTTTCTGCACTTCAGAGCTAGTGTTTGAATGATTCTCTAGGGTAATGTCTAAAGTGATGACAAAACACGTGATTTTGCTCACATTTTAAGATTATAAGGCTGAACGGCATGAAATACCATCAGTATACAGAAATTTCCCAGTATTTCTCTGTTGCAATCAAGAGATCACAATAATTAACCCTGAAAAAGCCAAAGCAAAGCAAACGCTGGCAAATTACTATGGTATAGGGTTGTCGCGATACCATTAATTCATCTTACGATACTATACCAGCTGAAGTGTCACCATACCAAGTAGTATTGCGATATTGTAATTCATAAATTAAATTATAAAGAAAATTTAAAAATACTATAAAATGACTCTGGCAATGCAGTGGGCAGTAGGTAGTGCTGGCACCTCACAGCAAGAAGGTCACCGGTTCGAGCCTCGGCCGGTTCAGTTGGTGTTTCTGTGTGGAGTTTGCATGTTCTCCCTGCGTTTGCGTGGGTTTCCTCCGGGTGCTCCGGTTTCCCTCATCCAAAGACATGCGGTACAGGTGAATTGGGCTAAATTGTCCATAGTGTATGTATGTGTGTGAATGAGTGTGCATGGGTTTCCCAGTGATGGATTGCAGCTGAAAGGGCATCTGCTGCGTAAAACATATGCTGGAAAGTTGGCGGTTAATTCTGCTGTGGCGACACCAGATTATTAAAGGGACTAAGCAGAAAAGAAATTGAATGAATGAATAAATGTAATGACACTAATGGTTGGAAGCATGTAAACATTCAAAAGAAAAATCTACATTTTAGATTAATAGAGAAAAAAAGACTATTATTTATAATAATAAAATATTCAGCAAGTCTATTATATAACACTAATCTAAATATAATAGCTCATTTATTATAAAATACCCATTTTCTAAGAATTCAAATCATAGGAAATTGTCCTTTGAACAGTTTAAATTAAACCAAACCTCCATCTGCTACTGTAAATACAGTAAAAGAGCTGCATAAAGGGCACACAGATAAAACTGTATTGTACAGTAGATCAACTGAAAATAAAATAAAAAAACACTTAAAACCACAATAAAGATCTTTTATTGGTACTCAAAAATTAAATCTCTCCTAATTTGCTGATAACACTTTAAAAGCGGAGCCATTACTGCGCTGTAATCAAAATAAAGCTCTTACCTTGCAAAGCTTGGAGAGCAGCTGATTGACAGGAGATGGAAAGTCAAATATGCCGTCAGCATCCATTGTCGTATTGGCAACAGCTGAGAGAGCGCTGAAAACAGGACAATACACAATCTTTTACAAACCCTATATGCTATCAGATGCATATGACACTGATTCCCTGTGAATAGACTGTGACTCAGAGTGTAAATACACAACTCTATAACTTTGAAGTCCCAAACGCTAAACTACAGACGATAAGAGCGTCTTTGTGCTGCTGGAAAACTTTGTTTTATTGAAGGCGAGCAGCATGCTCAAGCTTAAAAGCTCATGAAAGAAACATCTGTGTGTCGCCGTTGGAGACTGAACTTGATCCTCAAAATAGCCAACAGGAAACACTGTCATTTCAAACAGTTTATAGAACAAAAAAATGAGCTTAAGATAAATTTTGCAGAAAATATCGATCATAATATTGATAAAGTTGGAACTGGCAGCAATTGACTTTTGTGGTATTTTTTCCTGCTTTTGAAGGCAGTGGCTATCGAACATTTTTCAAATTATCTTCTTTTTTGTTTTTCAGCTGCAACTCTTTATTTATTTATTTATTTATTTTTTTGCCAAGAAAAAGGAGAGCTGGGTTGAAATCACATTGATGATGATTATTATTAAGCTGCAAAAAATGTCTTTCATACTTCATCACAAGAGTTTTTGTCTTCTTTTTAGTAATTATCTTAGAATGAGTAAATCAAGAAGCATTTTTCTAAACAAGTCTTGTTTTCAGAAATAATATGTCAAAATTAAATTAGTTTTTCCTTTAAAAACGTCGGTACCTAGCTCTCTGCAAGATGTGCCCACTGAAGCTGCACCTGGTCAGTACCTGGATGGGAGACCACATGGGAAAGCTAGGTTGCTGCCAGATGTGGTGTTAGTGAAACCAGCAGGGAGTGCTCAACTTGCAGTCTGTTTGGGTCCTAACACCCCAGTATATAGAAAGGGGCTCTATACTGCTCAGTGAGATGAGATGTTAAACCGAGGTCCTGACTCTCTGTGGTCGATATAAATCCCTGGATGTTCTTCGAAAAAGAGTAGATGTTCAACCCTGGCATTGCAGACAAATCTGTCCATTATGGCCTCCTAACCATCCCCATATGATAATTGGCTTCATCATTCAATGTGAGTGCTGGACATTGGTGGTGGATGGGGAAATTCCCCCCAAAAAATGTAAAAAGCACTTTGAGTGTGAAGAAAAGCGCTATATAAATGTAAGGAGTCTAATAATATTGACTCCATATTAATTTTCAATATTTCAATATTAATATATATCTCTATATTAATTTTCAATATTTTCAATATTGAATATTGAAAAGGATTAAAAACTTTTTTTTATTTCACCCAAAATAAAAATAAAAATAGGCTTCCTTGTGAAATAAATAATCTTGTTTTTAGTCTAAATGTCTAAAAATTGTTAAAGCATGAAGCAGTTTTAGACAAGTAAAAAGTATTTTGTTTTTAGAAATAATGTCAAAATGAAAAGAGTTTTTCCTTTTAACAAGCTAAATAATCTGCCGATGGAGTGAAATAAACTTATTTCAAAACTAAAACATGGAAAATATTCAAAGCAGTGGCGTCTTTATAATATTGACCCTAAAAATGATTAAAAACAGCATTTATTCTACCCAGCATAAAAGAAATATGACATCCTACTTAAGAAAAAATATAATAGAAAATATTGTGAAAATGTCCTTGATCTGATAAGCATCACCTATGAAAATAAATAAACATTTCACTGGAGGGCTAATCATTCTGCCTTCAGCTGTATAATAAATAATTATTATATGAGAGCTATTTTCATTTAAGGCTTAGCATATGACTAGTTTCTCCTCAAGCTAAACCACAGCATCAGTATGTGCAGTAAAAAATCTTAACATTTTGTACAATTTGATAAACATTTCCCTTGATAAGTTTATATTGAAGAGATGGGAATGAATACATCCTTTAATCCTAAATATTCCAACAGAACAAAACTTTTTGTGAGTTAGGAAATATTTCTTTAGGTATGACTTTACTTTATAAGACATAATATTTATTTTGAGGTGGCACAATGGCTTAGTGGTTAACACTGTCGCCTCACAGTCAGAAGGTTGCTTGTTTGAGTCCTGCTGGGTCAGTGGGCATTTCTGTGTGGAGTTTGCATGTTCTCCCCATCCTCCAGGTGCTCCGGTTACCCCCACTGTCCAAAGTCATGCACTATACAGTAGGTGAATTGAATGAACTAAATTGGTTGTAGCGTATGTGTGTGTGTGAATGTGTCAGAATAGTCGGCAGTTCATTCCACTGTGGTGACCCCTGATAAATAAAGGGCCTATGCCGAAGGAAAATAAATGAATAAATTATATTTATTTCTTCTTCTTTTTTACACCACTAATTTCTAGCATGCAGTATGTTTAATTCAGATGAACTACTTTTGATATCAAAAGATAAACTATTTATTGAAAATATGAATATAATAATTGCTTTATTAAAAATGTTTCTTTCATACATATTTCAGACTTAATGTCTTAGGAATTTGTGCTTGTAGCTTGATTAAATGATGATAAATTAAAATTAAACTCTTCTTCCTTGTGAAATTTGTTACCTAAGATATGAATTTGGGTGTTTATTTATTTACTTTTCTCCCCTTTCTTCTTTTAATCAAACATTTTTATTATTTTGTTAGCTTAAATAAGTTTAAATTGGGAAAAAATACATGAAAAATGTAAAAATCCAGCTCTACTTCGGCACTTGTAAACACTATGATATGAACAGTAACAATGTTGTTGGATTGATCAAATGTTTTCAAGTGTGATTTCAACAACACACTCTTCCAGGCCTGACCTATATAACTAGAGTGTTTGACGGTCAAAGTAGATCTAGGGCAAACTGCCTTGTGCAAATTAGTTAAAAAATTATATTTGTGCAGGAAATAAAAGAGATTGAGCATAATCAGAGACATAATAATATTACAGTAATATTAATAATACAACAAGAGATTTAGTGCTGTATGGTTGTGACGTTCTTACTCTGGACATTGTGTGATGATCACTGTAGGGTTCAGGCCACGGCCAGGACTCGGCTCACCTGGTGCTTCAATCTGATTGGACAGCTTGTAGCTATTAAAATAATGAAAAGGCTTAGTCATATAGTGCTGGTCACTTCATGTTTTTTTCTGATTGGTTATCTATCTGATCATGTAAAGTGCATGTGTGAATGCTTTCCAAAATGCATAAGAAACAAATATAAATACGATTGCTCAAAGCACTTCAGGGGGTGTTCTGGGACGCACTCCAGACGAAACTTTAAATGCATCTGGTGGATAAAACCACTTATGCAAATCGTACTCCTCCCAAAATGTAAAAAAAATAAAATAAACATGCGAGAGCGTGTTGTGTGCTATATTACATAGTCAGATATAACAGTGCAAATGCAACAGCAGATGACCATGTGGGATTCTGTTTTTAACCAGTCTTTAATTGTTAAATGATCAAATTAGAATGTTGAATTAATATAAAGGATGGCAGCATTATCTCTATATAAATATAGCATTTTGTTTCTTTACAAAGGTGGGATGTTGTAAACAGTAGGTTATACACAACTTAATGTAAAGCTTTTACAGTTTTAAATGATGTCTTGCACAAATCTGTATTACAAAAATAGATATTTCTTTTAGCCTAAAAAGATCACGGAACCTACCTTGTGCACTTGCGTTGATGTTTTACTGGACGTACTATTATAAGCCTACTATAGTCTGCATGGGTAATTCTTCAACTGCGCGCACGTTTATGTCCTTTGATCATATATCTAAAAATATATATCATTTTGTTCAAATTCCTCTTTCTTTATCAAACTAACAACAAAACCTCATTTTACAAAAATGTACTACCTTTCTATTAAATTGTTTTCATATTATTCAACCTTCTTTTAGGTTTCAAAATCCCTATTTTCACCTTGTCGCACACCCAGAGTTTTAAACTTCAACAATGAAAATAACATTTTTAAATATTTATCTGGTGTTTATTAATGTATCTTAATTAAGCACTAGTGAAATTTCTTAAATATTTCATAGTCATTAATGTGAGACTGTTATCAATTTTATTGTTTATACAAAATGTAGCTGTCGCACAGAATCAGTGTCATTTCCACCACAACACTGTAACATCACTCTAAAAAGTTTGTATGAAAGATTAATTAGGTGGTGTTTATGAAAATGAATAGTGCCATCTGAGAACATTTTCAAGATGGAGGGAATTTATATTACCAACAACACTAAAAGAAAAGTCAAGGTAAATATTGCTTGATAAGGAAATACATTCATTCTACGTCATTTCCAAACAAGTTGTACTTTCAAAGATGTTTTTAAAAACCAAACAAAATTAAGGTGAATAAGAGTGTTTTGTATATATGAAAGGCTAGTATCACTTCAAAGCTAATCGGTGAAGCTATTTTAAATTTTTTTACAATAAACTGTTGAAATGTCATTTCCACCACTGCCATTTCCATCACCACACACATTTTAAAAAATATATTTCTTAAGTTCTCATCACACATTAAAAATGTACTCACAATGTATAAGTTCTCTCTCTATTTAATATACAAATTCAGTGTATTTATTTTCTAATAAGCTCTTAACCAAATTAATAATACATTTTAGAGAGTGACAGGTGTACAATTCAGCATACAACTAATTTATTTCATTGACAAATGTATAATTATTATATATATTGTGTAAAGATTGGTTAAACTAGATACAAAAATGATCTTAGGCAATGTTTGTATGCCACAATTTATCTCATTTTGAAATAAGCTGTATATTGAGATGTGGTGGAATTGACATTTGTTCAGTTCACAATGGTAAAAATGTTTCTTTTCTTATCTAAGTTTGTCCTCTCACAGATCTTAAAACTAAACAAACTGTTTAAACTTATGAGGCTGTGTTACGTTCATTTTGAACAAGTGTTTTTTACTCAACTTCACAAGACTAAACATGCCCGTGGTTAAAGAATGGCCCACATACAAAATAATTAATATGCCAAATAAGATATTTTGTGTTCCTGCAAAATATGATAGTAATTGAATTAAATGTGTTGTATCTGACCTAAAGTAACCTAGTTAAACTTGCATATAGCGCAGGATTTGAAGATCTCAATTATTGAACACATGTTTATGTTACCAAATGTATATGGAGCTGTTTGCACAAACAGATATCGATCCAATCAGAGAAAATGCATAAAGTAACCAAGTTTAAACAGGCTCATGTAGCCAATCAAAATGCATCAGAAGAGACTAACCTTTCCTCTTCACGTAGAGTGGGCACACTGTGATACCAATGAATGAATGTTTCGTCGGTTCGAAAAATGCTGTTTTTACATGAGGACTGTAGGAGGCGTATTTGAGCGATGACTTCGAACTCCTGAAATCAAGAGAATGTCATGTTAATACTTTTGAAACTATTGTAAGAATGCAAATTATCATAGGTAAATAATTTGCTTATATGGCAAAACGTGTCTTTTTCACCAAGAAGGTCCATACAGATTCCAAAGGCAGATACTGATTAGATCAGGGCCTGGTGTGTGGACTTTGCGGGTTTATAATGATGTCACATGTTGATTGGTCAGTTTGAATGTCTGAGTAATTAGGATTTGGTCACATGGTCAAGAAAGATACAAAATATGTGGTAAACTTTGCTTTTGTCTCTTTAGCTGCTCTGCTCCTCTCCTGCTCTGGAGGCTATCTTCTCTGACTCTACTGTTATCAGACTCTCTTTGAGGCCTTACTGATCTTTATCTCTCTTTCCCTCTCTCTTTCTTAGGTAACTTTATTTGACATTTAAGCTGGGTACAATTAATATCATATGTTTTTATCATTACGTGTTTAATCTCTTTATACAGTTACTTGTAACTAACTCAGTTGTAACCATAGAGAATTAATGTCATTAAAATATTTTATTTTCACATATTCAGAGATTTACATTTGATTTTACATCAACTATTGAAAAAATATATCGCTTAAATGCGCTATTAATTAAAAAATTTCTAAAAAAAAATTGAAAGGGGAGCTAATAATTCTGGCTTTAACTGTGAATAAAAAAATAATAATAAATATATATATATATATATATATATATATATATATATATATATATATATATATATATATATATATATATATATATATAATACATACATGCTTACACACATATATAAATACATACATGCACACACACACACACACACACACACACATACATATATACATAAATAAATACACACACACACACACGTGTATATATATATATATATATATATATATATATATATATATATATATATATATATTTAAATATATTTAAATATATTTAAATATATGTATATACACACACACACACACCTCGAATGGCTCTTTAAAAAATGCATATTGCCAAAAAAATTAGAAATGGCTCTTTGCTAAAAAAAATGTTCCCGACCCCTGCCCTAGGCTATTGCGCCGACGGGCTTGACTATTATTTTGGTAAAATGTTGAGTTTCTTACACAGGCTAATCACTTCACTTAAAAAGACCACAATATATCGTCATACGCCATTGTTTTACCTGTATGTTTGCTTACTTGTATATACTATTCACTTGTATTGTGTTACCCACCAAGAATAATCTCCTACATGTCTCCTACATCTTTGTTGGCCATATAATGAGCTAATTAACAGCTGATTTTTATTTTTATGGTTGAATTATCCCTTTATATAAATGACGCTTAAGTTTGTTCTTCATAAACTCACCCGTCGTCGTTTATCGAAGTTGATGAAGCCATTCTGTAAGAGACAAAATTAATTGTGGTTACACTTTGACAAGTGCAAATATGACTGAGTTTAGTCACATCAGTTTAGACACATCTCTTTTTTTCCCAGCTGAGCTTTGACCATAGTGAAACCACAGCTATTTTTATACTTCACAGTTTGATGTGTTGATACTGTGTTTTTGGTCTCTTTTTTCAGTTCTGTTTGATGGCGGAGCGGGAACTGAACCTCACCTCTAGTCTGTCTTTGACTGCAGTGTCCAGCATGGTGAGATCTCTGAGGAATATGCCCAGGTATGGTACAGTGCCTTGAGCGCACGACTGCAAAAGAAATACACTATTCAGAAACGCACTTCAGTACATCAAAGATGATATAATACATCACACACTGTGATAATAACAATTACATGCATTAAATATGTTACCGGCAATGTTTTAAATCACAGTATCCGCTTGTTCAGTGGTGACGTGTTTGACGTATGTAATACTGTTTTCGGGTCCAAGCCGCCACTCATTTGAGTGGAGAAATCATTCATTTATGATCACGTTTTATTCCCATCACACATTAAAGTTAATTTTATATAAAATCATAGTGTACACAACAATCTCTGGGCTTGCTGCATAACAAATACCAAAAATTTAACAATTTATAAAAAAATTAATCACTTTCTGGCCATTGGATATTAGGCATGGACATATATACTGCGATCGTGATTTTCGAAAGCCTTAAATCGCTTTGTAAACGTTTATTATTACCATTTCATGAGTCTCCCCATTCAGTTGAATAGAGTGCTTGGACCCGGAAGCCACTTCGCGTGACGTTACACTTAACAAGCGGATTGTGTAGAATGCCTAGGAAATGTGTAGAATGCCTGATGGTTTTAGGCAAAGTATGAAATATCAGTTTTTGTTGTAAAGATTTTGCATTCACTACCTGACAAAAGTCTTGTCACCCATCTAAGTTTTAGGAACAACAAATAATAACTTGATTTCTAGTTGGTCATTTGGTGGCTAATATGAAAGTCAAAGGCCTCTAGATTTTGATTATTTTACCAAAATTATTTTACCGATGGTCAACCTGTCTGAGCTCTAGTGTTCTTTTGTGGAGAGAGGAGAACCTTACAGAAGGACAAGCATCTGTGCATCAATCCACCAATCAGGCCTGTTTGGTAGAGTAGCCAGACTGAAGCCACTCCACGCCTGAAATTTCCCAAAAGGCATCTGAAGGACTCTCAGACCATAAGAAACTAAATTCTCTGGTCTGATGAGACTGAAATTGAACTCTTTGGAGTGAATGTCAGGTGTTACATTTAGAAAAACCAGGCACCGCTCATCACCAGGCTTATGCCATCCCTACAGTGATTTTCAGAAGCAGGAAATGGAAGACTAGTCAGGATAGAGGGAAAGATGAATGCAGTAATGTACAGAGACATCCTGATTGAAAACCTGCTTCAGAGTGCCCTTGACCTCAGACTGGGGTGACGGTTCATCTTCCAGCAGGACAATAACCTAAAGCACACCACCAAAATATCAATGGGGTGGCTTCACAACAACCAGAACCCAGACCTAAATCCTATTGAACATCTCTTGAGAGTTCTGAAATGGCTGTACACAATTGCTTTCCATCCAACCTGATAGAGCTTGAGAGGTACTGCAAAGAGGAATGGGCAAAAATTCCCAAAGACAGTTGTGCCAAGCTTGTGGCATCATATTTAAAAAGACTTGAGGCTGTAATTGCTGCCAAAGGTGCATCAACAAAGTATTGAGCAAAGGCTGTGAATACTGATGTACATGTGATTTTTCAGCTTTTTCTTTTCTTTTTTTTTTTTTGGTCACACTTTATTTTGATGGTCCGTTTGATGAATTTAAGTTACATTGCAACTGATTCTCATTAAATTATAAGTAGACTGTTACGTTGGGGTTAGGGTTAGTGTAACTTGACATGTACTCAAAGTTTCTTATAGTCAGTTAAACGTCTATTGAAGGAGCAGTATTAGCAGATATTAAGCAGACAGTCTACTAGTACTCAAATGAACCATCAAAATAATGGGTTATTGTGTGTAGAATTTTGTGGAAATAAATGGAATATAACTGTAATATCAAAGGCAAAAAGCAATCGATCTGTCATCAATATTTCAGTCCTATAATGAGGTCTTGTTTTAAAATTGTATGATTTGTATACTGTATAATAAATTCAATTATGACTAGTTGACATAAGGCACAGATTAAATTAATAAGTTATAAAAATTGCCCCTACAAAACTTTAAATGACTTTATGATATTTTTAAAATGTGCTTTACGGTCATATTTAAACACTGAAATAACAGCCTTGCTATTGTAAAATAAAAAATTGCACTGGTTTATCTTGCACTGTAGACCAAACATCCCCACGACGATAGCAAAACCTGAGATTTTTTTATCTTTTTTTATTAATGAATTAGGTTTTGGTTATTGGAGAAAAAATATTGTTTGGTTCATAAATATAAAAAAAACAATAGAAGTCAATGGAAAATCATGACTAAGACAATCTACAGAATACAGAAAAAATTACATAATTTTAAATGACATTATTTTTAAATTCACATGTCGTCATTTAGCAAACGCTTTTATATGAAGATAAAAGAAACCTAATATGCATATAAGTGCACATGAGTGTGAGTATGTGTGTTTGTGTGTGTGTGTGTGTGAACTGTGTGTATATATATAAAAAAAAGCTTACCCCAGTAAATCTCCTGTTGTTGATTTTAGTGTCATGGTTTGCAAATTTGGAAGTCCCCTCCTGCAAAATGAAAGTGCTTTTATTACAGGAAACTTGTGCTATGGAGGCATAAATAATTCTGTGTTTGCAAAATGGTTTCGTGTGATGCATTTAAATCTGGCATGTTGTGACCGTTTGGGGATCTGAATGTGCTTTCAAAGCTTCAGTGGAGTGGAGGAAGATTATTATTTTTGTCATTTCTGGATCTTGACATTGATTGTCACTAGAATCTTTGAATGTCCTTGTCTCCTTTTGGGTTCAACAAAAAAGATGACAGTATGCAGAATGACAACAATTGTGTTTTTTTTTTTTGTCCCTAGAATGTGTCTGTGGAGTTTCAGCTCAAATACTGTACACATCTTACTGTAGAATGTATAATTTATTGTTCCATGCTATATTAAAACACAGGTAAAAACATACTATGCTCTCAGTGATGAGCACTGTCGCCTCAAAGCAAGAAGGTCCCTAGTTCGAGTCCTGGCTGGGTCAGTAGGCATTTCTTTATGGAGTTTGCATGTTCTTCGTGTGTCTGAATGTTTCCTCCAAGTGCTCCGGTTAAGGTGAATTGAATAAACAAAATAGGCCTTAGTGAATCAGTGTGTATGGGTGTTTCCCAGTACTTTGTTGCAGCTGGAAGGCACAAATAGAAGACTGGATAGACTGGGGGGGGGGGGGGGGGGGGGTGTTGGCTGGCTGCGCGTTGGGTTTGGTGCGTGAACATACACCAGGTTTCATACAGCCGCTGCAGTCAGACTACCAAAAAAGCTGAAAGACTGGGAGTTTTCCAGGAGACAGAACAAAACGGGAGATGGGTCTGTAATACGGGAGACCCCCGGGAAAAACGGGAGTGTTGGCAGGTATACCTAGTCAGTACCTGGATGGGAGACCACATGGGAAAACTAGGTTGCTGTTGGAAGTGGTGTTAGCGAGGCCAGCAGGGGGCGCTCAACCTGTGGTCTGTGTGATTCCTAATGCTCTCGTAAAGTGAAAGGGACACTATACTGTCAGTGAGCGCCGTCTTTCGGATGAGACGTTAAACCTAGGTCCTGACTCTCTGTGGTCATTAAAAATCCCATGGCTCTTCTCGTAAAAGAGTAGGGGTGTAACCCCGGTGGCCTGGCCAAATTCCCTCCATTGGCCCTTACCCATCATGCCCAATCATCCTCATCCACTGAATTGGCTCTATTGCTGTCTCTCCATTCCCTTGTGAGCGCTATATAAATACACCTTACTTACTATTGGTCAACTAATTTTTTAACACAGTGCGTCAAAGCAAAATAATGACGCTTTTACACCCAATGTATTTGCACTTTGGTGTGTATGCTAACATTGGCACTCTTTGTTTAGCCATGAGTAGGCCCACACGGAATCTGTTCGCGCAGAATTCCACAGATTTCCACAGACTTTTAAGCCCATCATTTATTCTGTTTATTTACTTGTGTAAATGTGTGTAAATTTCAGTCTGATCTCATGAGGAAACTTAAGTATTTAACATTTTGTCAGTTTAGTGGCTACGAGTTCAGTTGTACGAAAATGTACAATTTTAAAAAGGAGGCGTGGCACCCAACCCCACCTTTAACCCCAACCGTCATTGGGTGATGAGCAAATCGTACTAAATTGAACGAATTAGATTGTTCAAATTTATACGAATTAGCCACTAAATGAAAAAGTTCCGTATTGCCGTGAGATTGCATTGGTAAATTAAAATTTATTCAGTTTTTAAATTAATTTCAGTAATATTATTGACTAATTTGAAAATATTTAGAAGATTTATTTACAATATAGTTTGTAAAAGTCATATTTCCTGTCTTTTAGTATATATATTAGTTGATATTATATATTTTTATATATTTAGTATATCTATATACTATATAAGAGACTTATATATTATATAAGAGACTTGTTTTGTTTACCAAATAAAGTGGATCTAATTGAATATGCATTGTAAACATTAAGCACAAGTTAAAAATGTATTACTTTTTATTTCATTTATTAAGATTTTATTTATGATTTAATAGATTTTTAACAAAATTCTGCGCAGAAATAGCAAAAAATGTCCGCAGATTCCGTCTGGCCCTTGCCATGAGGCATTAAACACTGTAAAACCACCTCATTGTGCACTGGTTTTTACACATTAATGAAGCTGAACGTTTCAAAAACCTAACAGGGTCCCTTTAAAGCACAGTGATAGATTACTGTGTGTACAGTCACACTGTGCATGTTTACAGTGCGAGGTTGTGTTTTTGCATGACAAGAGATAACCCGTCATTAGTTCCTCTCTTCAGGCCCTGTTGACCTGATGCAGTGCAGCATCGATCGACCTGCTATTTCCTCATCAGTGCACGGCCACACTCTCTAATAACATTAGCTGTACACCAGTGTGATTTGGCAGCTTTGTGTGCAGCTGTGACTGACCTCTTTGAGCAGCTCTCGGCTCTGAGAATAGTTGTCTTTCTCTGAGAAGATGTCAGAAAGCTCCTCGTATCTCTTCACAGCTTCTCTGTCAGGGTAGAGAAACAGACTTTAGGTTTTTGTTAACATTAAGGCATCACGTTTCAAATGCAAAGGCGAATTGGAATTATGAGTGTAGCCATGGCTATTGTTACAGATAAAATTACACTAAATTTTTTTTTTGGTAAAATAAGAAAAAAAAAAAACTTTTTATAGTAATAAAATGACCTACTGGGCTGATAAACGATATTATATCGAATCGGGATCAAATTTATGTTAATAACAATGATAAGACTTTTGCTCCATATTGATCTAAGAGCCAATCACACAGCAGAAATGTGCAACAATGGGAATCTAAAAGTGTGTTCACATTTGAGATGTATTGAGTTTTCCGCCACCAAAAATGTATCAAATGACAATATATTTTTGTTCCTCAGTCATTGTTGCGATATTCTTAAAAATCTGGAAGCATTTACAACTGATATCGAAAAATATATTGTTATTGTTTAATTTGGAAAATAATTATCAAGATTGCATTTTTGGAAATTCGCCCAGCCCTATGACATGCAGTTGAAGTCAGAATTATTAGCCCCCTATATATTTTTTCCCCTTATTTCTGTTTAACGGAAGGAAGATTCGTTCCAAAACATTTAACAATAGTTTTAAAAACTCATCTCTAACTACTGATTTCTGATTTTCTTTTGCCATGATGAGCGTACATAATATTTTACTAGATGTTTTTTCAAGATACTAGTATTTAGCTTATAATGACATTTAAAGGCTTAACTAGGTTAATTAGGCAAGTTATGGTAATCTGGCAAGTCATTGTATAACGATGGTTTGTTCTGTAGACAATTGAAAAATTATATAGCTTAAGGGAGCTAATAATGTTGATCAAAATAAAACTAAAGACTTTCTCCAGAAGAAAAAATATTCTAAAAAATACAGAGCAAAGATGTCTATTATTTGGGAAATATTTTAAAAAGAAAACCAATTCACAGGAGGGTTCATAACTTTAACTGTATATAAAATTATAATAAATTTATAGTAATTATATATCTAATATTACATAAATCTATCCATATATTTTGGAAATTTCTGGCATATTTTACCTTAAAATAGATTTAATTAATGAATTTATACTTAAATAAAATGATTATTTAACAAAAAGTTTAAAATATGTCATTTGATTTTTTTTTGTATATTATATAATTTATTTACTAATTACATATTTCATTTAAATGAATTACATTTGAATTAATAATTCAAATTATGTACACATTATTAAATACATTGTAAAAAATGCTGTGTTCCACACAATCCCTTCATGTCGTCCCAATGCGAATTGATTAAGTTAACCCAAGTCATAGGTCTCAAACTCAGTTCCTGGAGGGCCGCAGCTCTGCACAGTTTTGCTCCAACCCTATCAAACACAGCTGATCCAAATAATCGAGGTGTTCAAAAGAGTCATTAATACCTTCATCAGTGGCGGTTCTAGTTTAAATGGCACCCTGGACGCATCATCCCCCATCCCCCAAGAAATAAAGACACTGTGTAGTTGACTTTATATGTATTTTAAATATTTGAATGTATATTTTTTAATATATACATTTAAAATAATTATTCTAAATATATTTAAATATATTTATGTATCTTCAATAAATATAACAACTTGTTTATTATTATTATTATTATTATTATTATTATTGTTGTTGTTGTTGTTGTTGTTGTTGTTTTTATTATTATTATTATTATTATTATTATTATTATTATTATTATTATTATTATAAATAAATAAATAATAAATAAACAATAAATAAATAAATAAATAAATAAATAAATAAATAAATAAATAAACAGAAATCAATCCTAAATGTAACTGAAAAACAATGTAAAGACACAACTGGAGTAATATTCTAAGACTTTTACATGAATATTAATTATGACAGTTCTATAGAATACAAAAAATATATGTTTTACAGAATTATCTGTTGTCTTAGACCCGACTCATGGCCGAGAATTAATGTTATAAAGTCTTAGTTACCTCCTTGACTCATTATTCCTCCTCTCTGCTTCATAGTCATGCTTAGTCAAAGAAACATTAACATGTAAACAACCGGAATCAGGCGCATATGAGGCGCGCAGGAATGGCTTTCTGCACACATGCGTCAATTTGTTTTTACCAGCAATGTTTTGGTTGCAAGTAAACTTACGTGTGCAAAAGACGCAAAATGTGAATGGCCGCTAACATCTTGATTCTGGGATAACCACTGTAAATGAATACACTTGCATAAAGTAAATTTTTATTTCAAAGCTGTACTGGGGCACTTTTGTTTTGCACCATCTTCACATGCCACCTCCAGCAAGATGCCACCCTGGGCGATCGCCCATATTACCCATGCCTAAATCCACCAGTGACCTTCTAGCAAAACTGTGCAGAGCTGCGGCCCTCTTTGAACTGAGTTTGAGACCTATGACTTAATGTCTTTTTACAATTTAAAGTTAGTTGAACATAAAATAATTAAGCCACTCCCCCCCCCATTTTAAAAAAAGAAAACTCAAGAATTTTATTGTTTAAGCTCATATTAAATAAGTAGTTTAAACAAACTGCAAAAATATGTATTTTGAGTGTTGTGCTGTACCACGAATTAATGCTAGGAGCAGATACCTGTCTGTCTCCTGCCAGGTCTTCCTCAGTCTGTGAATGGGGTTGCTCTGCAGCGCTGAGAGGATGGCGTACAGCGATGAGAAGTTCTTCCTGGTTCTGCAGGCCTGTGTGAGAAATAAACCACACGCTCATATCTCAGTCCTTCTTTATGAACTGACCATATGTGTCCTACAGAGTTTACAGTAGGCTCTGACCTCTGCAACGCTGATCCACTTCTCCAGCAGTCTGGCCCTCTGCTGGCTCTTCAGAGTTGTCATCCACAGACACGAGGCCGTGACGGCGTTAGCTAAGCGATTAAACTGCTTGATAGTTGCTCTGACTGACCAACATGCTCCTTCCTGACCCTTCTTATCTCTCTGAGACCACAGAGAGCCCAGGCAGTGATGGGGCACCAGCTTCAGAAACAGATCCTTTAGGCCAAACAAAACATTTTGTTTGTTATGGAGAGGCTAATGGGCCAATTAAACCAAACATGTTTTTTTATTCTGAGAATGCAAGGTTGACAAGAAAAAAAGAAGTCCGCTGCGGTTTTTATGTCACTACACTCTCAGAAATAAAGGTTTGCGAGCTGTCACTGGGGTGGTACCTTTTTAAAAGGTACAAATTTGTACCCAAAAGGTCCATGTTAATACCTCAAAGGTACATATTAGTATCTAAAAAGTACAAAAGTGTTCCTCTTAAAAGTTTTAGGTACTAATATATACTTTTAATGTACCAATATGGACCCTTTAAGTACAAATGTGTACCTTTGAAAAGGTACCACCCCAGTTACAGCTTGCGTACCTGTATTTCTGAGAGTGTGGGCAACCACTGAATCAGCTGCGTATTGTACGCGAGGGCTACAGTTGATATTCTTAGCATTGTAATATTTAATAATATTGTGATATTCGCGATTTGTGAAGCTCTGGGATACCTAAACAGAAAACCCACCTCTGCTTTCATTTGATTGGAGAATAAAAAAGACACGATTGATGTAGCACGCTTTTTCTATTAAAAGCTTGCGTTTTTTTAAAGTCCCTTAAAAATCACGTCTCGTCTTCTCCCTCCCATTTGCAGGGTGAGAGGGGAGTTTGAGCTCAGGTAAATCTCGAGAACTCCCCTGCTTATTTATGGCTAATGACAAATTAGGGATTGCTATGAAGAGAAATACTGCTGACTAAGAGCTCATCTATAGTGCCAGTTTGGTTTAGTCAATTCACTTATATCACATGTCTTTAGACAATGGAAGCAAGACGCTACGGGAAGCACTGTGAGAACATGTAAACTCCACAAAGAACTGTCGACTGGCCAGTGACATTCTTGTTGTGAGGTAACTCTGCAAACCACTTGGTCCGTGTCGCCCTATCTAGGAAAAGGGGGAGGAGTAGGGGTGAATGGGGAATTCTTCAAAACGAAGATGACAGAGGTATGAAAACTCTGGTTATTTATGGTGAGTTAGGAATAGTCAGATTGGTGAATCATGTGTTAGCTAATGCAGAACTAGCTGAGGCTAATCATAAGCTCGTCATCCTCTCGAAATTAGTTTATAATTAAACTTCACTAATTTTGGATTAATGTTTTTTTTTTATTGTATTTTTGGTTAAATCTTTTAATAATTGAAAATAGATGACTTTAACATTTTTAAAAACTATATCTAGGTTAATGTTAATAATATAATACAATATAGTTACAATAATTACAATTTTATTCATTTATTATTTTTCTAATTTTTTTTCAGAATTTTGTTGTGTTTTTGTTTTCATTTTGAATCAATCATAAATATTGGTAAACGAATAACTCCCAACAGATTAAAAAAATAATAATAAAGTATTACATTAGTTTAGTTTTTTATTATTATTTTTTATCATTTTTTAATAATTTTGATATGTATTTGGTTTTTTTTTCAACTGCAAGCACACACAGTGCAAAGGCAAAAATGCGAGGTGCACAGGGTGCATAAGCAGCACGCAAAACATTCGCGGCTATTAGAAAACCATTCATAAAAGGCATCTCTCATTGCAAAAAAGGTGCATTCGGTGTGATTTAAGGCTAAATGTGACATCAAAACACAGCAATGTTTTTCTTTTAGGGCCCCTGAAGTTCCTTAGGGCGTACTCACACTATGTACAGTTGGCTTGAACCGGGTCGAAGCACGTTTGTCCCCTCTCCCGTCTCGCACTCACATTGCATTTGCGTCTGAGCGGGTTTACGTCATCGATGATGTGCTGTTAAGTAAGAAGCGATCTCGTTCAGCACAGTGGAGATTTCTTTAGTTATATTGCTTAAGTTGTTTGATATGCGGTGACACTCGGTCAAATACTTCGTTAAACACATCAGCCACTTTTGATGGTCATAAAAAATCATAAAGTCCTCGTGCTGTAGGAATAAGGAGGTTTGCTGAAGGTACAGCTGTCATGCAGTGATGGTTTCCGTCTTTATTAATCCACAACAGTTTGCGGTCATTGAACAGTTTAAAAGTCCCTTAAAAATCACGTCTCGTCTTCTGTCACACTTTGCACTCACCAGGGCTTAATTTGTGCTGGAACCAGCCAGATCTATAACTGGCACCTTTGAAATCTGATCCGGCACCTCATTTTATCGATCCCCCTCCTCAACCGCCCTCTTCCTCTGTCCGCTGTACATTTTTACTTTCTTCCGCAACTCCTCAACCCTCTTCACTTTCGTCCGTGACACCCCTTCGCCATCCACCTCACCATCCCAGCTACCATCGGCTTTCGGGTAACATGCTGGATCCGTTACCCTGACTTGTTCCAACCGGGCCAAAGCTGGCCAAGTGAACCATGCCTAAGCCCAATTCAGAGCACTCACGCTTCTAAAACGATCTGGGATCGTCTGGCATGGTTCGGATAACATAGTGTGAGTACACCCTTAGACTGCGACTTTTAATTTGGAATTCATCCACTTAGGTGTTTTTATTGAACTACTATGCCATTGCAAACTCACCACGTTTAAGATGTGGTTTCTTCAAAATCAATGATCTTCACTGCCTGATTGAGGCACAATATAATGTGGGTCTTACACTAGGGCTGCAAAATATATCATTTCAGCATTGATAGTGCAATGTGCACATCCACAATAGTAACATTGCTGGACATGCATTGTTGAATTATGATTAAAGAGTTTAACCATAATGGAGTGAAAGTTTATGGCTTGCACATGTTTTTAAGGCCTGACAGAGTTTAAAGTATTCAGGCACAAGAAATGTTACCTCTTTGTAACTTTAATAACGTATCATTTTATTGATTTATTTGTACAGTAAAGACTTATTTTACATCAATTATTCAAACTCTGTACCTGAACACTATTTGACTGCCCTGAAAAGCATAAAACACTATTTAATCACACTTATGTCTTTGCTCTTTTGTATTTACTGTATCTATGCTTGTAATTTATTACATTTTATGCATAATTAACTTACCTACAGAATTATCCCAATCAATCTCATTTAATAAATTCCTTCCAAATAGCAGTTTTTAAGTCATCTGCTGAAATTGTATATACTGCAATATCAATCACAGAAAAATTAAATATCGCAATGGAGTTGGATTTTTTTCAATATCGTGCAGCCCTCTCACACCACAGAAGAAGCACTGCATAAAATTCCATTTATATAATCCATATAATTCCAATTATAGACAACCTTACGACTTTATTTATATTTCAGGGGGACTTTAAAGTGTTTTTTCTTGGTTCAAATGCATGGCAGACTCACTGTCTCAATCCTGGTGAGCTGCTCTGCGATCACGCTAGATGGAAATCCCAGGACGCTGGTGGCATCAAAGTCTGAGGGGTTCGGAGGAGACAACAGACCTTTGGTAGGATCTGTAGGAGAAGAGTGAATGAATTGAGCAAAATCAACTACATGCACAGCAATGTGTCTGTAAAACCTGCAGTCAGCTTAAGATTAACTCTATTTTTATATTTTTGTATTATTATACTTCTGCATTAATTTAGATTTTTTTTTATTTAATTTGTTTTTATTAGATTTTTTTTGTTTTAATCATTGTTAAAAATGTTAATGGTTTTAATCATTCAAAAATGCTTGATTGATATTGGCTAAATTAATAACTTTGACACTTTTAAAACATGATAATGTCAATAATAAACTATAACATTTCAAGAGTTCACACTAAGCTGATGATTGATTATAAAGCTTGTTTGGCATGCCGTCCCAGGAGAGAGTCTTGAGCACAAAAGATCCTCGAGATTGGGGCTCCCTCCCATTTGCAGGGTGAGAGGGGAGTTTGAGCTCAGGTAAATCTCGAGAACTCCCCTGCTTATTTATGGCTAATGACAAATTAGGGATTGCTATGAAGAGAAATACTGCTGACTAAGAGCTCATCTATAGTGCCAGTTTGGTTTAGTCAATTCACTTATATCACATGTCTTTAGACAATGGAAGCAAGACGCTACGGGAAGCACTGTGAGAACATGTAAACTCCACAAAGAACTGTCGACTGGCCAGTGACATTCTTGTTGTGAGGTAACTTTGCAAACCACTTGGTCCGTGTCGCCCTATCTAGGAAAAGGGGGAGGAGTAGGGGTGAATGGGGAATTCTTCAAAACAAAGATGACAGAGGTATGAAAACTCTGGTTATTTATGGTGAGTTAGGAATAGTCAGATTGGTGAATCATGTGTTAGCTAATGCAGAACTAGCTGAGGCCAATCATAAGCTCGTCATCCTCTCGAAATTAGTTTATAATTAAACTTCACTAATTTTGGATTAATGTTTTTTTTTTTTATTGTATTTTTGGTTAAATCTTTTAATAATTGAAAATAGATGACTTTAACATTTTTAAAAACTATATCTAGGTTAATGTTAATAATATAATACAATATAGTTACAATAATTTAAATTTTATTCATTTATTATTTTTCTAATTTTTTTCAGAATTTTGTTGTGTTTTTGTTTTCATTTTGAATCAATCATAAATATTGGTAAATGAATAACTCCCAACAGATTAAAAAAATAACTAGAACCTAAAGTTCGTTGACGAACTTTGATGTTGGCTTGAGAAAGCCAACGTGACTGCGCCGGGGACTCAAAGGCAGTTGGCAGGAAGCACAGCGGTTGAGAAGTGGTTGCTAGGCGGTTGCTAAGATGTTGCTAAGGCATTCCTAGGTAGTTGCTAAGGTGTTCTGAGTGGTTTCTAGGCTGTTGCTAGGGTCCACTGGACTGTTAATCGGAAGGCCTCATTTACATTTTTGATCAAATCGAGAGAGAGAGAGAGAGAGAGAGAGAGAGAGGACTGATTTGTTCAGGTTGTTTAATGCAGATCACTATAGTATAGTTAGTATTTATAGTATATATTATAATCTGAACAAAATTACATTATAATAAACATCATATGAAGAAAAATATTAAATTAAAACACTAATGAAACAATAGCACATACATTTAGTTAATTTGTCTATTATTTAATCAATCTTATCAGTTTTGCAGTTAATATAGAGTACAGTCAATTTACAGTAATTTGCAGCGTTATATATATAGTTATAGTTATATATACAGTTTACAGGAAGAAAATCGCATTAAATACAATATTATAGGACGTCTTCATCACGTGGTTAATTCTGACCAATGACGTTGTTCCACCCCACTGGCCACTAACACAATGTTATAATCGTAATATTTAGTTGTCATCACCTGGGTGATTTTATTTTTTTTTTGGTACAGCATAGACCTAAAGCTTGGCTTTCATTGTCATTATCACAAGTGAGGAGAAGGCTTTTTTGCGGTACAGAATATTCTGTTTTGAAAGAAATATCTGAAGTAAACTTATGTTTTTGCCAACATAAAAGGGGGATAAAAAATAATTATTATAACACTAACCATAAATGTGTGTATGTGTGTGTGTGTGTGTATGTATGTATATATATATATATATATATATATATATATATATATATATATATATATATATATATACATACAGTTGAAGTCAGAATTATTAACCCCCATTTGATTTTTTTTTTCCTTTTTTAAATATTTCCCAAATGATGTTTTCCCAAATGATGACACTTTATTTTTACTGTTTGTAAATAATTGTTGTTAACATTTTTGCTTTAAAACATTATAATACTGTTTTTGCACAATAAATAAAATGTGATTTAAAAAGTGCAAACATTGTCTTTGTTAGAATTTACACGTGATTACAACGGTATAAAGACGTTCAGGTCCGACCGGACCGAATGGAAAGAAATTGTAGGTTTTGAAGATGGATTATTAGTTTTGTGGCAAGGACATAGCTGTTTTTAGAGGGTTAAAATAAGGATTAAAAATAAAGTTAGAATGATTTTATATTAAATATGTTTATTGTATAATATACGTGAATGTTCGCATGGCTTTCATTTTCATTATCACAAGTAGAGGAGAAGGCTTTTTCACGGCACAGAATATTCTGTTTTGAAATAAATATCTGAAGTAAAGTTATGTTTCTGCCAACATCAGAGGCATGCATTTTAAAACTCACAGGGTAGCAGACAGAAATGCATGCGGGTCGATTCCGACGCGGATGATTCTGCATCCAGATCAGTTTTATTACGCTTTATGGAGTTCACTGCCAGCATAATATGAAGTGCCTCTTAAAGGGCCATTGCTAAATTACAAAGGGCTCAAAAATAGTCTTCTGGCGCCATCTCGTGGACACTCTGACACGCTTTGAGTCTGAATTTTACAAATTTAATATAAAAATAATATTTATAAGAAAACTGTTATTTATAATTACACCAAATAAATATGATAATTATCAGTAATTTCAAACACATCTTTTGGCCAAATTTGAGGATTGTATACTTTTTTATATGCCCCAAATACTCGATACAATTTTTTAATTAAAACATTTTTTATTCAAAAACTACAAATCTTATCGGCATGAGGACATACAGCAACCATCTCATGAGCAGTAGGCAGCTTTTGACCAAATTTGGGGCTTGTAGCATCTAAGCCCTGGGAGGAGAAGCGATTGCTTTTTTAAGTCAGAAGCCGGAATAATAATAAGAATAATAATAATAATAATAAGAATAAGTTTAAGTAGCATTACAGTATGTTGGCTTTCTCAAGCCAACATAATAATAAAGTATTACATTAATTTAGTTTTTTATTATTATTTTTTATAATTTTTTTATAATTTTGATATGTATTTGGTTTAATTATTTAAAATTACTTTAAAATGCTCAATTGATATTGACTATTCACTATATAAATAACTTTAACACTTTTAAAATGTTATAGTTTAATGTAAATAAAATATTACATTCGGAATATTTTTTTTTAATTACTTTAATCATTATGTTGTGTTTTTGTCTTATTTTTTTAATCAATCAAAAATATTTCATTGATATCGACTATATAAATAACTCTTAAATAACACTTTTAAAACTGTATATAGTTTAATGTATATAATATAATATTACATTCCGAATAATTTTTTTTATCACTTTACTGATTTTGTTGTGTTTTTGTCTTATTTTTTTAAATCAATAAAAAATATTTCATTAATATTGACTATAAAATAACTCTTAAATAACACTTTTAAAACTGGATATAGTTTAATGTAAAGCATATGCTGATACATTTATTTATTCATTTTTAATGACTATTTAATAACTATTTTTGTAGTTTTGTCTTAATTGTTTTCAAATCATTAATCAAATAATATACTATTGCATTCATTCATTTATTTATTCTTTTGAACTTTTTAAAATAATTTTGTTGCGTTTTTTTGTTTAAATAACACTTTTAAAAAAACAATATTTGACATAAAGGAACCTGAATATAAATATGATAACCTCAAATGATCATCCATTAAAATTGACAGTATGGGAAATCTCACTGTTGAAACCAGCTAATATTTACCTTTTCCTTCTATATTTCAGAACTCCAGAACACCATATAGACTATTTTGAAGGATGTAAACAAAAACAATGCTCCCAACCTATTTCCTGTTTTACATTTTTCATTTCAATTCATTTGATAACAAGCAGGAAATGTTCATGGGCTTATGACATCCCCACATTGAAATGATCTATAGTGACTGATTCCTACCACCAAAAGAAACCTATTTTGACACACAATGTCTTTTTTTGTCTGTGACAGATGTGCTGACCTGAGAGCGATGCAGACAGCAGGGTTTTCTCGCTCAGCTCCTCTGCGATACGCAACAGTCGGCTCTTGATTTCAGCCCCTGAAGAGTCTGTCGGCAGAAGCGGGGCCAGACGCAGCAGACGGGACGGGTCACTCAGAGAACGGAAATCTTCAGGATAGTCAGTCATCCATGTACTGAACACTGTACACACCGCTCTGAACACAGCAGATCGGCACTTCAACACCACACAAATGCACATTAATCATTTATAAACAGCTGATGTGTCTGCTTCACTACATACTTGTTGAACATCTGACGGCTATTGCTGTGAGACTCCCCAGGAGGATTTTCCAACCTAAGAAAAAATATACATATGGGGATTAATGGCTAATATACAGACAGTAATGATTACAAATAATTATGATTGTAATAATAATAATAATAATAATAAATTAATTAATTATTAATTATAATTAATTAATTATTAATTATAATTAATTGCTTTTTTGTTTTATTTGAAGATTAAGATTAAAATATATTCATTTTATATAAATATATTACTTTTTTACCCAATACTATTTATAAAAAAAAAAAAACAATGACTTTCTACTGTGGCTGCAGTTGCTGTACCTGCATATGAGGATGTCCAGCACTCTCTGGGTGGAGGTGAAGGAGCGGTAGGTGGAGAGGAAGATGGAGATGAAGGATGAGTCGCCCATGGAGAAGGAGTGAAGGAGATGCAGGACCAGCTTCTCCTCTGTCCCGGCTTTGACGTGCTGAGAGCGGGCTGCTGTAGACTGGAAGAGAACCGTGAAGACGTCAAGACAAAACAAACGTTAGTGTGTTTCTCAAAAAGACAAGACTCACCTGAGGGCTGGTGGGGGAACCAGGACCTTGTTTCACCACCACAGTGTAGATGATGCCGTCCTCCTCCATTTCAGACACAGTGGACTGAACAAGAGAGACATCAGAGTGAGTAAATGCTCTTTTGTTTTTAGATGTTTATGACTTGAAGTTGTTTATTGCAAGTGCTAGAATAGTGTTTCTTAATCCCGGTCTTCGCACTACACATTTCTTATGTTTCTCTTTTGGTTCCAGTAGATAATGTATTCACTGACGTCAACCAATTGTGAACAATACATGTACAGCATTTATTCATCATAGTTCAACATATACTAGTTCATTATTAACATCCCAAACTCATGCTTGTTAACGTTAGATAATGCACCTTGAGTTAACATAAACTAACAATGAACAGCTTTTCATTAACTAATGTTAACTAATATGAACAAATACTGTAATAAATGTATTGTTCATCGTTTGTCCATGTAAGTTTAACCCCGCCAGTCCTATACCACCAAACCCGCTCTTAACTGGGATCTCTCTGATGACTTTCCGCATGGGAGTCGGTTGCTCTACCAAGGAGGCTACAGACCATGGCCTTTAGCATCTGTTGCTAGAGCACAATTAGAGATCAGAGGAGTGAGGTTTTACCTGCATAGCACTTCACTAGCTCACCCCCCTAAACCCTACTCCCATCCGGGTCACGGCACCAGTTTAATAAATGTTGACCTCTGCGTTGTGTTTTTTGCAATCTTCACCAACTCAAAGCAATGATACCTTCCAAAAGTGGTTCTCAGTGTATCTTTATTCTGAGAAACAAATGAAATCACATCACGTGAAAGCCAGGGCAATATACTGCAGACAAAACCGTAGCAGCATCAGCCATTTTCTGCTGAACTACGGTAGCTGCGCAAGGACAAAATAAACAAAAAGCATGCATGTTTTAACCACTAGGGGGCACCAAACCATCAATCATGTATACAATCTTAATTTTATGTCATTAATCACAATGAATAAGTCATTTTCTGTTAACACTGTTCCATTAGTAAATGCATTAACTAACATGAACAAATACAACCTTATAGTTAAGCTTTTACGTCAGACATTTGTTGTAATTCGACAACAAGTGCCCTGCAAAGTGGAAAATAACTGCCATTATTTCAGTATAAAGGGAGAATGTTTGATTCAAATGGCATTTTAGTGGAGCAAGGACTGGGATTGGGAAAAGCTGTTTCGGAGAGTCCTGGGTCAATTTGTACAATGTTTCAAGAGTTCACACTTAGCTGATGATTGATTATAAAGCTTGTTTGGCATGCAGTACCAGGAGGGAGCCCTGAGCACAAAAAGATCCTCGAGCCCGGGGCTCCCTCCTGTTTGGCAAGAAGGGAATTTGAGCTCAGGTAGATCTCGAGAACTCCCCTGCTGTAGTAGCTAATGAACAGATAGTGATTGCTCTTAAGAGATAACTACTTACTAGGAGCATGTCTGTGGTGCTGATTTGGATTAGTCAATTAACGCAAGTTCCAATTTTTTTGGACAGTGGGAGGAAACCGGGGTATCCGGGGGAAACTCACATGAGCATGGGGAGAACATGTAAACTCCGCACAGAAACGTTGGCTGGCTTGGTAAGGCCTAGAGCCAGTCACGTTCTTGTTTGGCAGAAAACAGTCAAACTTCTCGCTCTACAAACAAGTGTTTGCATAACTATATAGATATAATAGATTAATCGAATAAGAAAATATCAGTTTGCAACATCAAGCAGTAAAACGAGCAGTTTTTATTGTCTAAAAATAAATTGAAGTGAATGAGACCGGAAGTCTCGAGCCAAAAAGATTCATATGGCTACACCCGCTCATACGCAGAGAATAAGATGAATAGGTTCTCACTGTGAAAACTGGTGTAATTTTTTTATCCCGCCTAGGGCCCCTTCACTCTATGGGTCCACACTGACGACACTCTTGCCAATTTTATGTATCATAATATTATATCTTTTAAATGTATATCATAATATCATATCATTTAAATGTATATCATAATATCATATCATTTAAATGTATATCATAATATCATATCTATTAAATATATTTCATAATATCATATCTTTTAAATGTATATCATAATATCATATCTTTTAAATGTATATCATAATATCATATCATTTAAATGTATATCATAATATCATATCTATTAAATGTATTTCATAATATCATATCTTTTAAATGTACATTTAAAGTCACAATTATTAGCCCTCCTTTGATTTTTTTCTTTTTTAAATATTTCTCAAATGATGTTTAACAGGGCAAGGAAATTTTCACAGTATGTCTGATAATATTGTTTCTTCTGGAGAAAGTATTATTTGTTTTATTTCGGCTAGAATAAAAGCAGTTTTAAATTTTTTAAACACCATTTTAAGGTCAAAATTATTAGCTCCTTTGAGCTAATTTTCTTCGACTGTCTACAGAACAAACCATCGTTATACAATAACTTGCCTAATTACCTTAACCTGACTAGTTAACCTAATTAACCTAGTTAAGCCATTAAATGTCACTTTAGTGTCTTAAAAATATCTAGTAAAATCTTATTTACTGCTATCATGGCAAAGATAAAATAAACCAGTTATTAGAATTTATTATGCTTAGAAATGTGTTGAAAGAAATTTCTCGCCGTTAAACAGCAATTGAGGAAAAAAATAAACAGGGGTTCTAATAATTCAGGGAGGCTATTAAATAGAAAATTTTTAATAGAAAATCCATGCAGGTTTTTGTTTGCTTTTATAGCTTGAATTATATCATCAATCTAACTAGTTTCTGACAGGCTTCATCACACAGTGCTTTTAATCAACATGTTTTTAATCATATTGTTTTTATAATATCAAATCTTTTAAATGTGAATAAAAAACCCATGCAGTTTTTTATTTTTGCTTTTGCAGATTAAATTAAATCATCAGTTGAACTATTTTCTCACAGACTTCATCACACTGCGTTTTTCATCAAGATGTTTTTATTTGTATTGTTTGTTCTTTGGAAAGGGAGTAAAGCAAATCATTAAAACAACACTTGTGATTATCGTAGGACAAGACACATCACATACCTGTGCCACATCATACATTCATTCATTCCTTCATTTTTCTTCAGCTTAGTAGCTTTCAGCTTGGAATGAACCACCGACTATTCCGGCATATGTTTTACGCAGTGGATGCCATTCCAGCTGCAACCCTGTACTGGGAAACAACCATACACTTTCACATTTACACTCATACACTACGGCCAATTTAGTTGACCAAATTCAACTACAATATACCACATGTCTTTTGACTATTGGGGAAGTCGGAGCACCTGGAGGAAACCTACAGGAATACGGAGAGAACATGCAAACTCCACACAGAAATGCCAACTGACCCAGCTGGGACTCGAACCAACAATCTTATTGCTGTGAGGCAACAGTGGTAACCACTTTGCCACTGTGTCGTCACCACACCATACATTACTTTAAAAAAAAAAAGCATTTTTACCACCAGAAAATAATAAATAATAAAATGAATACTGTCTTACCAGGTCCAGCGGGCAGTACCATGTGGTCTTCATTGGGGACGGCTCCCCCTTAAAGAACAGATAAAAAATATAATTTTATGACATATTATCAATGTAAACACTGTTTACGCACTCAAAAAAATGTACAGTTTAACCGTTATTTATAAGACTGTTGCCAAACAGGTTTCCTGAACACTCCCCAGGCCTGCTAGTGGTTGGATTAATGGATAACTCCGCCCTAAATCCCATACTATTGGTTAAGCCAGTCAAGGTTAATTTCAGTTGGGAACTCTTATCTTAAAAATCCTAAACCGTTCCAGTTATTTGCTGATAGCCATAGCTAAAGCTCCACTTTCTGTCCAAACAATGGATGCTTTTATATCTGGCTTGACATTTAAACCCTAATCTCTCTGATAAAGCTAAACATTTACATGTTATCTCCAGCTAAAACTTTAGCTTTATGCAAACTTCTGCCTTCACTTTCAGCTGTTAAACTGAAGCGTGTATCTGAATGCTTTGGTTTTACACGGCTCAGATTTTCCAGCATGAAAAATGCATGAGACAACAAGCCCAAAAACAAACCCAGTGATCATGAGTAAGTGTCTAAAAACATCCACGAGCTTCCCGATAGACTGACACACACACTGATTACTTATGCAGATCAAGTCCAAATTTGAACACTAACACAAGATCTTCGACCATGAAAAGCTGCTCTTTTTAATGTCGGATCATGAATGCTCAGTTGTTTCAGAACACACAAGATGCAAGGCCTTGAGGCAAAAGCAGAGCGAAAACATTCATACATTACCGCAGCTGCCCTTCACTTGCTTGAAATCATTCAGAGCTGCAAATGGAAAAACAACTGCTTGAAATGCTACCTTCAACTCTGCGAGTCCAGACAGGCAGAGATCTGCCAACTTCCTGGAAATCCTTAGAGTTTGCAGGAGAACTCCGTCTCCTTCAGGCCTTTTCATCTGTTCGATTTAATCCGTTTTGCTGGCTGCAGCTTTCAGAGGGCTGTTGATTTCATTTCAATCTTAATCTATCTGCCTTCCCCCGCTCAGATCTCACTCTCTCTGTTATGGAGCCATTGAAACACACCTGAGCTTGTCGCTAGGCCAACCCCCTCTACACACACACAAATACACACACTTACACACACGTCACAAGGCCACTCCTGTTACAGACTTGCGCACTCACACTTCTTCTCTCTTTCTCCTCTTTCATGTATGGGTAAATCCATATCTCAGCCCCAAGTCAAACGTTATGTTACTAAATTTTGTTTTAGGACGATTGAGTTTTTTATTTGTATTGACATTTCATGATATTAAACAGAAATCAAATCTAGAACCCAGCAAAATAATATAAATTAATAATAAATAAGAGTAAGTCATCTCCTCAGGTACTCTCCTTTAAAATGTGGTTGTCTAAAGTATGTACGCTATGTTCCACTCAAGAAACTTACCTATGGCATACATCAAAAGGCAGCTATAAACACCTTTTTGGCACTACATTAATAATTTATCCTGAATTTCTATTCAATGGTGTATATTTTACATACAGCAGACACATAAAAAAATATATATTACATTTCTGTTATTATTTATTAACAGAATATTATTAACAGATTTGATACAGTTTGAAAACAAAACTATATATTTTTTCCCATTTATTTATTTATTTATTTATTTATTTATTTATTTATTTAAGTGCATACTAATAATATATATAAAATATTGTCCAATATTTAAATAATAATTTTTTTGTAACTATATGTGACATTTACTAGAAAATGTGACACCCTCCAACTTTAATTATGTTTGTAATTAGATGGCAAATATAATAATATGATATGTATATGTTTTCCACCTCACCTGATTTATTTCACTGCATTAGCTTCTCTTATCTTCGTTTGAAAACACAATTTTTATTTAAGGCTTATGCAGCTAAAAAGAAATACGTCATCATTACGCCATCTTTATGTCATTGTTGAGGAAAGTAAATAAAAAGATTATTCTAATAGACAGATTGTGCTGGTTATCCTGTACGAAATTTAGTCATACTTATTACTGTAGTACAATAAGCAGTCTTATTTTTGCATGATATATTATAGCTTGTTTTTTTTTTTTTTAGATGCAGTGTATAACATCCAAGCAATTTATGAGCAATATCACACTCATAGCAATGCGATAAGGCTGTATATTGGCACTGGTGGGAGGCGTGTGTCCCACCAGTGACGATATACAGCCATATCGCACTGCTAAGAGTGTGATATTGCGTTTATACAACAGTTTGACGGCATAATTGTGTATATAAAAAAGAAAATCAAACACGTAGAGCCTCAAAATCCTTTTGTATGAGGAACTACTTTCTTACGCCATTAATTCAAATCTGCAGCTGATAGTCAGAAAGGCAGAAATCGTTGCTACTTCACCAACATCACTTTAGAGCTAGTGTTTCTAATGATTCTCTAGCGTAATGTCTAAAGTGATGACAAAAAATGTTTTGGTAAAATGTTAACATTATAAGGCTGAACGGCATGAAATGCAATCAGTCTACAGACATTTACCTGTATTTATCTGCTGCAATCAGGATATCACAATAATTAACCCAAAAAACCCCAAAGCAAAGCAAACACTACCAGATTACTGTTGTGTTTCAAAAAGGAAGAATGCTAAACACATGCTGGCATTTCTTCTTTCTTTCTTATTGATGAATAAGTCTGCAGGAACGAAAACAGGAGACTCATTAGACGGTTATTTGCAGAATATTGCACGACTATCAGCCAATCAGATTTGAGAACCAGACAGAACTGTTGTATATAATATAATATAATATAATGTTCATTCATTCATTTTCTTGTTGGCTTAGTCCCTTAATCCGGGGTCGCCACAGCGGAATGAACCGCCAACTTATCCAGCAAGTTTTTATGCAGCGGATGCCCTTCCAGCCGCAACCCATCTCTGGGAAACATCCACACACACATTCACTACAGACAATTTAGCCTACCCAATTCACCTGTACCACAAGTCTTTGGACTGTGGGGGAAACCGGAGCACCCAGAGGAAACCCACGCGAAGGCAGGGAGAACATGCAAACTCCACACAGAAACACTAACTGAGCCGAGGTTTGAACCAGCAACCCAGCGACACTACCTACTGCACCACTGCCTCGCCATAATATAATATAATATAATGTAATATAATATAATATAATATAATATAATATAATATAATATAATATAATATAATATAATATAATATAATATTAACATGCAAATAATACCAATGCAAAAAAAATCTAAATAATAATAAATGATATTAATAATCTTTTTTTTAAATAGAAATTCAAGTCCTTGTTTTAAACTTGGTTTAAGATAAGACTTTGACAGTTTCTTATAAGTCTTATTTATACATGTACACTATAATGCTGATTAACCTGTTCGGCGACTTAGAATTGATGAATGGAGCGAGAGTAAATAAATTCACTGTATTGGCTTCCGATTTCAAGAATGCCAACCTTTCCATCAAATCTACTGCTCACCAAGCTTGTATGTAAATCAGCCAAGATTTTATGGGCGATCTTAAAAGAGATCTTCTTTAAAAAGCAATGCATGACATGACAAATGCCTGCTAATAAAACACAGGGCAGCACCTGTTTATCTAACAGGGATACTGGAGCAAAAGCACATATTGACACAAAGATGGCGACAGGCTGTGCAGGTGTAAAGGCTTTGGTTACACTTTATGCAGCCGTGAGAGCGATCTGCGTTAATCTCTCTCATTACAGCCTGTTTCCTGTATTGTTTTACTGTTTATATGTAATGACACAATTGAGTTCCATGTTTCGGAAAGTAAAAATAGTTCGATGAACCACCACCACATGTGACCGCAGACATGAAGTTATATTACCTTAAGCTGAACTCAAACCCAGCCAAAACAAATCCCTTGAGATTTTTTAAGGTACTTCTGCTTCCTTGGTCATTTTTTTAAAGTGGTGCTTTAACCATATGAAAATAAATACAATTGTACCAATATGTCTAAAAATAAATTGCAAAAAGTTTTTAATGTTGCAATGTAGATTCTAGTTTGTTTGTTTTTGAGTGATTTTGAGCATGCTGCAATGCAAGCAGCAAAGCATTCTAGGTGATTGCCAAGGTGGTCATATGGCACTTCTTAGCAACTTCTAGGCAACACTTTTTGCATAGTTTGTACTATAACGTAAAAGTGTGAACTGTGAGGTCTTACGGTTCGGTTCGGTTGCGATTATCATGCCATCGATACAGTTCAATTCGATATCTCAGTGCATCACGGTGCATTGATGATGTTTAACATAAACAATTTTAAATTTTACTTCACAGCACAAGAATTCTTGTATTAAAATGTAGAAATATATTTATATATTATTTGTAATACAATTTTGTACTTTAATACAAGCAGTCAGATAAATGAAATGTACATTTAATTTTACCTGCAGAAAGAAAACACTGTATTTGAATGTATCAAGCAAAACTCAAGTACTTGCAAAGAACAACATGAGTATTTATAGCCAATAAACTAATGTAAATATTATCCCGCTTGCTTTTTGAGCATTGTTGAACTCAAAAAGCTCGACAACGTTTTTAAACGCCTATGATTTGCTGCGATATCCCATGATGCTCCGCGAGAGATTTCATAAATGAGAGCAAAGAGCATAGAATCACCAAGATGCGACACTATAGTTCCAATTGGCGAAACAGCCACTAAATGGCATGGCGGCCATTTTGGAATGAAAACTCCAAAAGTGCTTCTTCAGTCTTTCAGGTTGTATCTCAGCTTTAATGCACTTTTTAAATAAATAAATGAAAAACAAAGCAGCTGCTTGCCATCGCGACAGCAATAAGATGCGATAGACAGCCGATCGCTTTCATTCCAAAATGGCGGAATCCAGAGCTGTTGCTGGGCGCTGCTGTTGCAATTGAACAATCTATTGAGTGTAGCCTCTTGGTCATTCTAAGCTCTTTCGTAGGAGTGAAGTGACGCAACTGACACCGGTAGGTCACATGATCATGACAAAATGGCAGAATTCCA